TGAGAGAAAAGTTTGAAACTGGCTGCAAAGAGAGAGCAGAATAATGCACGGGCGGCAACAATGGGCGCATTGCGCCAGTCGTCGATGTTATTGCCGTTAATTTTTTCTCCGCCCGCCGGGAAATTGCGAATCCAACGACCCCTGCTGAATATGCAACCACTTGAGTGTGCATGCACTCGACGATCGTTTTTTCCGTCGCAACATCCCGCCGAGCCTTTTTCTGCATTGTTTTCCGGCCGCAACACAAGCGTTATTAATTATAATTCATCGCAAATTCAAACGTACAAAGATCAGAAATTCATTTCGCTGTTGCCGATAAATTTCTAGTTAGAAAAGAAACTGGAACTTCTTTAGAGTAATTTTACTGCCTCAAATTTATTCTGAAATTTGTTCAAATTTCTCCGAAAATTTATCCGACAAGACGCTTCAAATCGGTAAAAAGGTTAAATACCATTAACAATGCAAAGGTTGACCAAAAAATGAATTTCTAATATCAGATAAATAAAAACGAATCAAAGAACTCTTTAAAAATTGGTCCAATACAAGAAGCTCAATAAAAATAATTAATTAATTACCGAAGTATTTAGCAGACAGCAACAGAGTTATTGCAGATTTTTAAACAAAATTTTTTTAATTTAGTTAGCTTTCAGACGTTAATAACTCCGTCCCTATTTGAGCTACTACAAAAGAGTGAAAATGGTCCTCTTAACGTCCTCTTTCCAACGATGTATCATACTTGTAATAAAAATAATTGTAAGATCGTAGGTCACCAGGGTTGATGACCTTTTGTAACCTGGTCAGTATGTGTGATGCATGGTTGGATAGCTTGAGCAAAAATAAACAATTTTTGTTATTAGGAACATTTATCTATCTCTAACTCGTAGAAAGTTACAAAGGTTCAAAGTTATTTATTTACAGAGCTCTGATCTGAAAACCTCGTTTTTTATTCTTTTTATTTTTGCATTAAAAAAACTAAGAGGTGTCCCACTTCAATTATCCTCATTCCTTGTGTAAAATTCTGCGTTCTATAAAATGACTATCTGAGAATTTTGATAAACGTACTTTGGCTCTCCCTAAATTTCAGGTCAAAGGTCACGAGGTCAACAGAGGTGACCTTGATCTGTGACTTACAACTTTGCTGTGAAACGCAAAGATTCCAAAGCGCTTCAAATTTTTGTTCAACGACCAAAGGAAGCCAAGATACAGACGTTTTAAGTCTGGTGCATCTCCCTGAAAAATTTGGTTATAATCGGATGACCTTCTCATTTAATTAAAATAAATCTTTTCCAATTATAGGCTTTGTTTAGAATATTAAAAAAAAATCTTTATAAATAATCGATTTTTACTCAACGCCACATTTTTGCTTCCGAGTTCAAAAAGTAATAAAATTTTCACAGACTTTATAATTCTCTTTTCAATAAACTTTGATAAAATGTTGATGTACTTAAAATCTTTATCGCGCTCCCTGCGATTGGAATCGCAGATAAATTAGCCGAATCTCTTTTCTTCGATCAGCGTAAACGAGCGTGAAGGCAATTTGAATTCGTTTTATTAGGCCGCAGCTGAACGCGATTGATCTTGTCTCGAGTAAACAGCCCCATTTGGTTTTTGTATTGCATTGAGTAGTTTTTTTTTCCGCTTACTTATATTCAAAGCATCCCCCAAGCGCGCTCGGTTCGTATCAGATCGGAAAAACCGGCGGCGCGGAATAAACATTCGGGGCGTAATCTGAAATTATCGCACGCTCCTCCGGCTTGCGGCGCACAAAAGACTGTTTACCTATTGATGGTTAACGCGCACAGGAAGTTGCTGCGGGCAGACTCGCGGAATAATGATATCACAGCCCATCAAACAGCTTTTCATTATGTCCCGAAGAACGCGCCTGAGATCCCGTTTGCGCTCGGCTCTTTACTTTCAACATGGAAAACTCCAAATTGCAATTTTATTTCCACTTGAAACCAAATATTAATCAATTTGGTTAGATTTCAATGCACCACTCCAGATTTTATTAAAATTAATTTTAAAACTTTGAGATGCATCATAACATTTTTTCTTTAAAAAATTCAAATGATTATCAAATTGAGCTTTTAATTAAAATCTCTGAATTGTTCTGATACAATTGAAGCATCACATTTGTTCATAAAGGCCATTTTTCAAGAAAAAAAATTGCTTCTGGAAATTGAATATTATTTTAGTAATCTCGGTTTTATTTTGGTTTGAAATTTAGTTTTATTTTTATTAAATAAAATTTCTACTCGTCTATTTTTATCTCAGAACTTGTTAAATCTTTCAATTCAACCTTTTTATCCTCTTTTTTTCCATTCCAGTTCCGCAGCGAAAAGTTATTTCGTTCTACAGAGAGGAAGATGCAGCAGCAGCAGCATCGCATTGAAAGGATTAGCGAACTTTTCTGCCTGTCGAGTGCCGATTGCGCGCGACAAAGAAAAAGAAGGAAACGAGGGCGCGCTGCGTGTATATTTAATTTGATGCAAAACGCATGAGAAATATTACGACGGGAGTGCGTCTCTTCGCTCTGCTTTTATATCAAATAACACTCGTGAGGGTTCTCTTGAATCATTACAAGCGCTCTCGTATGCACCGCCGACTCTCTTGAGCCGAGATAAATCTCGACTCGATTGTAAAACTCTTAAAATAACCTTATTGATGACGAGTGGCAAAAATGTGCTGCGCATTCGCAATTCTCGACGCAACGTAATTGCCCCTTTCACGTGAAGCAAAAAATAAAAAAAAAACCTCCCGCGAGCGGGCGTAATTTTCAATTCGCTTTGCATGTTTATTTTGCCGCTTTTGAATTTTGCACCGTCTCGTTGACGTACCACGAATGCAGTACCTAAGTACCTAAGCACTCGCGAGATGAATGCGTGCCCTTGACGCAGACAAGACCAAAGCCGGAGTTTATTAGGAACGCTCATTTCGTGCTAATCACAGGACACTTGTGTACTCAATACCATTGAAAAATGATTTTTTTAACGGAATAATTTTAATTTAAAATAAAATGTTACTAAACTGTACTTTCATTATAATCCAACTGAAACATAGTATTGTGCACAACATATGAAAATTGGTGAGCCTTTTTAATGTTATTAGTTTCGTTTTTGCAGTGTCCGAAGTTCAAGATTTACGAGCCCTTTTTTTGGAAATCTTTTCAGCGCTTTCTTCCCTGTTCGATAAATGACACCAAAATGTTTTCTGCTGATGTCCACTTTCTATTTATGTGCCACACTTAATAAAAATAAACTTTAAATGTCACAGGTCACAGGGGGCAATGACCTTTTGTGACCTGGCCACCATGTGTGATGCATGGATCGAAAGAGGAAGTTACGGGTATCATATTTTGTCATTACACATTTCGTCCTAAATCTAATAGGAGGAAATTTATTGCGGTTTAGAGCTAATTTTCCATAAAAAGGGTTCGGAAAACCATGTTTTTTTACCCTTTGACCCTGGATATCTCGAAAACGAAAAATACAAGTCTCACCAATTTTTAACATATTCTGTAAACTAAATTAGGCAGCTTTTGGCTATTTTAAAATTTAAAAAAAAATTTCCCAGGTACTTTGGCAGATTAATTAAATATTCAGGTTCCAGAAGGTGACCTTGACCTTTGACCTACGACGTCGATCACTGAATCAAAGTTGTAGGGCATCTAATTCCTGACAACTTTTGTAATCTGTACTTATGCGCTATCTTTAACAGGAGCCGAGATATTTTCCATTATCAAAATCACCTTTAAAAAAAATGCCCAACTTGAGGGGATCCTGTAAATTATGCAATGTTAAGACTTTTTCAAAATAATCCTTCTCAACCATTTGTCTACACACTGAAAGCAAGCCAGCGCAAAGAGTGTGTCGAAAGAAATCAATAAAAAACGTCCCAATAAACCAATTTTTAGTTCTTCCTGCATCTGATGCGTGGTATGTTCTTCTCTCCTCCGAGTCAATCAATTAAAATCTCGCAGGGTCAGTTTGGCGTTTGCTTTGAACCGCTGGCCTGTCCGTCTGTGTCAGCTGCAGGCGAACGAAATCTCATTTGCCGCCAAATAAATAAACCAACCACTTGCGCCACCGCCGGCCAGCGAGCGACAAAGTGCAGCAATTATGCGGCATTAGCGCTGGCCGGCCAATTTGGGGGGTGCAGCCGAGCGCGGGCGGGCGGGGGTTGATTCAATTGATTCAATCGCGCCCCCAATAAACAACGCCCCCGAACGAGAATTAATTCTTCTTTCTCGGTATATATAAACACCGCGCATTCTGTCGTGCACCCTCGGCGCGGGGGGTGCAGCGGCCCTGCCTGCGCATTACATCTGTTTCCCCTTATAAATAAAGTTTGACAATTCAGCTGCATCAGCCACTTGACAATCTTTCCACCAGCGCTATAGTTGGGGGAGCAAAATTGATAAGCACTTTTTGATCGTTATTTTTGCACCCCCCGGATCAAAATTTTCTCCTCCGATTATTATTATTATTATTCTCGACGGTAATCCCCACCGGTGTTGAAAGATGCAATCGCTTAGAAAATGTTTAATCCAGCTCTCGAGTGGATGGTTTTTTGATGACAGACTTCGTGAGAAATATTCATTCCGAGTTCGAAAAAAAATTTTTTTTTTTTAATTTACAATGTAATTAGTGCCGAAATGCTTGGCCCTTTCGCTTCTTCTTGATGTGGTCAAGCGGCAAATTGGGTGCAGGAGAAGCCGACCAAGAGAGGAAAAGAGCCTGCAGTGGGTGCTGCAGTCGGAGCAGCCGCGGGCGCAAAACAATACAAGAGATGCTCAGAGTCAAAGAGACTGCCTGTGGCCATCATCAGGAGTTGGCAGGCTTGAGTGCAGCTATTCAACTTTTAATTACGACCAACAAATACCTCACAAACAAGCGGGCTTCTTTCTTTTTTTCTTTTCCACTCTCGGCCGGTCTTTTCGCCTCGTTGTCTCTCGCTTGCCTCTCCAGGCGCAAGATAATAATTTAATTTTCTGTACTCACCGAGGACGTCGGGAATGTGGCCCCTCGCCGGATGGGGGGCGTTGTTTCCATTTCTCCACTGGTTGTTGGACTGGCCGCCGCCATTGTTGAATTGGCCACCTGCTCCATGACTGAAATGGTAGTAGAGTTTTCATAAATTTGAGTGCAAAGTTAATAGTAATGAATAATGAAAAAAAGAGGAGAGTTTAAAAGGAAAAATAGTTCTCAAGTAGGCAAAGAAAAACTAATTTTTACTTTTAATTCCCTCATTTTTTTTAAAATTAATTTGAGTTTAGTTAAAAGTAATGCAAGAAAAGAATCAAGTTAAACAAAAATTAAATCAAAGCTCTTAATGAATCCAAATTTTGGGAAGAATTGAAAAATATTTTTTTTTTCTTAATTTGTTGCTTTGAATTTGTAATTTATAATGATTTCAATTGCTTATTTTTTTAAATGTCGATTTTTTTTTTAATAATTGGGAGCAAAAACGGGAATCAACTATACCGAATCATCCTGAATCCAGCTTGATTCATGGTGACTTTGTGAGAAGAGGGTGCCATGCCCAACTGCGGCCGCCACTGACCCCTGTTGTTGTCATAATCCCCAGGTTTCAGAACGCGGGGTGGTTCGCTGCAGGACAAGGATCATTAGATTTTTTCTATAATTTAAAATCTAATTGATACTAACATAGCGTCTGGTAATCTCTTTGCAGGGAAGATGAAATTGTCGTCGTACTTAGGGTCTCGGAAACGAACACTGTTAACGATAAAATTTCAGTTGATGTTGAAAGAGGAAGTAGCAGGGCTTACCATACAACCCTGTTTCCTGATATTGGTCCTAGTGATCTCAGGGGAGAACGAAGTGTCCTGCATAATCAATAATTTAGATTAATCAAGAACGATGATTCGAAGATTAATTACCCTCCATACGAAACTCGGTCTTGCGCTAGCAGCAAGTTTCCTCGCACTCCTTCGATAACACGCTCAAACTCCTGCTCAAAGTTGCCCGACTCGTATAAAATGTTCAGGAAATTTGACTCCGAATGATGATTGCTGACATATAATCTGTCATCCCCACGAACATTGCGCCGCTCTTGAGTTTCAAAAATTAATACGAACCAACAATAACATTTTATGAATTCATTACTTTCTGCTTCCGTGAGTTTTTCGTAGTAAGGCTCAAGCGCTGGAAACAGCCTCGTCTCGTCCACAAACGGAAGCAAGGCCACTCCCTGCCACGCAAATTTCTTGCCATTCAAGTCGATCTTGAAATCGGTCGGGTAGAAGTCAATTATTTCCGAGTGCTAGAATTTTAAAGATAAATTCAAATTCAAGTTAATTTAGTGAAGAATTACTGGATCGCTCATAAGCTCTGCCCAAGGTTCGGGAACGTGAGAGCTGCTGGCTGCTGGGAACACGCCCATCAACTGCTCCAATGGCCTGAACTGAAGAATTCACTTGTTAACTAAATAACAAAATATGATCTATTACTTACTGGTAGAGTGTTCTTTTCAAATTTATTATTAAGAGCCGCTATATTGACAAAGTCCGATGCAAAGGGAGCGTAGTGGTGAGGGAAGTACCACTTCCAAGACGCGCAGCCCTGTTTTAAAAATAAATTATTAAATCATTTAGAAGTTTTTAATGGCAATTACCTGGTAATAGTACTTCAGTACCCAGCAAAGTCCAAGGACGTACTCGAGACCCAATTTATGTCTAAATGCAATGTTAGTCACTTCGACGCCAAACTTGGACGCATAATAACGATCTTTGAATCCGTCTTCCCAAAGACGAACTTCGTCGTCCGGTTCAGGCTCCGAATTCGAGTCTTCGTTTTGGGCTGCATATCCATCGTTACCCCACCTCCCCTGCCTTTGCTGAGAACCTTGACCCTAAAATCATTCATGTTGGTTTCATAAAAACCTTGTTTTAAATTTCATTTACCTCTGGACGCAGCATTGCATTCAGCCCGGTGTTGGCGTCGATTCCTCGAACTTGCCTCTCCGACGCTGAGGTGCCTTGCATTCTCATCTGGAACGCCTCTTGGCGAGCGTTTTGAACAGGATTTGGTGCCTGGTTCCGTCCAAGCGCCTAGGCAGAAAATTTACATGAGGCCGGAGAACTTAATCATTGAAAACAAATTTACTTGAGGCGCAAACTGTCCGCTGGCTGGTCTTTGGAAACCCTTCATCATTCGTTCTCTCCTTCGGTTCTTTTTATTCTTTTCGCGGAAAAACTTTTCCGTTTCTTGTCTTTTTTTGAAAATACTATCCTCAGCCTCTCCCAATTCCGTCATTATAAGCTGCACTCGGTCCAGAGAAACATCTCCACTGTCAGTGAGCCAGCCCTAAAGTAAAATTGTTTTAACCTATCAACACAAATGGATTGAGACAAGGTACCCCGGTTTTGTAGACGGCCTGCTTATACAGAGTAACCAGTCTGTCGATGGCACCCTCTCGTATTTCAAGTGAGGGCAGGTGAGGTAGAAAATCATTTCCTACGAAGAAGCACATGAACACCCAGTCGTCTATGGCCCTGTCCAAGTCGAACTTGAACGGCAGATTCGGCATTTGCAGCTCTTTCTCGAGGTATTCCCTTAAGACGCTGAGACGAACAAAAATGAAATTCGGTTCCGACCCACCCACGGTCATGACATCCTCTTTGCTCTCTTGCTGAGCCACACCAGCGCAGTCTTTCACTTCGTGGCCTAAAAAGGTTTATCAATTTAATATTAGAAAGTAAAACAAACACCACAAAATTGAGTTTTTCTCACCAACTTGGCCACATATTTCGCAAGGACGGGGTTGGTTTGGTTTGAATTCCTCTCTGATTATTGTGAAGTTTGGCTCGTGAGTGGCAAGACCCAGCATGATCAAATCGGCGTCAGCTCCACAAAGCACGTGCTGCGTGTTCGGGTCATGGTCAGGTTGAGCTTTAATTGAAAATTTATTTAGTCCATAAATTTGAAAAGTTGATTTTTACCTCTCTGCCTGCGTATGAAATCCATGATTTTGTGCTCACCCTCTCCGGGAACATTGGCGTCGGAAAGAATAACTTTTATGTTCTGCCAACCGGGGTCATTGTTCAGCCTGTCGTGGATGTAGTAATGCAGACACTCGGACAGTCTGGCCATGAACGGAGTTCCCTAAAATTGGATGAATAACTTTGCAATTCAAAAAGAATTGTCTTTCTAATCATACAGGAGTGATGCAGTTGCTGTCAAAGTGTTCGCCTTTCTGCTTCTCAGGGGGCAACTGAACGCCCTTGGCCCGAAGCTCATCTCGAATTCTGGCAATCTCCTCGATCTTCTCACCAGTCTCTTTAGAGGCCCGGAAACGACGAGACCTCTGCTGGTTCATCTTTGCTCTCGGGGCCTTTAAATTGTTTTTTTATTTTTATGTTTAATTAAATCAACTTTTCTGATCTTACAACTCCATCAATTGCCATGTACAGAACCTTCCTCGGACGGACAATACGGAAAAGACGGTCGATGCACTCAAAAATGGCAATCATCATCTCCTCCTCGTTCTTGGGGGCGGGCCTGACAGGATGAAACAAAATTTAATAATTCATACTTTTAAAAATAGAAGATATAAAAGATTAGAAGTTAATGTATTTTTACATAAAAATAATATAGTGAATTTTCAAGATATAATTGTTTAAATTTATTATTTCTTTATTTTAATCATATCGAAACTTCTGCATCAAAACAAAAAAGAAAGTTGAAATAAAATTTATGTAAAATTTAATCTCACTTGTTCTCCGGATGAGTGCACGGGTGAATAATGCCGTTCATGTCCAGGTACAGATTATCGAACTCTACGTTGTTGGGGTTGGGTTCGATCGCATTGGGGTAAATCATCACTCCGTCCACTTCGATGGGCTTTTCGGGGCAAGAAAGATAAAATTTAGAAAAAAAATTATGAGTGGATTTTTACCTGCTGCTCGACGCAGTCGACGATCACAGACGGATATTTCCGGCTGAGCCATCGGAAGAATGCTGGAACTCCCATGGCGACGTGGGGAAAATATTACTTTCAAGTTAAATCGACGGCAAAACTGCCTGAGTTGTGAATTGACACCGCTTTTCGAGCAGACAGGCCAATATTTACAAACTCCACGAGCACAACAAGGCAGCCATGTTGACCTCTGAATCTGAATGCCGCCGCTGGTGGGCGCGACGGGCGCATGCGCAGTACCGCGAAGACTCAAGCTTTCAAGGGTTTTGCCGCGAGAAATGCATGTAAAAGTGGTGCTTTTCCAATACTCTTTTAAATATTATTCCGACAGACTCCAATCCGACATTTTTATTTGGGGTGCAGTAATTTTGTGCTGAACTAATTGAAACTAAATATATTATACGATTGTTTTTGTTACTTTTGTGTAAGAAATTAAGAGTTTTCCAGAAAATACGAGTTCCTTTTTCGTTTTTACATATGAAATGAAAATCCGTGATTTACGAACCAAGCATTTTGCAAAAATATTTTATTCAAAACCAAATAAGGCAGCTCAAGCACTAATAAACAACACTGGCACTTAAATTTAGCGCATTTCTGAAACAAATTTGATGCATTTAGACTTAATTTAGTTATGCACCAAATTAAAATTTGTAAACTTGTATTATTTGGGCATAAGAAAGTTATTGAAATTGTTAATACATTTTTAAAATTTAAGAATTTCGTCTTAGTTCAATTCAATGAGATTTCTTTTTATGACTAACTGGCTGGACTTTCAATGATTAGAGGCCAACCATTGCTGGACCATATCTTGTATTATCTGTGTGGAAAATGTTGAGTGATTCTGGAACAGAGACGTAATGGCGTGTCTCATTGTCTTGCTGACCAGCAGCTCTTTCTCCGAAGAAAAACTTCTTGGTGAGAGAATGCAGGTACAATTGGATATACATGGCGGCTTTGCCATACATAACAAAGTCTCTTCTGTGTTGGCGCTTTGAGTACTCGTTCACAACATCCACGCAGAGTCTGTAAGTTTCATCAGATGTAAACCTAGGAAGGTACGCCGCTGGATCATTTGTGTTGATGTGCTTGGCCAACTTGACGGCCAGCTGCCGACAATGGAAACTACTCTCAATGAAATCTGCAAGCATTTTCTGCCCATCAGTGCATTGCCAGTCGAAGATGCAAGCGTCGCAGTGGCACTCGTACGAGTTAATCTCGTTCACCCTCTGACGGTAAGAGAGCGAGAAGAACCTGAAACAGTGTTTTCCTGAATAAATAAAAGTAATAAATGAGATTGTGCTTTTTTTAGGTTACATGGTGTAAAGCATCGGAAGTGCAAAAAGTGCACTGCATTGATAGGTAAAAAAAAATTGTGTGGATGCACTGACCTAAAGTCAAAGTCGCCCTGAAGGAAAATCTCCTCCCCACTTCTGATGAGTCTGGACACCTTCAGCACCATTGTCTTTCCGTGAAAAGACTGGAGTGTGTTTGGATCACAAGAGTAGTTGAACTTCGCGGCCGTGGCAAAAAAGCCCCAGGCATGTTGATTGTGGTCAAGGCAGTCGTAGTGGTCACCATTCTGAGAAAGGACAAACTCGAGGATGCAGAATTTGTACCTCTCGAGAATGGAAGAGATCTCTGTGAGGAATGTGGCCAGTCTTTTGGTCTCTTTAGAACTGAGCTTGAAGCTGGCCACAACTTGGTCCACAACAAATGACTCATCAAAGTCCTTGACACGTCTATACCCAATTTTGACCTTCTTCACAGCAAAGATTTTCTTGATGCTTTCAGAGGCAGTTTCCAAAACTTGGTGCTTGTCGTCGTCAGACAATGCGGTGATGCAGTTCTGCAAACCCAGGAAGGAGATGACCTTGAAGAGGTGGTCGACGGCGATGAGCACCGAGGTCTTGATTTGCTTCTTCTACTTCCTCAAAATCCCATCGATGGCAGATTGTTTTACTCCGCACTCGACTCTGTGGTGCTTTTGCAGAGCTTCAGCCCTGCACATCTTGGAGCAATAGAGAGACTGTGGGAATAAAATTACAACATTAAGGATTGTTTTTTAAACTTAAATGCAGAACAGTTACCCACGAACATGACGGGCAGGGTGTGAGGTTGAGACAAAATTTGAAGCACTCGTGGCAGTACGTCCAATATTTCTCTTCACTGTCGTAGTAGTCAAAGGTTAATCCGTACATCATCGGGTTTTCAACCAGAATCACATCGCCTGAAATAAATCTTGAGTTAAAAAGAATTTAAAAATCAGGAATCTCTCCTCACCGATGGACAAATCTCTTTCTGCGACGTAAACATGGCCCAAGGTGGGATTTGGTCTCTTCCTCACACCAGCGGACAATGCTGGATTCTCCTGTTGAGCCCCGTAGCTCAGCTCAGGTGGATTCAGGTACTGCACCCTGATCCGCGGGACTTTCGGCACATGAACTTCTTTAAATTGCCTGTTCGCGTCCTCAGCGACCTTTTCCCTCTTGTCCAGAGGCAGGTTGAATTCTTGGAGAACCTTTTGAAATCGAAATCATCTCCTCTTTAAATAAAAATATTTGAGGTTTTAAAAATTTGATTGAACGAATAAATTTATGTGAAAAGAGAGTGCAGACCATTTTTTCTAATTTTATTCACATTTTCGTTTAATAAATTTAAATGAGTTTTCATGTCATCATTGACTGTGAAATAAACCTTTTGCTTTTGCAGTTTCACAATAATTCACCGATTTTTGCTTAAATTTTTTTCATCGCACCTTTTGAAAGCTCTTCTGTGCCTTGTCGGCGTCGCCCAGGGCCTTGTGGCAGACGGCCGACCTCAGGTGCAGCTTGTGGGCGAGATCGTCAGGGTAGCCGCACCTGAAGGCGGCCTCCACGTCCTTGAGGCACTCTTCGTAGAGGCCGAGGGCCAGGAGGACGGCGCTGCGATTGGCCAAGGCCAGACCTCGAGGCCTGCTGTCCGCCGCCGCCACGGACGCGCTCTTGGTGTAAAGGGCGATGGCCCTGACGTAGTCGCCCTGTCTGAAGAACTCGTTGCCGTTCGTCCTCAGCACGTCCGGCTCCATACGTTCCAGTACTTGTGGATCACTTTATATTTCGCCGGCTTCAGCATGACGAACAAGAGATGCTTTTGGCGCAAATTCAAACTAATTGATTTGGAACCAAACTGAAATTAAAGGAAAACACCGACCATGAATTAAAGGCCGATTATTTATGTTGTTTTAACAAAAAAAAAAATAAAATAAAGACAATGAAAAGATGCGTGAGGTAGAAAAACCAGCATCCACAGACGACTCAAAAAAGGGCGACGGACGCCGACGACGTATGATCTCTGTCGTTCGGTTGACTCTGAAATGTAACTCGTGCGACTCAGATTACGTGTGAAATGCAAGTTTGTTAAGTTTCGGTTGTTTTTTTAAGGTAAACCAGCTCCATGCAGATACCGAAAGGTGTAAAATTAATGCCAAAAATGCCGATTTCTTCTCCTCCCCAAGTTGATGTAAACAAAAACTCTTGAAAAGAAAGCGCATGCGCTTTATAGTATCAACTAGAAATTCAAAAGTTTTCAAGTTTTTGCCGCGAATGATGCATGCAAGAGAATAATTTTCCAGATGTCCCAGTCATTAAAATATAAATGAGGGGCTCAAAGCTCAAACGAGACGAGCATCACATATAGTTTCTGCATAATCAACAAGTGAAAATCAGATTTCACTTCAACATTATAAGATAATTAAAATTTAATTTTTTTTAATCTCATTTTTACAACTAATACCATCACTTATTGTAAACAAAACAAACAAGTTCCTTATGTACAACAATTATGATTCATTAATAGAAGTAACATCACATGCTTCAATTAGGTTTACAATCAAATTAAAAGATAATTATTCCGCAGGGCTAGACATGAGTTTGGGCTTCAAAATGAAAAGTACGGTGACAGACTAATGTTTCCAACATTTTTGGCAAAGGCTTTCAGGCCAAAGGCATTGAACTTTTCCTTTCCGTCGTCTCCAGAAATGTTAAGCGTAATGTTGTTTAGATTTGGCGCAAGTGCGAGGAGAGATTTGAAATCATTTGCAAAGCTGCGCACTTACAATAAATTGCTAACAAGTTTTGATACACCGAAGCTGCAAATCCTCGTTTTTTTCATTAATTATTTTAAGTAAATCTGGCTTTAGTATAACTTGCAAATCAACTGAGAAAAATGAATGGGAAAAAACAATAAAATAACTATTATATTCTGCAATGATCTGCAAACTCTGTTTTTGATTCATTCGTTGAAGATTATATCACCTAGAGGCTTCAGAAGTGGCTTTTCATTAATATAAAGAGAAACAGTAGAAACCGAATTGATTCCAGATCATTATCACCAATAGTTTGCATTAAAATATTGACATGCTTGCAATTACTTTCAAGGAAGCATTTACAATTATTTGCTATATTTCAGCTGAAATAGTAATGAAATGATTGAAGCTCGATTATTGGTACCTTAATATCAATCCTATAGCTAGGTCTGATTATAAAGTTGTGAAATAATAATATCCTTGCACACTTGACATTTGTTTACATTTATTTTTCTTTAGGCTCTTTCTAAGTTTCTTACCTCAAACTAAAGTTAAGAAAAATTCACAAATCGGCTTCGCTGTTGCAGTTATATGATTATAATTCTGATAAATTATTCATGCAGCAATCTGTAATACATAATTTTGGCAAAAATGTTATTTTGTTATTGGATGAAATTTTTTTATCAAAGAGGACTTCCATTAATTCTCTAATTTACAAGAAAAACCAGGAAGTATAAAATGGTATGCGCTCTTGGTAAAAACCCATGCATTGAAACAACCTTGTTGGCTCGCGGTGTTCCCGCGCATTTTTTGTACGAATATGGTGGAACGAACAGAGGAAGGACAGTAGCTGTGGATCGGGCTCCCATAAAAAGCATTCTAAGCCAAAACACAAATTTCACTGTAGGGAAAATTTTGCATTTATATATAGTTTCATCGTAAAATTTTTATGATCGTTAAGTTTTTAGTTGAAAAGCAAAATTTTCTATCATAAATTTGGCAAAAATAAATTTTCAAACAAAGTTAGGCACATGATAAAGCTAAGCATCACAACTAAAATGACACTCTACAGTTTGGTGCATTTCTCTACAACAAATGTTCACATTTCGCAGTACCCAGATAAATTTGATGCATTTAATTTAATTTTAGATTAGTTAATTTTCCAAAATACTATTTTAAATTTACAACTGAGTTGTACTGGGCACGAGAAAGTTTCAATTTTCAAAACAGCTTGGAAACCAAATTAGATTTTTTCTCGATTCAATGAGTGTTAATTTTTTTAACTAACAAGCTGGTCTTTCAATCATTAGCGGCCAACCAACGCAGCTCCATGGTCCATATCTTGTATTGTCTGTGTGGAAAATGTTGAGTGATTCTGGAATAGAGACGTAATGGCGTGTCTCGTCGTCTTGCTGACCAGCAGCTCTTTCGCCGAACACAAACTTCTTGGAGCGTGATTGCAGGTACAAAAAGATGTACATGGCGGCTTGGCCGTACAATTGATCATCTCTCCGGTGATGACGTTCGGAGTACTCATTCGTGATGCTGACGCAAACTCTGAAAATTTCGTCAGACTCGAAGTTTCTCCGATAAGCTCCGTCGACTGACTCAATGTGTTTGGACAACTTGAGGGCCAGCAGCATGCAGTTGAGGTCATTGTGCACAAAGTCTGCACCCATTTTCTGATCATCAGATCGAGGCCAGTCAAAGATGCACGCGTCGCACTGGCACTCATACGAGTTGAACTTGTTCACCATCTGACGGTCAGCGAGCGGAAAGAACCTACGAAACGATTCCGAAGTTAAGAAAACTCATTAAACCGTCAAAAGCATTACCATGTCAATTTAATCACCTTATTTATAATGAGACTCATCTCCAATTCATTCTTTAAAATTTAAGTTCCGGGGCAGCTATATCCAAATTATTTTCAAATCATTCAATTTGTGTCTGATATATTGAAATAATAAAAAATGAAAACAATCCTGGACCATTTTTTTGACAACGTTTCCAATAATAAAATGTCTCAGGAAAGTTTAAAGCTCACTTTGAAGCACTTTGAAGAAAAAATGGAGAACAATAATTTGAAATTTTTGGCATATAATTCCTTGGCACAATTTAGGAAGTTAGTGGATTTCTAAGAAAAGCAAACTTATCACAACCTCAGAAGTTATTACCTCTCTATGTATGTCCTATAAACATTTTATCAAGGTTGTTTTAATCTTTTAAACAAAGAGATGCATTTAGTTCAAGAAGAGTCATGTTTTTTTAACGAGTTCTAAAATTTTAGGGATTTATTTTCACAAACTTTGGATTTAGGGTCAATTTAGTTGGAGCAACTCTTGAGATACATAAAAAAGGGCAAAAACTGCACTAAGGGGCCCAAGTTGACATGGTTATTAAGCTATTTTTAATCGTTTGCGTCAACTTGTGAGCATATTTTACCTGTAGTCTAAGTCAGCCTGAAGGAAAATCTCCTCGCCACATCTGATAGGTCTGAGCAACTTTAGGACCATTGTCTTTCCGTGGAAACACTGGATCGTGTTTGGATCACAACAGTAGTTGAACTTGGTGGCTGTGGCGAAAAAGCCCCAGGCGTGTTGATTGTGGTCAAGGCAGTCATAGTGGTCGCCATTCTGAGAAATGACACACTCGAGGATGCAGAATTTGTACCTCTCGAGAATGGAAGAGATCTCTGTGAGGAAGGTGGCCAGTCTTTTGGTCTCTTTAGGACTGAGCTTGAAGCTGGCCACAACTTGGTCCACAACAAATGACTCATCAAAGTCCTTGACACGTCTATACCCAATTTTGACCTTCTTCACAGCAAAGATTTTCTTGATGCTTTCAGAGGCAGTTTCCAAAACTTGGTGCTTGTCGTCGTCAGACAATGCGGTGATGCAGTTCTGCAAACCCAGGAAGGAGATGACCTTGAAGAGGTGGTCGACGGCGATGAGCACCGAGGTCTTGATTTGCTTCTTCTGCTTCCTCAAAATCCCATCGATGGCAGATTGTTTTACTCCGCACTCGACTCTGTGGTGCTTTTGCAGAGCTTCAGCCCTGCACATCTTGGAGCAATAGAGAGACTGTGGGAATAAAATTACAACATTAAGGATTGTTTTTTAAACTTAAATGCAGAACAGTTACCCACGAACATGACGGGCAGGGTGTGAGGTTGAGACAAAATTTGAAGCACTCGTGGCAGTACGTCCAATATTTCTCTTCACTGTCGTAGTAGTCAAAGGTTAATCCGTACATCATCGGGTTTTCAACCAGAATCACATCGCCTGAAATAAATCTTGAGTTAAAAAGAATTTAAAAATCAGGAATCTCTCCTCACCGATGGACAAATCTCTTTCTGCGACGTAAACATGGCCCAAGGTGGGATTTGGTCTCTTCCTCACACCAGCGGACAATGCTGGATTCTCCTGTTGAGCCCCGTAGCTCAGCTCAGGTGGATTCAGGTACTGCACCCTGATCCTCGGGACTTTCGGCACATGAACTTCTTTAAATTGCCTGTTCGCGTCCTCAGCGACCTTTTCCCTCTTGTCCAGAGGCAGGTTGATTTCTTGCAACACCTTTAATTCAAATCTCATCTTAGCAAATGGTTTAGAAAATGTAGAATATTTTGGGACAGAATTAATTGTGTTTTTGAATCAAGGATGCAAACTTTTTTATAAATAATATGATCAGTTTTGTATTTAAAGAGAGAAAAAATTGGTTTAAAGGTACAAAAATGCTACTTAGATCGAAACAGAACTCAATTCAGTCTTTTTTTAGGATTTATTTTTTTGTTTTCTATTTCAAAATTTATAAGTAGGATAAATTGACAACAAAAATTTAATAAAAATATTTATAAATTTCGCAATGAATAATTATCATTTAGAAGATTTTTCCATCACCTTTTGAAAGCTCTTTTGAGCCTTGTCGGCGTCGCCCAGGGCCTTGTGGCTGACGGCCGACCTCAGGTGCAGCTTGTGGGCGAGATCGTCAGGGTAGCCGCACCTGAAGGCGGCCTCCACGTCCTTGAGGCACTCTTGGTAGAGGCCGAGGGCCAGGAGGACGGCGCTGCGATTGGCCAAGGCCAGACCTCGAGGCCTGCTGTCCGCGGCCGCCACGGACGCGCTCTTGGTGTAAAGGGCGATGGCCCTGACGTAGTCGCCCTGCCTGAAGAACTCGTTGCCGTTCGTCCTCAGCACGTCCGGCTCCACATTCCAGTACTTGTGGATCACTTTATGTTTCGCCGGCTTCAGGAAGCTTATCATGATTTTTTACGGTTGTGTGAAAGTGGGCGTAACTCTCGATTTACGAATAAATTTTTTTCGATCGCGGAAAAAACTTTTTACGGTCACGGAAAAACATTTTTACGGTCGAGCTAGCTTTTTTTCTGGCCACTAGATGGCGTTGTTCGTTTTACCGGCAGTGAACACACTTTACATGAGGCGAAAAACTTTTTCTCGGTCAGGTTAAAATTTAACATTGATCAAATGGAAGTGATTTTTACGGCTGCTCCTAGCAGCCGAAAATTTTGAACCGTAAAAAAGCTGATCATTGTCAATAGCTTGGATGTTTGAAGTGAGGTTTCTATAATAAATAAACAGATAGATCATTCGTTGTGCTAATATTATGTGAATGATTTACTGTAGGGCAATTTGTGTATCTCCCAATTAATTAAAAATTAAGGGAAAGGTATTTATAGTGCAATTTAATGTGACAAACCATGACCTATGCTCCGAACCAGTCGCAACAATTTCTTTTAATCCGCGGCCGGGCCGATAATTTAAGGAGAATAGCATACGAAATTGATCTAAATTTAATATTCCATCAAATTATTATCAAAGCGATTGGGCAAAATAAAGAAAACTCAATTTTTTACCGTTTTTATTCCACTTCCATGATCAAAACAAACCCACGCCACACACGCCCCCCCAGCGCCACCGTAAAAACTGTTTCACAAGTGAAAAAGATTTACGCGCAAGTGAAAAAGTTTTCCGAACGGAAAATTTTAGCTCCGCCCTCCGAAAATATTTTTCCTGACCGAAAATTTTAACTCCACCCAACGGAAAAAGTTTTTTCGTAACCGAAAATTCTCGCGACCGTAAAAAAATCATGATAAGCTTCCAGCATGAAGAACAAGATGAGATGCTTTTGGCGTAAATTATAACTATACTTGATTGGAACCAATCTGAAATTAGGGGAAATTCATTTATCATGAATAAAAGGCTGATTATTTGTGTTAAATTAAAAAGAAATGAAGAAAATGCACACGAGGGGGACAAGAAAAAACACCAAAATTGACTCGCAATAAAGTTCGACGACGCGCGGTGACCGTACCTATTACCTCTGTTTTGCTGGCTCTGGTCACTGGTGCGACTCAGACATCACGTGTGACCGGCGGGCTATCTAATTTTAGTTGTTTAAATAGGTCAATAAGTACCGGCAGAGACGAAAAAGTGTAAAATTAAGACGCTCGATTACAGATTTCTGAACTGGAGTCGACAATGTCAACAATAACACAATCCTAATGAAGGCGCATGCGCAGAGCAGAAACTCCTTACTTGGAATTCAAAAGTTTTCAAAGTTTTTGCCGCGACAGATGCATGCAATTTATAATAAGAAAAATGTTTGAAAATAAAATTTCATCACAATATCATATTCTTGAATGTAATGAACAAAAACTAAGCCTAAGAGAGGCTGCAAAAATCAGAATTAACTAATTTTTGTACTTTGTAATAATTACTGAAACAAGCTTAATTGTAAAATTAATTTTAGGAATACAAATTAGCTTTAGACACCCGTTGTACACCTAGTTGTGTTCAATAAATACTCTATCTATAAATTTAGCAGTCTTCGTCGCTTTATTCAGAGTACAAGTTTATGAGAACAAAAATGAGTCATTTGTTGAAAAAGTATTAATATACATAATCTTGACATCATTGAAATTTACTTAATTAGCAATTACAAGCAGGAAAGCTAAGAATCATAGGATAAAATTCAATTTATATCATTAAAACTAAAATTATATCCGTATCAATTTTCAGAGCAAACGTGAAACTAAAAACATAATTCAATTTGACAATTTAATTAAAAACATTTAACTTCTACTATGCTATACATCTCATTCCAAATTTTGGAGCGTTAAATTCTAAATTGGCATGGGCCATACACCCTATGTAAAACACCCTAATCTTCACATTTGCACGGATATGGAAAACTTAAATATGGGTGGTCAACTTTTCAAGATCAATTTCATTTAACTTATTCTATGTTGAACTTTATCCAAGTGCGCCAAATATTCATTTTCCTTTTTTTTTTAAAGGAGCACTTTCAATTCCAATCGAAGTTTCTATTTAGCTTCTTTAAAGTCTGAAGATGCTAATTCTGTTAAAATTGGTGAGAGTCTTAAGGTTAAAATGAGTGAGTTTTCCCGCATCAGTTTGATCTGTCCTCCCAGAGTTAATTGCCTTTGTCGCCACCTGCAGAAAAGGATAGGAAAGGGCCGGGGCGTAAGGAACAAATGAATCTTCGGTCGGGCGGTTCTGAGAGCGAAACGACTAAATAAAGCGCTTCAGATTGTTAGACGGGCGAAAAGGGATGCAAGCATTGATGGCCTCTGGGAATCTCTCGTGCCCAGGTAACATTGAGTATTTGAAAATATATGAAATATTTTGTGAATATTTCCAATATATTCCGTATATTTGTATTTGCAGATTTTATTTGCAGAATAATAATGAGTATTAGATTTATAAATATTTGCAAAAAATCTTTCTTGAATAATTGCAGTCAAATATAACATAAATATAAAATTATCGAATGATAAATTTCCATTTAAATGTTTGTGAAATGTTTGGCGAATATTTTGGTAGAAATATAACGGTTTCGCTTCTTGACCGCTGTGGCGCTGCTGGCGCAGTTATCGGCTTTGTTTTTGTTTCAAAGCAATTAGGATTGGGAGTCGCGAATTTTGTATTCCGTCAAATTTAAACACTTTTCAAAGTGAAAATGCAGCTCGACTCCGTCCAAATCCACCTCTACTATGAAATTAAGGTATCAACCGTAGAAATTGACAATTCTTTAGCTTATAATCTGATTTTTAGCTCGATTTATGTATGCAAAAACACGCCAGAGCGGTCTGTGAAATTCGACGTGCAAGAGCAGCAAAAACCGGTCGCCTTTTTCACAAATTAAACGGCCGGCGGCCGCGCGATGCCCAAAGCTGAAGATGGATCAAGTTTGAAATTACCCCGGCCGTTTCCCAGCCTTGCACAATCATCCTTGAAGGAAGAGCCTGGAATTTTGCAAATGTCGGGGTCGGACAACAGGATCCAGAATTTTCCAGGGATCATTGCGAGACTGGAAACAGAGCAGCGCGCCTCTGTTCTGAACTTAATGTGAGTGTTATGCTTTGAATTTCTAAATAACGTAGCTAATTTTTCAAAACTGCTATTTATAATTTGGTTTTCATTTTTGTAGGTGGAATAAGTCATAAAATTAATTAAAAGGCAAAAAATCTATTTTCAAATTTTTTTTACCCTTATGTTTTTTTTTCTTTTTTGCAGTTGTTTTGGACACATCACAAAATGCAATTTGTGGACGTGCCGGAGTGGTGGCTTTTTGGAATCTGGCAGTTACACACAAGAAAACGTCAGACTGTGGTTCGTCTAACAATAAGTAAAAAATATATAAAATGCTAATATTATTATTTTTATTATTAATATTGAACTTGACTAAACCAATTTCTACATTTTGTAACAAATTTCATGGTTATGATACAAAAATACCTTTGATAAATGATAAAATCTGGTACAAACTAAATTTTGAAATCTAAATTTCAAATTGAATTGCGCCTTACTAATATTTGAAAATGAGAAATTTTACTCGAGCAAATCACTGGTCTTTCTCTGCACACAAAGAAAAAAAATGTTATGCAGTGAAAATTTATTTATCATTAAATTTTAAAATTAGTCACTTGTATTTAAAATTCTGTCATTGTACTGTACAGCAATCATAGTTTTTGGGCAAGTTTGTGCCTCGTCCACAAACGGCACAAACTCTTCAAGTTGTTTCATTTAAGCAGCATTTTGTAATTATATGGATTAGTCAAAAGAATAAGTTGAAATTTCAATACACACAAATAGGAAAAGCAGCCAAGCGGACATATTTTGGTTGGTAAAAAATTATTGCATTATTTTTTAGCAATTTTTAGGACATTCTTGTGATTATTTGAAAAAAAAGATGAATCAGCAGTTTTTATTGTGATCCTTTAAATAAAAGGGCCCCTGAAGTCAACCTTTTTATGGTTTTAACCTATTCGATTGAGCAGTCCGAACGAAACATTTGCCTGGGGTGACCGAAAATTTGGAGTTCGTATCGGCTCTATCGGCAATTAAAATAAATGGGCGTCGGACTCTCTCTGCGCTTTTGCCGCATGTTCGCCTGCTAAATTTTGGCCCACAGTCTCGGCAGCCTCGGCAGGCTGAAGCGAGAGAGGAGCCACTATGTGCCAGCGGGCTAATGCGACACGGCGAACCAAATAAATGTGCCCCGCGCGTTTAATATAATAAGATAAGCGGTTTTACCCTTCACCTTGGAGGCACGGCCGTAGTCCCGGGTCCGTTTGGGGTCCTCGGCAGGTCGGCGAAATCCTCTGTCGTCCAAATTCGGCGAGATACGGGCATCCGAGGCACCAAGAGGCTTTGTTATATCGTTGCACATACTCTCCCTCCATCCTGACTGGCAGTGGCTGCTGCTGCTTGATGCTCGAAGACCAGAGCAAAAAGCCCCAGGACGGGGTTGAGAGCCGTGTCGCGAGAGGCAGGCAGAAAAATTAAAATGACATCGCGCGCAGATTAAAAATATTATTATAAATTATAACACGTATAAAATCAACTTCATATTTGCACCATAGGTGATGAAATATGAAATAAGCGTGTTTTATTTTTTATAAATGGTGCAAATATGAAGTTGATTTTATACGTGTTATAATTTATAATAATATTTTTAATCTGCGCGCGATGTCATTTTAATTTTTCTGCCTGCCTCTCGCGACACGGCTCTCAACCCCGTCCTGGCTTTTGCTCTGGTCTTCGAGCATCAAGCAGCAGCAGCCACTGCCAGTCAGGATGGAGGGAGAATATGTGCGACGATATAACTAAGCCTCTTGGTGCCTCGGATGCCCGTATCTCGCCGAATTTGGGCCGACGGAGGATTTCGCCGACCTGCCGAGGACCCCAAACGGACCCGGGACTACGGCCGTGCCTCCAAGGTGAAGGGTAAAACCGCTTATCTTATTATATTAAACGCGCGGGGCACATTTATTTGGTTCGCCGTGTCGCATTAGCCCGCTGGCACATAGTGGCTCCTCTCTCGCTTCAGCCTGCCGAGGCTGCCGAGACTGTGGGCCAAAATTTAGCAGGCCAACATGCGGCAAAAGCGCAGAGATAGTCCAACACCCATTTATTTTAATTACCGATAGAGCCGATACGAACACCAAATTTTCGGTCACCCCAGGCAAACGTGTCGTTCGGACTGCTCAATCGAATGCGTTAAACCCATAAAAAGTAATTTAAATTTACAACTTTGCTTAAGTTTCAAAATAAAATCTCAAAGGATAATATATAATTAATCTAATTTTATACAAAAATTTTTAATTTTTACCTTTTTAATTTTGAAAGTCTTTTGCGATGCATTCGGATTAAATTTTAATCTAAAAACTTAACATTCTGGAAAATGCAATGAGGTATTTTCTTTTTTTGTTTTCTGTTTTATAAACGTCCACGAGAATCGTTGAAGCATTTTTTTTTTTGCTATTTTAGAGTCACTGAAATTTTGTGTTAATTTTTCAATATTTTTTAGCTTGGCCTGACTTATATTTTGTTAGATATTAATTATTTTACTTTTCAAAATGCTTTGTTCTTAACGGCTCCTTCACTACTCGACAAACAAATTGCGCTTGAATCAGTAAAAAAATGTGTAAACCTTGAAGTGACACCCCAATTTTGATTGAACTTTGGTTTGCAACCGACTTCCTTGTGTATAATTCATATTGGTAAAAAAAAAATACTTGAAGGAAGATAATGGCTTGATGTTAAAAATTGTGATTGCGTTTTTTATTTTTGACTTAATTTTCATTTTTAAACCCGTGTAAACTATTGATTGAGACATATTAATTAAAAAAAATATGCATTAAAGTGAGAGTTGTGTAAGGCTTAATTAATTTTAAACTAAAGAAAATAAACAAGTGTGAAAAAATTGTTTCAGAGATTCGTAGGGCTGTGTAAGTTGCATTCTAAGTAAACATTTCCGTCAAACTGATGTGTCTTACTTAATTAATATTAAAATATTATATGTTCTAAATTATTTTTTCTGTGTTTGTTATCTCAATATCATGTATGTATTTGAAATTCTATTTTACATGTAAATTTTCCTTGTATTTTTATGTTTAAAATTTTGTTTTTGTCTGATTTTATAGTAATAAAGTTCCATTTATTGAAGAAAACTGTGTTTTAAATATTCTTCCATGTATATTCTGTAAATATTCACAAATATTCCAGAAATAAAAGAAATATTCACAAATATTTAAAAGTAAATATTGACCTGCGATCTAAAAATCATTTTATGCTTGCCAAATATTCCACAAATATTCCACAAAGATAAATATAATAATATTCAGGAAGATTTAAAAAATGTTACATCCAAATACTTGGGAAATATTTGTAGCCAAATATTTCCAAATATCCAGGAATATTCAGCAAATATTCCACAAATACTCATTGTTTCCTGGGTGGTAGTACTCAAGATGCAAGAGCTTTACGGGGTGACCAAGTCTCCTGATTCATAATGCTTTTTAGGAAAAAACCCTTCCGTGCAGATTAGATTGCCTACCATCAAACAACCATCCGTGCAAGGCTCGGTAAGCTTGTCCAGCGTCGGCTTGGCTTGCAGTTTTCATAAAGACGCAGCAGTCATCTGCAGTCGAGTCCACCTTGTAATGCAGAATGTTAAAGTTCTGCCCACACTTTTCAAAAATGGCATCAACAACTCTTTCAGAAGAAGCAGATCTAGATGTTATAAGAAATATTTTAATATCTTGGTAAACTATGCAATTTCGATTTGAAAAAAAACTCACTTGCGCGGAAAGAACTCGAGTTGAATCTCCAGGTACTGAGCAGGGAACACAGGTAGAGAAGTCAAGAACCCATCGTCAATTTCTACGGCTGGTCTCTGCCAACCTTTGCTCATGTTACCTTTTGACATCTGGGATGCACTTTCAGACTGCATGATGAAAGCAAGTTCTTACATTTGCAAGTGGAAAAATTATAATAATTACGTTTTCTCTTTGTTCTGCCACATCATCTTGAAAATTCTGATAGGTTCTGTTTCCTTGAGGACACCTGGAGTGAATCCATACAAGGCAATCAGTCTCTTCACCACCGATTCTTTTCGTCTCCAGCCTGATGTGTGGGTCGTGCTTCAAAACGCTAGCCAATGCCTCTTCCCAGATGTTTTTCATACCTATATTATAAAGAATTTGTCAACAACCAAGATAAACAAAAATTAAATAACACACATTCGATGTTGTTGGCTCCAAGAAGCTCATCTCTCAGCTGGTCGATGGGAACATCAAAAGGCCCGTTTGCAAGTTCTGTGCTTTTCATGCGATTTCTGATTCTGTTGATCAGCGCCTTTTTCCGAGCCTGATCCTTGAGAGCCCTGTCCACAAAGAATTTGTGCACATGACCCATAATGGCCAACAGCAATGCAAGCGCTGAGAGTTAAAAATATAGTTAATTAAAATTTCTCTTCTTTAATCGAAAACTAACCAGCACACACTGCAATAATGGCAATGGCAATAATGGTGATCATAAACACTGCAATCAACCCTCCAATCTTCATCAGCTCGAAGGAGAACAGGGTTGGAATTCCAGCTTCAGTCATGGTAATGGATTTTGCCTTGATTTTGGTGATGGTGATCTCTATAACTCGCTTGTCACGGCAAGTAATTTGCTTCAAGGCACTGCTGTCAAAAATCATCAAAAATTGAACGAATTTAATAACTTTCCAAGAAAATTCGCGTTCATTCACACCCAGCGATGCTCAAATATTTGAATTATGTACCCTTATCTCTGTCGTTCGGTTCATTCCGGTCACTGGTGCGACCCAGAAGTCACGAATGACCAACGATTAACTGATTTTAGGTTGTTTAATTTGGTCAATTAGCACCAAAAAGTGTGAAATTCCAGTCACAGTCACCCAGTCGACAATCGTCAACTCTCCTGATGGAAATTAAGGCGCATGCGCAGAGCAGAAAATACACCGAATTCAAAATTTTCAAACGTTTGGCGCGAAAGATGCATGCAACAGTAGAACGCTCTATTACGTTCTCTCTTAAAGGTAAGTTTCACGTTTCACAACGAGACAGAAACAACATTGAGATCAATTAAGATGAAGAAAATAATCAAAATAAATTTGAATTCAAAATTTTTTTTCAATAAAAAATGTAAATTTCCATTGAGGAAAAATTGTAATAGGACGAAAAAGACTCGCCTCAAGCATTAATGAATAAACTGTATATATCATAAATATTTTGTATTAAATTGCTTATTATTATTTATTATTATTGTTGTTGTTTATTTTTCCTAATTATTACATCACATTGTTAACATAAAATTGTTGAAAAAACAACTTTTTAAAAATAAAGTTAATTTTTGACACAAAAACCGTAGTTGCTAAAAATTTGATGGTGAGATAATAAAAGGCTTCTTCCGCCAAAATGAGCCTTGGTTGACTTACACATTTACTTTTTATATTTAAAAGCAAAAAAGTCAAGATATACAATTTTCACCCATTTTAATCCGTTCATTTGGGGGCCCATAATATGTCCGAAATAATTGTGTCCGAATCCGGAAAAATAAAGTGTCCGAAAATAATGTGTCCGAAATATTTTTGTCCGAATTTTTTCAAAATTTTCTCCGAAAATACTTCATCCGAATTTTTTTTTCTCCGAAAAATGGTTCATCCGAAATTAAACTGTCCGAAATTGAGTAGTATGGTAATGTATAGTATTCTTATTTATTTATAATTCACAGCCCGTTAAAAATAACGTTTGTCACAGAGTTCCAGATTAAGTCGAGGTTCATGGGTCTCTAGTCCGAGTCAGATTCGTGCTGGTTGTCCTGACGCCGCTTTGGCCTCTGATGTTGGACTGGTTTTTGTTAAAATTAAAAATATGTTTAAGTTATATATAAATAAATAGAAATATATATTCCTGTCTTTCTGCAACCCTCAAAGGATCGTACATTCTGTATGAAAGCCTCTCCAGGAAAAGCCTGATGGTAATGCTCCCGTCAGCAAGTCTGTTTGTTCATTTTACTTCTTAAATTCCATGTTAGCAATTAGTTTCAGAATATTATATTGTTGTATATTCCGTTTATTCTTCACAAATCAAGTCAAATGAAATTAATCACTAAAATTGCTGCTGCCACACGAGATTTTTGCACAGGGGGGAAAATTGTTGTTCAGTTTTCAGTAAAACTTATAGGTTCAATTTGCAATTTAAATTGAAAAATTAACTGCAGTTTTACAAAATAATGCGTTTTAGTGGTAAATTTGTGGTCAGCAACTGAAGCAATAAAGAGTGGCTCACGGTCAGGGGGTGATGATTAAGCACAATCAATAGCAGTCTGCCGTGGGGTGCGTGATTTTGTTCTCCAGACCGCAATCTGTGCTGACACGAACGTGTGCTGCGCCGTTGGTCAGTTGCCGCGGGTCGCGCTCTTGCGCAGGCAAACGAGGAATCTGCTTTTGCGCCTCAATCTTCTGCCCTGGATTTTCGCACCAAGAAGACCTGAGTCTGCAGGTGTTTTCCCTACACTATCCTGGCGATCGGAAAGTCGGAGAACATCATGCGGAATCAGTGCTTACAAATCATCGGCGGCGGTGACCAGTGTCAAGGTCGCGGCATGCCTCTGTGTTTTGTTTATTTTGACGTGCCCATTCAGTTTGTTAACGACCACGAAGCGGCCGAAGATTGCAGGTTTGCCGTTTTTTTATTAATTCTTTATTCGTTACAATTATAATCCTTTACGAGATTTTTAGTTTGACTTTTACTATTTTGTTTTTCCTTTAATTTCATAAAAATTTCATGTAACATTTTATATATTTTTTAATTATATTTTTTGGGGAATTTTCCATATTAATATTAATACTTCTATTGTTATAAACACATGGAAAAAGATCAATAAAAGCTCATTCCCATTTACCGTCAAACGAGGAAATAACGAAGGTCAAGAAGATACACATCAAAATGGAAAAAAAATTCAAAAGCGAGCTTCTAGATCGAATCATACATATACTTGGTACTTGACTTGACCAAAACTTATCTATAATGAAAACGAGACATTTTTAAGCACAGTGAATCAGTCTTTTTCTAAAATTGTCACTTCTCGTTTATCTTTGATACGTTTTCTAAAACTCATTTTTCAATAATGTGGTTAACAACCGTTTGATTATAAAAAATCTAGTGGCTTTTTCGACACATTTAAAATCAAATAACTAAAAATTAGCTCGTGTTACAATTTGTATCCAGTTCGTCAGGTTAATATAAATCCAATTTTCCAATTTTTTTAAATACGCTGAGCATTCAATTAGAAAGTTAATTTATACAAAATATTATTCTGATTTCTAATGAAATTTGAGCAATTTTGCTTCCATTCTTATTTTAAATCAAAGCTTTTTGGATTTTTGTATATATTAATTATTTAAAAAAAAAATTATTCACGATTTAAAATTAATTCATACAATTTGTTATAAAAATTCCTATAAAAACAGGATAATTTTTAACTTTAACACACAAATTTTTCCATATCAAAAACTACAGTTGTTTTATTCTGTATAAGCAAGTTATTTTTCCGCTCACACTTCACAGTATTTGCAAAAGATGACTTGTTCGACTGTTGCGGCGTGAAAAGCTACTCTGAACGGATGCGAGCCGCGGTCTGGAGGGCGAGGCTCAATCAGAGTCACTTTAAACTCGGTGGTCCGTGAAACGAGAGCGTAAAAAGCGGCCGCGCATCGTGCCTTTTCATTACCATAATCACGAATTGTCGGTTTTCATAATTCCGAATTCAATTCTGGACGCCCTCGGCCACCGTCGTCTTACACAACATTTTATATTATGCTCGCTCGTCCGTCCGCGCCTCACATTGTTATACGTTTGAATAAGTGAAGTGAAGTGGTGCTTGTGTTGCTTCGCAGGAAGACTTTGGCGTCGCCTGACCCATGCTCCAGCTCGGGCGCCGCTGAAGAATCGGCGCCGTCAAATGAACTGCCGGGAAGCTCTTTGCAGAAAAAAGCCACAGGTTAGGTTTTTTATACACCAATTTATGTAAATTATCTGATTATTTTTAAGGTTTTTAACAGACTTTATTAAAATCTATTAATTTTCGGTTGAGCTCCGTGGGAAATATTAAATGGAAAATTTCTGTCATTTTTCGAATTCCAACGCACAATGTAATTTTACTGCTTGAAAGACTGTAAAACAAACAATATTGTTTTCAATTTTAAGAAGGTTTGGAAATAAATTTTAATTATTTGCACTAATATTACTATTTTTGCAGTTTTTTCTGCATATTGTGCTGAATATTGCCAGATTTTATAATTAATTGCTTATAATTGGTTTATTTTTTGTGAGACCATAATTGAGAAAAAAGACCCGGATCATTGCAAAAAAGTGGCTCTTGTATTAGTAGAGCTAAGAACAGAAATTTTAAAAAGCGCCGACTAAAAGAGGAAAACAGAAGTGGAATTGCCAAAAAAGAGGAAATTTCACATGGTCTACGTTCAGAGCTGAGGATTAAAGTTTTCAAAATCGACCACTAAAAGACTAAAAGTCCCGGAATTGCCAAATAAAAGAAAAAGTCGAACAACTCGGTTGTTTCATTTTTGCTTTTTTCAGTCGTCCCGCTTTGAAATTAGTCAAATTATTATACGACTAGCAAAATAGAGCTAAGGCCTAAAATTCTTACAAAATCGTCGACTAAAAGAATGAAATATACGTGGAATTGCCGCAAAAAAGTGGAAATCTCAGCACACATCGTCTTTGTTTAGAGCTGCGGATGAAATTTTGTTATTGCGTCGCTGCTTCCACAATTGTTTTGAAGCTGCGATGAGATGCGCACTTTGTTTCGCTGCCCATCGTTTTATATTACTATTGATGTCATTAACTCAGAGCGATCCGTAATTAATTAATAATTTCCTTTTGCCGCAAAGGGCGTGTCCGAATCGCTGGATATTTATGAAGAGTGCAAGCAGGGCACCGACTGACGGAGCACATCGGAGCAGCTCCTCATGCATGCATTAAAATAAAATAATCAAAGGGGCCACTGCACTTATACGCGCCGTTCACAATCCACGCTTTCCTCTCCGTCAAAAACTATAATCGGCCGCGGGTAGAAAAGATCAAGATTGCGATAACACGATGGACCATAAAATTTATGCTAAAAATAGAATGGAAAGCATATTTGATTATGAGAGTGCATTAGTTGCTCTTTTATAGTTGTAGTCAATTCTTGGAAGGATATTTTTTATTTAAAAATGCTTCAAGTCAGCGATTTGATACAAACAAATTTTCAAACAAAAGCCAAAATAAAATTTAAATGAAAAGGCTCAAATTATGCTCTCTGCGTTTTAATTTCTGATTATTTTGCTTTAAATGCAAGTAAAAGAAATTTTACCAAAAAGATATAAATAGTCCTTGTAAATATTAAATATAATATTTTTTTTTATTAATTTATATTAACTCTTTTGCGATTCATATATTAAAAAGTTGCCGAATTCTTCAATCTACTTTTTATATTGATGGCAGATCGAGGGGAGGACGCGAGTGGCCACCACCAGTTTGAAAATCGAACGTCAAAAGATTTCAAGGATCAAAATCACAAACGAATCAAAGCAGAGGCCTCAGAAATGCTGCTGAGGGAAACCTGGAACGCGCCAAGACCACCATCGTCGTGCAACACGATTGTGTAAGTTCACCTCCCTATTACTGCATGCGACTGACTAATTATTCGCACACCACCCTTGCTTTTGTAAATTCAAACTTTTTTCATTAGCACTTTTAAATACGTAATTTTGATATAAAATCGCCATGAATAGTTCAAAATGTCAATTTTGATTAGTTTCACTTACAACAAACTCTCATTATGCAAACACATTTTCCGTTCTCGCCGCCGCATGCCACCGTCGATCTTTTCCATTTTTTTCCTCCCTCCGTCATCGCCACGATCGTTTTACAACAGAATAAGGGCAGCAGCTGTTTTGCAGACTATTAGCCTAGAATTTTCCACTCGAAAAGGTTCTCCAGCGCCAGAGGAAAAAAATTGAAACAAACAAATCTTCAGTATATCAATTAGAAGTATTAAAACCTAAGCATAATGTCCGTTCAAATTAAAATAATACTAAGTTAATTTCATCCATAAAAATAAGTAAACAATTATGATTAATTTTAACTTTTAAATTATTTAAATTAATTATTAAATAATTTATTAACACCTTGAATGTCAAAATAATTAAGCTCAATTTTAGCATAATTTATAAAGTTTAAACAGGCGAAACGCTTGATTTCTACCTTATTAAGAGAGTGTTTGCGTGCGCTTTATCTAGCCGCAACATACATATAATAATATTCGCCCTAATACGAGCACGAAAGCCTTTTTTATTCCGCGCGCCACCCGAACATATGCATTCATTAATGCTTACATAGAAAAGGATGAAGTGGTTCAATCGAATGCAACAAAGTCGATATGCGCGGTGATGGATGAAATGGGCCCAGCCAGGCACAGAGAAATGCATAATTTGCATGCAACAACGAAATTGAAGCTAATGCGAGTAGGAAGTGAGTGGGCTGAATTTTCTATTGCCAAATTCGGCTTTGGCGTGTGAAAGAAAATAACTGGCCACGAAGATAATTGAATCTATCAAGAGGTCAATGGCATTTTCATAATTTATTCCATTGTGGAAATTTCCAGTAAGCTGGGAGCGTAGAATAAATTATAGATTTAATTTCTTTAAGAAAATCAAATTAAAAAAAAAAAAATAAGATTTGAAGTTTAAAAAAATTAAAATTACTTACAAAGTTAATAAAGTTTAACGTTTCTTAATATTTTAATTTTTAGTGTTTTTAAATTTAATAAGTTAATTTCATTTAGACCCTTTAATTAATATGTTGATTTTGTTATAAAATTTGCTTTAATTATTTCTAATTTAGTTGCAAATTGTGTTTATTGATATATCACAAAGGCAATTTAAACTGAAATCATATGTTTAAGTTTTTTAATTTTCTATTTTAGATGATTTTAGAGACTTGATTGAACTCAGATTGAACTAGTCAAAATTTATTACTTTTCCAGAATATTAAAAGCAATTAGCCGCAAAATAATCAGGTCTTATTTGGGTTTCACATTTAAAGTGATTTAAAGCGTCCGTAAATTTTACTGTCTGCCAAAAATGTTTACTTCTCTGTATGCAAATTTTTTAAATTTAACCTTTTTCCAGCCGCCCCACTAAAGATTCGCTCTGATAACTCACGCAACCACGTCTCATTTTTCGCTCTCCAACTGACCGCCGCCGCTTCTTAAAGGTTTTGAATTTCACTCAACATTCCTGCGCCGAAACAAATGGGTCTCTTTATTTCAATCCTGTGGCGCTTAATTTTGCTTAGTGAATATAATTAAAATTAAAATCTCTTCCGCCCCACTTTTGCTGAAAAATTCAAAAGTAATCAGCATCTCGTTGAAATGAGGCCGACGAGACTATGCGTGTCGCCAAGGCACAAAGTCACCCCAATAAAAATCCACCCCTCGACTTATCTCGCCCACTTATTGTTAATCCGACGTGTTGGTCAGTTTGTCGTAACCCAGATCGGAAAGGCAGAAAGACGGAGCAAGGGGGGCATGCGCCTTCCTCGTCTGGCGTTTGCATAAATTAGCGCGCCACCCCTTCCGCCCCGAGCCTAGCTTTGCTCCCAATTCACCTTCGACCGCTCGCTGACCAACACTCAGTGCGCGAAATCCATATTTATCGAATATACTCGCAGACTAACCTTTCTCTGCCGCTTCCTTGTTTGCACTTGTAAGGATTAACTACTACCGCAAAAAGAAACACCCAAGGTTAGTAAGTCTGAATTTATACATTGACACGTAACTCACTCAATTATTATTTAATTTTTTCAGTGACAAATAACAAACTATTATCAAAGAGAGGGAATTTTAAAATTAAATTTTAATAGTTTCCCAAATTTAAAATTTTTATTTTTAATATTGAATTGATTTCTTTGTTTCGATCCTCTTGTTTTAAGTTTAAAAAGTACATTTTAAGTTATTATAATTATTATAATTATACTAATTATTTAATTAATTTTACTTCAATTAAAAGTAAATAAGTAATTAAGTTCAATATTAATTTTTATAATGATTAAATTGACGTAACTCACTCAATTAACAGTTAATTTCTTCAGCAATAAAATATTATCAAAGAGAATTCATTTTAAAATTAAATTTTAATATTTTCCTTGCTTTTAAATGTTTATTTTTAGTATTTTACTGATAATTTTAATTCAATGCTGGTTATTTGTTTCAAAATTTAAACAGAAATAAAAATAAAATTTTTTTAGAAAATTTAAAATTTCTTAATTTTGTGCATAAAATTATATCGAACAATTTTGAAAATTTCGGGTTTGCATTTATTGTTTTGCAGACAAGAGACGGTGACAACTACTACTTGTCGACGACGACTGCCTTCCGCCCCCGAGGCCCGCCTCCGCCGCCTCTTCTTGGCCGCCCCCACCGCTCAGCAGCCGGCAGCTCGCCCCCTCTCGGCCCCTGCGATGTGCAGCGACTCAGTTTTGCTGCCCGGCGACACCGGCACGCTCATGCCCAAAAACCGGACGCCCTGCTACTGCCACCACCAGCACGATGGCAACAAGGACCAGCAGGTCAGCGCAAACCTTCATTTTTCCATTAAATAAATTTTTTTCCACAGATGCAACAGCACATCGAGTTTTCCTGTCGTCTCAACTTCGACGACATGAATTACAACTACAATTACATCGAGAATGAATATTTCCTGCCCGCGAGAATCATCCCCCGCTTCTCGTCTCTTCCGAGGACGATGTCCATGCTCGCGAACATTTCAAAATCGTCAAGCTCGAGTGAAAACGAAGAGGAGTGCCACAGTTTGGCCGACAGTCTTGAGGATTTGTCCAGGTAAAAATTAAAAATTATTTCAGAAAAATAATATTTGTTTTAAAATACGTTTTCCAGATTGAGTTCGCGCCTAGGCGACGCCAAGTCGGCTTTGACGACGGCCCTGTCCACTCAGCAACCGCCGAAATCGCCTCTTCCCAAACCTGAAAAGTTCTTCGTCAACCTGAAGGAGCAGGAGCAAAACAACTTCGGTCTGCAGCTTCCCGAATTCCTGAGGGAGAAGCTGGAGAAGCGCCGGCTGGAGTTGGAGAGGAAAAAGGCGCTCGACCCTTTGCCGACGCCCAGAACCAGGACGCCGCGCCTCAACAGGGCCAGACGCATCGTCATCAACAAGTTCAACCAGTTCGAAAGCATTCCCGAGGAAAATCTCGACACCAACAACAGGATCAAGATTGCGCGATCCAGAGCTTTGGCCCGAAATTACCGTGAGTTTTTCTAACTAAGAAAAAAACCTTTAAATTATTTTGAGAAAAAAATTGATGACATATTGAGTTATAAGGCGCACCTGCACCAATCATTTTGTGGTGCGTCTTATAAAAAATTCAACACCCGATATAGGGAAAGTTAATTTTGTCTTGATCGATCAATAAATGAGAAGCTCCTCTAACAATAATAATAGAAAAAAGTGTTCATTTGCGAGTTTCTTGTGTAAAAATTTGGCCAGTGGAGCAAAACAAAAGTATAACGCGTGATTACACGACGCTTATCTCAAAAGTGGGATCGACATTCGTGACCTGCTGGGATATAATTTCTTATACTGCCCACTTGAAACTGTGTCGGTGACCTCAAAAAGCGTGCGTTGCGATTCACTGTGGCCAACTTTTACATACGTCGATCCAACTGAGCATTCATTTTTTTACCAGATTAAGTTTACATTTTAGAATTTTTATTTTTTTGTTTATAAATTTTAATGCGTATATTTAAAATATGTTTTGTATTTTTTTTTAAATTATCTCTGAAGATAAAAATTATTTTTTTGTTTTCAAACAATTAAGATTGCAATACTTAAAAAAGATTTATTTATTTTTTTAGTGATTTATTAATTGAAATTTCCGCAGAGCCGCGCTTCCAAGTGGGCCACTCGCAGCGAGCGCTCCAAGGAATAGTGCAAGAGACAAAAGACTTGTCAATCTTGTCTTCCAAGATTGACGGCAGAGAAGCCATCCAGTCGGTGGTTCCGTTGCCAATGCCAAAGGTCAAAGGCAAGCGCCTTACGGACATGGCGGCCGCGACCCCTGGTTGGGGAAATTTCTACGTCATCAAGGGCGACGAGGACGCCAAAGGTGACGCTCCGAAAGGTACGATATTTAAATTAGGCAACCGGCACAACTTGGCAGTGGCGCCAGTTGCCTAGTTTTGTGATTTTAATTTGAGCTATATAAATTTTTTAGCAAAAAGTGCGCGGAAAAAGTGGACGAAAATCGAAACTAGCAGTTCTGAGGAGAGAATAACCACAACAATCAAAGTGCAAAACCCTTCCAACATGAGGCAGCAGCAACGGGCAGCCAGCTCGGTCACAAAGTCAACCTCTTATTCTCTGCCCAGATTATCTAGTGGTACGAAAAAAAAATTGTAAATTTCAACCCGAATTTCATTTACATAATAAAATTTTTAAGGTGGACGCGCGAGTTCGAGTGACAGAATGCGACCTGTGCCCAACATGCAAAGGCACCCTCCTGTTCCCGCCATCAAGCGGAGACAGTCCAAGGACGTCGCCCTGCCTTCCCTTCAGTCTCCGACCGACGAGTCTGTCAAGTTCAGGACTTTCACAAGGAGCAAGAGTGGAAGAGAAACGGCGCCTCTTTCGCCGTCCAAAGCCAAAGTTGCGGTCGTCAAGCAAAGCAACATTCTCGCAAAGGTATAAAATATAGATAATTTTTCGTATTGAAAATTTTCACGTTGAAATTTTAGTCTGAAATCGAGCCCGGCACAATCGTGGCCGAGGCTGGCTCCACCGACTCTGGCACTTGGAGCGTCACCCTGTCCGGTCTCTACCCTCAACCGGAAATGGAGCTCAGACTGGTTTTTCCTCCACTGGCAGATGGCGAGGATAAAAATGACGAAAAGCAGGACCCCCAAGGAGACAAGGACGAACTCAAGAAAAGCAGTCCCAAGACGAAGGGGAATGTGAGAGCAGTGCCTAGTCCAGCAGGGGGAGAAAACTGCGCCAATTACATTTTGAACATCAAGAATGGAGAGGGAAAAGGCAGCAGCAAACAAGCTAGCCAGAGACGTAAGATGGATAATTTTATAAAAATTTTAAATAAAAATTGCTGAATAGCTGGCAGTGGCGGGTCGGTGAAATCAAATCCGCGGTCTCGACCCAATTCTGCAGGCAGCCCAAGGGGTAGTCCAAGCAAATCTAAAGCGCTAGTTCCTGTGAGTATTAATTTTAAATTTTTTCTCTTATATAAATTTTGTGTTCAGGCGTCAAAAGCTCTGGTTTCGAAAGAGCCGGAAATGTCTCTGACGCCTCCGAGTGGGACGGACGAGGTTTTAATGTGGCCGGAAATGCAGGCGTTGCTTCAGGAACAAATGACCAGGCACGTCAAAAAGCAAATCACAACCGTCACCACAAGGTTGTAATTTTTTCACTCTTATTTTTTACTCGGTCTAACAAAAAGTCTGATTAACAGTGAGACGATGACTACGACGACCGAAGGGGCAATCATGGTGCAAAGACTGCGAGGGGGAGAGAGCACCGAGGCCCTCAACTTCTCTCCCGACCCGCAGCCCTTGGAGGGGAACAACATGGCAGTGGTGTCGCACAGAAGGAAGCGAGCCTCCAGCTAGTCTTCATTCTAAAATCTCTTTCAGTCTAATTTATACTTAATACTTTTGAATGTGACTTCTAAAAATAAAAATAATCTATTTTAATTAAAAACTCTCAAACTCAAACGGAACTCTGTTGATTGGGCGTCTCGATAGAAAGTCGAAATACTTTAATCAACTTTTATCATGAAAAGTTGGCGAAACTCATTGTCGTAGGTGCTAGTCTATGTTAACAATTGAGTTTCTCCATTGCTTCAATTTGCCTCTCATCTCTGTACATATTGATGTGGAAACTCATAATCAAGCACTTGTGAATAAAATAAATTTTTGTATTAATTAAAAAAAGAATTACAAAATAATACATATTCATGAATCATTCGTCAAAACTTCCCAAAGTGATTTTACTGAAAACCCTTCCTTTGGAGTTTCAATGGCCAAACCAAACTCGGAGCAAAAACTGACTGGATTTTTGGCCCCGGGCACCTCTGGGGTGGTCGATTCAGAACCGGCCGCATAATAATTGACCAGAGCGTCCGACATTTCGTTCGGACGGTCATCGATCTCCTGCACTTCCTTTTCCACCGCCGCCTCCTCCCGCTAATTAATTTGTGCTTTTCATTTTTGAATCAATTATATAGAAGACTCACAATTTGCTGCGCCGCTTCTTCGCCTCGAGTCACTTCGGGTGAAGCAAAGTCGACGTAAACGCCAAAATCAGGCTCCTTGGTGAACGCCTTGTGCAGAGCAGTCAGTTCTTGGCAAACCGCCTGCAACTTCTCGGCAGGGTCTACCCTGAAGCCCAAAACGTACCCTCCGCCGCCAGGCCCATCTTGAGTCGCCAAAACCAAAGCATCACCGAATTTTGAGTTTCGAATTCGAACCTACAGATTTCAAAATAATAATTTTGCTTCACTTTCTTTTAATTGTTCAAACCTGTTTTATTTGAAGAAAAGGCAAGGAAATGTTGAAATGCTCGTTCATTTCTGCGAACCAAACGACTCGGATGTTGGAAATCAGCATCGTACCCAAGCTCCCCTGAAGAAATTATATAAAATTGGGATTCATTTATTATTGTGATTTTACATACCTGGTCGCTGGCCAGATTCCAAATGCCTCTCAGGGTATTCAAAATTCGCTCGTTTTTCAAGGTCCGAAGCTGGCCCGGAGCATGGAAGATTGCGCCTCGCAATCTCAATTCTCGGAACAATCTTGAGCTGCTGTACGCTCTATTTTGAACAAATCAAATGATTAAACGAAAGCAAATTATAAAATGACTCATACTTATAAACGGCCAAGACAGCATTGTAGTGGCGCAGAATATCGGAAGCGTCCAAGTTTGTGAAAATGAATTCGTACCGGGCCGAAGGTGTTCTGGTCAAAATGTAAAGCGCTTTTGCGACGCCCATCAGTTTCTAATCAAAAAGGAAGGAATAAAAATTTAAAGAAATCATTTGAGATCTCACCGAGTTGATGATTTTAGTCGACACATGCATTATGCAGTTGTAACCGATGGCTGAAAATTTTTGTAATTTTGGTTAAATTAAACAAATATTTTAATTGCAAACCGCACAAAGACTTATCCTGGAGGAGACGTGCGAATTCCAGACCACCCTCAAGTTACTGATGGAAAGAGTGCCGCTGTCACCGGCGTTGCCTTTTGTGTCCTCCACTCCGTCACATCTCATCAAAAGTTTCTCCCCGGAACGAGGCTGCAATTCACTGAAATCAATTCAAGTATTAGTTCAGTCTAATTCAAGGATCCAACTCACATGCCAGGCAGGTCAAATCGAATTTCCCTGTCCTCCCAAACCCTTGGCAGGGCCATGTTTACAACTATTCAGCTATCGGTGGTTACCTTGGCAACCAGATGGTCACAACATTATCATTACATAAATACGCAGCTGTTACATTTTGTTCATTGGATATTGTTTATTTTTGAAAACAAAACTTGATAAATTTTCATTAAAATCAATGATGATTACATTGGAATGTTGCATTACACAGTACCGTGATTCCGAACCAATTTCAACCTTACAAGCCAACATTCCAGATAAAACAGAAAATCAATGACTTCATTGCATTCAATGATGCTGTGGCACTTTGCACGATGAGAGGACATCGGAAGGTGTGAATTAATTGATTGCTTTGTTCGAAAGTTTGAAATTGATATGATTGGACCAAAGTTCAACACAATTACTCCGTTACTGACAAAACCGATCAAACTGAGAAAAAAAAGAAACACCATTTGCACCACAACTCGATTCCTTGGAAGCAGAGGCCTGTGTGACCTGCCATGCGTGGCCACTTCTTTATAAATAAACAGCCCATTAGGATTATATTGTGTAGAGATGATTTTTATCATCCCTAATAACAACGGACTACACTCTACGCAAGTACGGGGACCACAAATTTACAGTCAGCTTGTCTTCAAAAGTCTCACAACTCGAATCACTCCATCACAGTCGCTATTTTCCGAGGCGCTGCTCACACTTGCTGAAACTCGTCATTAGAGTTCGGAAGTCGGATGAGTTTAGACCATGATGGCTTTGCAGGCGCCTGAAGAAAAAAAATTGTATTAATTTATTTAATCATGTTTCAATCAAAAAAGCAAATTTTAATCAATTATAGCAAAATTTTGAATTTGACTGAATTTTTTAAAAAAAAATCTTACAAAAATTCTGTCAGACTTGTGTGCCACGGAAGGAACCCTGCAGGACAGGTGGTTGTGCCGCACCACACAACCAGCTCTGGGTCTGGCATGGAGCCGAACTGCGACTGGTAGACTGCCCTGATGACCTCGTCGGCCTCACCAACCGTGAGACGCTCGTCCCTGTTGATGTTGCCCATTTTCTCTCTCAAACCAAGTTCGACTGCTGCTCTGATGATCTTCGGACGACCATCCTCGTAGCTCATCAGGTTTATCCGCAACTTGTGACTGCTATAGCCTGGAAATTTGTAAAATTTAGAAGAAAAAAATCTTGTAATATGAGAAAGAGTTAAAGACAAAACAAATAAAATTTCAACGATTTATTGAAATTCTAAATATTGTTTTATATTTTTTCAACATTTTTTGCAGCTATTTGTAATTCTTATTTGTTAAATTTGCATCCTTTAATTAAAAAAAGTCAACAAAATCCTTGTTAATGATATTTTTGATACAGACAGATTATGAAGTAAACTTTACAAGTCGTGTTGTCAAAATATTTACTTATTTCTATTAATTTTATAAATTAAATATACAAAGTGTTTAATAAATAATAGTTGCTTATTGTTCGTGGAAGGTAATTTAAAAAAGCAAAACGTTGAAAACCTCTTAAATTGGTGTATTAAATATACCATTTTTATAACCATTGCAGTGTCCATTTCCATTGGAAATGTCGTTGTGGCCGTTGGAGCAGGAAAGCGAGTCCCAGACAATGTTCTTCAGGATTCTGGTGTCCGCTCTTCTGGCCAACTCTTGCATCAGCTTAGCCTCGCATGTCTTGATTTTGCCTGCAAAGCAAAATTTCATCAGATAACAGAAAAAGATATCAATCAGTCCGAATAAGCCCGGATCGGTTTTTTTTTTACTTTGTGTCAACTTAAATTTGATTTCAAAAATCAAGTTTGAATTTAAAAAAAACTTGTATATAAATTAATTTTGGCAATATTGCGTAAATTATTAAAAATAACTACCGTCGTGGTCGTAAAGGGTGAGAAAGGAAATGCCAGCGGCGAAACTCCAGACGATCACGTTGGCCAAATCCTGGGCCGAGACGACGTTCTCGTCGACCAGCACGAACGCCACGTGCGTCGGCACGTTCTTGAGGTGCTTGACGCAGTCGGCGACGAGCCGAAAGTCGTCGGCCGGCTCGCCGCGGCCCCACAACGAGCCGTACCTTCTGCGGGCGAAGAGACACGCGAACGCCACCGACTCGAGGCACCAGAACAAAAAATGCACCAAACCCAGCAGAATTCGGTATAAAAGGTACATTTCGGCCGAGCTCGAGATCTTGGCCGACGGGCGGAAGATTCGGCCAGTCGCTCTCACGCCGACCAGCCCCGCAGTATTGCTCTTTTTCGCATTTTGCCCAAAAATCACCTGCTTCTGACGTGTTTTTTAAGAAGCCACGCCCCTTTCTCAAGCTAAACACAAGCATTACCAACCAAACAGAATTTACTTTATTCTAAATACGTACCAACATTCTGGGCTACATCTGATTGTGAATATTATGGATATGATATATTATGATCAAGATATGATGTCGAAGATAGATAGAGATAGGACGAGTTAGGAGAGAAGTTTAAAAAACAATCCAGTTTCTTCTTTACACAAAATTCTCATCCAAAACAGGTTCAAAATTCGCAAAACGAAAAAATATAATAATAAAAACACTTAAATATATTGTTAATAAAAATATACGTACCTAACTAGCAAAAATTGAGTTAATAGTAATATATTCAAAAATATATTTGCGATAATAAAATATATCAAAGTGGATACTAAAAAAATTAATATTTATTATAAATTTTTGATTTTAATTAGGTTTTTTAATTTTCAATAACAATTTTTAAAAAATTTAAATTATTTCAATAAAGTTTTGGAACGCAAAAAATGTATCAGTAAGTTAAAATCATAAATATTAATTGTAAAAATAGCTTTTTAATTATTATTAAATTTATTATATTTAAAATTTAAACAAATACATCTAAATCTCCATGCATGATTTATAAAAGCTTCCTAAATGTTAATTAAAAATTAAACCGTCATAAAGGAAGGCAAGAAACAATTAGACAAGAGGAAAGATGATGATGTTTGCCGCTGTGCATTTTTTGTGGATGGGATGAGGCCCTTACTATTTCCATGAAGCGCTTTCTGTAGAAGAAATGATATTGATTTAATAAAATCTGTTACTTAATCATCCAATTTTAATAATAAAATTCACTTCATATGACCTTTAACAAGAGATATTGTTAGATGTCAATATCGTCAATATATTTATTGATTATTTTTAATAGCTAATTGAGTATAATTGATAATAATAATATGCGTTAGTTGAAATAATAAGGACTGGTTTTCTTTGTACGACCGCCAAGACCGAACTTCACTTTTTGCTCGGCGTCGTCAGCCTGGGTCGCTTGCGGGATTTTCCAAGAAATCTTGCGATCCTAAATTCTACGTTATTTTTACACCATGCAGCGATGCAGTGGATTATTGAAACACGCCTGACATAAAAAACAAACCCACGCTTTCTTAAGCCTGTGTCTGTTTTCTCAGCTAACAAACTAATTAACATTTATTTGTTGTAATATTTTTCTGATAATGATATTATTATTATTATTATTATTACAGACAGTACCCTAATTTACATTAAAAACAAAATGTAATGTTCAATTTTGGAAAAACATTTTAATTGTTAATATATAAAACATAAAATTCTTTCATGATTAACTAAATCAGTGGAAAAAATCCTATCAAAAAATTATAATTTACTTGGCTATAGTTAGGAAGCTCATAGTGAGCAGCGCAGCGATCAGTATAATTTTATCTGCCGCGCTCCACTTGCAATCAGCGTCAAAATTGAATCCAAAATTAAATGCTACGAGTATCCAAAGAGAACGATGGACAATTAAAGATAATATGAAAAATATTGTCAATTAAAATAAATAAATTACCTTGGAAATGCGATTTCTCACGATATACACAAGATGACTTCTGTTGCTGAGTAATTTGGTGTACAAACGGAAAACCACAAAAAAAACATGGTTAACACAGCATTTAGAGCTGTTTAATATTCACACTGCAAAACTGAAGGAGAATTTAACCTTTAATTTGACGCTTTTTGCTAAAGGAGCGGCATCAGATTCTGGGATTTATCGCGGATTGTGGTCACAAAAAGTTTCCTAACTAACCAAGTTAATTATAAACTTTTGTTAGGATTTTTTTTTATGTTTCCTCTAATAATTAATGAAAATTGTGTTTTATTTTAATGATTGAATTTCCAAAATTGGACAAAAAATCTGAATAAAGAAGGTACTTCATTATCATTAAAAAATATTACAAAAGTTGGTTACAATAAATTGTTGGTAGAGATAAGACACAGGTTTAAGAAAGCGGGGATTTTTTATTGATGCCAGGCGAGTTTTCAACAATCCACTGCATATAAGTGGTGACGTCGGTGTAAAGAGCGTAGAACTTAGGATCGCAAGATTTCTCGCTGCTCCACGGCACATCCCTCAAGCGACCCAGGCTGACGACGCCGCGCAAAAAGTGAAGATCAGGCTCGCGGTCGTACAAAGAAAACCCGCCGCCGCTGTCGCCTTTACACGCGCCGGTGTCTGCGATCGAAATTAAATTAATCCTCAATTAATCCCAAGTATAAGAAAAGTATTTTACTGTTGTGGATGAATCCTGCGCAAAAATTTCCCCTCGGCTTCAAGTGGACGGAGAAGAATAACTTTTTGCTATCGTAGCATTCCTCGTACGACACAATTTTCAGTTCGGCTCTTTGCAGAATGTCCGAGTACGTCTGGTTGGACGTGTGACCCCAGCCGACCACCTTTTCAAAAATCGTAAATTTTAATTCGAGCAAAAGAATTAAATCCTTCTCACCGTGCCCGTCCTGTTGGTGATTTTGTCCAGGTCGTGGTCCGAGTTCCACAAACAAATCGGCCGCACAAATTCAGTAACTTCGACTTCGTCGTCCAATTCAATTAGGGCAATGTCGTTGATGAAACCTCCAGTATAATTGGGGTGCACCACAATATCCAGAACCTTTACATTTTAAATTTATTAATTATGAATGTCTCTATGAATCAGGAGTCACTACATTTTTAAGAAATTGAGTAAATTAGGTGGAAATGGTATAATTAATTTTTTTACCGCGAAATATTGTCGCGAATTTTCATTCTCACTCAGCGAGCTGTGCATCCCGAGCGTCACATATAATTCAGAAATATTATACCGAGGGCCATCATTGCCAACAAGGCAGTGCGCGGCTGCAATTTTTTTATTTTGGAATTTGAAACTTGTTCTAAAAACTGTTAAACTGTTTCTTTTGGAATAATTCAATATGAATTTTCAAATAAATTTCGTTTAAAAGAATAGCATTCAATGTGCTTTACAAATTTACTATCGAAATTTTAAGCTGATGACGTGATTTTTTAATATAAAAATTAAAAGAAAATGTAAATCCAAACCAGTGACAAGAGTCGTTTTGGTGACGAGGGTGGCGCCGCAAAAATCAGGAATATTAACGCCGAGGTTCGTTTCGCGCGACATACTGGCGTGCCAAGGGTGGTGCCCTTTGACCGCATTTCGGCCTCCAACAATGAAACCACCCGCCGGCGCCTTGTCGTCCGTCTCTCTTCTGCTCCGTGGTCGTCTTGGTTGGCGACCGCAATTTTCAAAACTCTGAGTAGCACCGAAATCTGTAGAAACTTTTTTATTTTACTTGATTTCTGGGTTTCAAACGAAAATTTAACCTATTCTCTTCTTTATCAAATCGGGGATTTCTGGCATCATCGCCAGGTTGGCCGACGCAGCAACAATGCGCCTCAAATAAGGTACCAAGTCGAGCCATGCAAGAATATCATTGTTGATTTCATTAGCCATACCAATCGAAGCTCGCAAGTAGAAGCGACCTCGCCGTTCAATGAATAAGAATGACCCTCTATTTGTTGCTACTTGCAAGAGATAAATATATTTAGAAAGAAGTTTTTGTGAATGAAATAATTTACTAACTTATCTTTGAGCCAAAATCCGTGCAGATTGAATTGCCGTAGAGGTCACATTGCCACTTTTTTACTGTACTGTCTTCAAAACACTTTTCTTCTTGTAAGAAATCTGATGATAAACGGGAATTTGGCTGCCATGCAAAATTTAAATAAAAATAAGGTGATTTAAAAAAAATTTTACGCAAAAATTAAGCGTTTCTTTTTGTAATTAAAAAAAGGTGAATCTTTCAGAGTTATATATATTTCAGTTTAAAATAGAATAGGTTTCATGTTGCCCATTTACAATTATAAAACAATTAAAATAACTAACTGGAATGCGTTTATTTAGCATGAAGCACTTAAAATTGGCCAAGAGCAGCACTTAAAATTGAGAGAGATATTGGAAAAATGGCACTTATTCATGCATTATTAATTTTACTTGCCTTGACCACTTTAACATTGGTATGGTAAAACTTTTCCGTCACGTGATCATTTTCGTTTCCGCTGTTCCAGAGGCAGGCAGGCTGCAAGCTCGGCGTGAACTTCAGACTGATGTCAACTTCCCACAGATATATGGACTGTGAGTAAAAACTGCCGATGTTGATGACAACTTTTTTTACGTCAATCACCTCACTCAAATTCGCAAATAAAACCATATGAGTGTGATTAGGAAATATTATCACCCTTTGGCGCAGCAAACCTCTGAACATGTAGCAAGTGTCTTCGTTCCTTTTATCAGCACATTCGCCGCCGAATATTGTTATTTTCTCTTGCGTCTCCTTGAACGTCTCAAGCACGTAAGCGCACCTGTCTGCATTTCAAATTATTTTGCCCAATCGTAACTTTTTCTGCACTACTTCCATTTGTTGTAATGATAGTTCGATCTGACAAAACCACACCGGGGCAAAAACGCCTGTAGAGTAAAACGTGCCACGGAGCGAGTTTTCCGTCATTTTTTCCATACCAATTACCGCAGCCTTTGAAGCTTAAGTTTTCCTTCTCAAAATTAAAGACTAGAAATTCACACACGACAAGTAAAAGTAAATTAGAGAATATTAAACAAGGAAAAAAACATAAATAAGTGTCATGTATTTAAACGCAAACTTTTGCCTGACTTGCGTGCTGGTTTCTTAGTGTTCTGCAGCAAAAGAACGTTACTTTTTACTGCCAATAATTTCTTGATTTTAATACTCCTTTCGTACCAGGTTTTGGGAATCCGGATTTTTTTGATGGGTTGCTCCTAGTCCAGCAGTCGGTGAAGCTCAACTCCTATTACAGAAAATTATTATTTTAAGAAATAATAAATCCTTTTTACCTCAAAATCTTTGTCTAAAGAAATGAAAATAAATTATCGAAAAAAAAAATAGGACTTGGTAATCATTTTGCTAATTCAAATTCATCCTTGTTGCTCAGAATTGAATACATACGTGAAAACATTCTTATTTACATCAAAGTTCATAAAAAAACTCACCTCATTAGCGGCCTCATTCCAATCAAAATCACGAGCTCCAGCAGTGGCAATTAAGATGCAGGCGAGCATCCATAAGTAACTAACCACCTTCTCTCCCATCTTTAATTAATTAAATTTACTTCTGTTCATTATATTTGTATGATAATATGATATAAATAGTGTAAAACTACAGATATGTAAATACTTATTATATATGTACGCAATAGTCTTGAACAGCATTAAAAGTTAGAAGAACTTTTTAGTACTCGTGGAACGTAAGTGACAAGTAGGCGTTATTTCCAGCTTAGTGTTTTTCGCTCATGACATGTGATTCAACTTGATAATTTCTGACACGATCCAAAATAATCAGGCCATATATTAAATGAGAAAAAACAAGTACGAAAAAAAAAGATCTCACTTAATTCTCAGCAAAAAAAAGACACTTTATTACAATTTTTTAATGAAATTTAACAATAAGTGTCATGAACGACGACACTCGCTCGTTTTAAGTTTCAAAACTTTTTCTGATAAGCTGAAATATGCACCTTTAATTTGATTTGAATAATTTAGAGTTTCATTAATCTATTCCTAGACCTTATTATATTTCAGCCAAGACGCGGCAGAAAAGGGGACGTCAAGGCTGGGGTGGTTTCATCGTTGGAGGCCGATAAGTGGAAAGCGAACAAAACACCTTGGCATGCCATTATTTCGCGCACATTTAATCGAGAGTACGATTTTTGCGGAGCCACGCTTAATACCAAAAATGCTCTTGTTTAAATATTAAATTAATGATTTTTTTTGTCAAGATTAGACTGTTTTTCTTAATTCAGAGGTGCGTGTAAAGGCGACAGCGGCGGCGGGTTTTCTTTGTACGACCGCGAGACTGATCTTCACTTTTTGCGCGGCGTCGTCAGCCTGGGTCGCTTGAGGGATGTGCCGTGGAGCACCGAAAAGTCTTCTTGTAACCCTCAATTCTACGCTCTTTACACACCAACGTCACCACTTATATAATTATTTAATCATATATGCGGTGGATTGTGGAAACACGCCTGAAATCAACAAACCAATGTAGCAAAATAAATATAATCTTGTTATTCTTGATTTGTCCAATATATTTAATTAAAATTGAACTGATTGTGAGCAATAAAAATTAGTAAGTTATTTTTTAAATCCATTTTTACTCAATTCATTTGGGAATTAATTTTGAAAACTTCGAAAAATGGGAGTTGTTCAAAATTATTATTTCCAATATAATTTAATTTTTTTTTTCATAAATTGAAAAATGAGATATTTATGTTGATATTTTTTTAAGAATGATTCTGTTTCACATTTCGCTCTCACGTGCAAATTAAATTCCAATCGCTGCAGTTCTATTCCTACAAAAAGAAAATGTGAATGCGCGATAATGATTTTCGTCAAGTTCCACAAACGCTTGGAATTTCCAAGAGAAAATTCTATAGCAACCCACTTTATTTGTGTGTTGGAGAAAGGCATGGAGTCGAGTTGGGCGCCGACAGAGAGAGGCCTTTGGGCCTGGGTCGTGGGGGCCGCGAGTTTCGTGTCCACGGGACTTTGCCTCGGACTTGTTAACTCGTTCGGAGTTTTCTACGCCGCGCTGCAAGAGCGACTCGCGGCCAACGAGATTCCCGAGCCGTCGTCCAAAGCTGGCAAGTTTATTAAAAAATTCAATCACTCTCGGTGCGCTCAAAAATGTCGATTTGCAGCTCTCGTCGGCTCGTTGACGATGGGGGTGCTTTTCGCATTCAGCCCTGCAGCAGGACTGATCGCGGGCGCGATTGGGGCGAGAAAAACGACTCTTCTGGGTGGAGCTGTGGCGTCAATAGGGGTGTTTGCCTCGTCATACCTCATACAAGAAGTAAAATTAATAATTTACTTAGAATAATTTTTATTTCTGCTGAAATTTCACGTTTTATAAAAAATTTATTTAATTAAAATTCTACAAATTAATTGCACTGTTCAATTTAAAATTTTAAACTGATTAGGAAATAAAAATTTTGTATCTCTGATTACAAATCATATAAAAAGTCGATAAATTGTAATTAGAATTTTTGACAGAACTTGGTGTAATTAAAGGAAATTGTCATTATAATTTATATAATTAATTAATATTTAATATCATTATTCTACTTTTTATTAATTAGAAAACTTTGGTAACACACACGGTTTAATTTAGAATTAAATATTTTGATAAATTTTAAAAATGAATTTTTTTTTATTCATTGTCAGAGGTAAATTAAAATTTTGTAAATTTTGGCAAAAAGATACATTAAAAAAAGGTGGAAGAATAAAAATCTTAATTTATCAAAAATTGAGTAATTATTTTATTAAATTAAATTAATTCAAATTCACTATATTTAATTTTTTAATTTTAGGTAGAGCTGCTGTACTTGACGTACGGCGTTCTTTTCGGTCTTGGTGCTTCTCTTTCATACACACCGTCCTTGACGATTTTGGGTCTCTATTTGGAAAGCGAGGTGAATTTGGTGAACGGAATCGTGGCCGTGGCGAGTGCAACCTTCACGGCGATCTTACCTCACGTCCTTGGCCTCTGCATCGCGGCCGGTGGACTCGAGTGGACGCTCAGGCTGGTCGCCGGTCTGCTGCTGTCCGTCGTCCTGGCGGCCCTCACGTTCGTCGTCAGAAGAAATAAAAAACAATCCTTTCGATATGATAATAATTAAGGAAAAAAAATCACTGCACAGGTTCCTCGGGAATCGACGCTGCTGCTGGAGAGCAACTCGAGCACCGCGTCTGCACGGTCCACGCTGCCCCTCATTTGGCACAACAAAAAGTTTCTAACGTGGGTTTCTGCAACGGTGGTGGCGCTCGTCGGATACTACATCCCTTACGTTCACCTGGTAATAAACATTTTAAAAAATAAATAATTATTTTTATTCTAAGTATAATATTTAATTATTTTGCAGCCCAAGTTTGTGTCGATCAATTTCCCGAATCACGATGGATCCGTTTTGATAACTTGCATCGGCGTAGCTTTCGGAGTCGGACGCATAGTGTACGGCCAGGTTTCCAATCTAATCGATGCCAATCGTCTGCTCCTTCAGCAAGTATATGCAAACAATTTATTCTAATTCAATTGATTCACTGTGAAATGTGCAGGTTTCGCTTGTGATTGTCGGCGGGTGCTGTTTGGCGTTGAGCGCGATTTCCGAGTGGTACTGGGCGATCGCGTTGTCCCTGCTGATGGGACTCTTCGACGGCTGCTTCATCAGCCAGATCGCGCCGATCGCGGTCGAGCTGTGCGGGGTCCAAAGTGCCCACCAGGCGGTTGCATTGTACTTCGCAGTGTGCTCCGTCCCCATAGCCCTAGGGCCACCCCTAGCAGGTGTGTATCAGTTTTTAGACAAAATAGAAAAAATATTTGATTTTTGTTTTTTTAAATTTAGGATATCTATTTGACAGAACGGGGACGTACTACTTGCCCTTTGTTCTGGCCAGCGCCCCACTCGTTTCTGGAGGGTTGGCGCTGAGTTTTGTTAAATGTTGCTGAGTCTTTTTTATGAAATTCGGAGATGGAAAATAAACAAAGAATCATTTGTTAATTACTCACTTTTATAATTAATTTGTATAAAAAATTAATGGATAAATTGTATAAGTAACGAAATACAATCTTTTATTTGCTCCAACTTGAGATCAGATCCAAAGCTCCTCCAGTAATCCAGTAAATTCTAAATTTATACTTTTCCTTGAGAGATGCTGAATAATTGTTTTCTTTTTGCACAACAAACTCAATTTCCCACTGCTTCTGTTAATCAGGAATAAGCTGTAGCGGACAAGGCCTCCTCCAAGTTTCAAGAAGAAAGAAACAGCCCAAATTCTTTAAGCTGCCTGATGCCTGTCCGTCTTGTTTGGCAAAATTCAACTTATAAATTTATGCTCTTTTTACTTGGTATGAAATTAAGATGGAAATCAATATTTGCTTGTTAATCACTATTTTGCTTAAGTTGCAAATCATTTTTATTACAAATACGTAATCAGTGGTACGCTTGATACAAGCTACCAGAAACATTCAAACAGGACAAATCCAAGCCTACCTAACTTATATCAAAAGCTTACGAAATGTAGTAGAAGACGTTGAGGTCGTTGTCGTCCCTCCGCAGATACTTGTGCTCGATCAGCCACTCCACCTGCTCTTTGATCATCTTCTTCGTGGGCAGGAACATGTTCTTGAGAATGTCGACCAGTTCGACCTGCAGTTGAGCATTTGTGATTTTCTTCCTCATCTTGAGAATCTTGATGATCGCCTCCTGCAAAAATTCAGTGTTGAGTTAATGAACTTTGGTAAAATACGTTCAAAATTGCGTACTTGGACTCTCAAAATCCTGAGCTGCACAATGCCTTCGTTGTCCTCCTCCCGACTTCTTTCGGTCGACAACTGCAGCCGGCCAATCAAATTGATCTTTCCTCTCTTCTGCGACTTATTGCTTTTTCTGAAAATTATTATCAATGAACTACCCAGACCGAAATAATTGACTCTTACACAAGACAGAAGTCTTGGTTGATCCAAAAGGTTGTGCCTAAATCAAAGTCTTTGGCTGAAGTGACTGCAGGCTCGTAGACTAAAACTTGCTTCTTCAATTTCGGGAATGCGACAAGAGACTGCAGAAGCGAAATGTCAGAAAAAGGAAAACCGTTACAAATATAAACACTGACCCAGAGAGTTCTTTTCAGTTCAGGATCAGGCAATTCAGTTGCAAGTCTCAGGTTCTCGTAGGTAATGTGGTCATGAGAACGTTGGTTCCACGCAAACAGAACAGCCATTTGAAAAGTGGTGACGTCGAGATCAAAACAGCCGACATCATTTGAAAATGTTATCTGATCAAAAAATAAATTACTTCCAAAAATTTGTTGCAAATAACTCGGAATTTACAGTTCCATTGGACATGTGGTGGTACCACTGCAGTTTACGGCCACTGTGTTTCTTTTTGTAAAAGTCCTCCACCTCTGGAATGTAGTCCTCCAGTTCCAGTGGCAGCGACACGGCCACCCTCTCACTACCCCTGGCCCAGGCACCAGCGTTCAGGATTTTAATACTAATAGAATCTGCACAGACAATTAACATTCTCAAATTCATTCCTAATTTTAAACTCTTAACACTTCACCTGCCAAACTGCCCTTGGACGCTCTGTACTCGTCTTTGAACTGCGAATTCAAATCTTCGCTGACTTTGATGTCTTGAAACATTCGAGCCAGTTTGTTGACAAAGTCTGCAGGCATACCCACCTCCCTTAGCCTGAAACCAAATCAATTCAAAATAAAATTTTCTAATTGACAAATTCAGGCTGAAACTGACCATTCGACCATGCTTTCCTCCTTGTCAGAATCAGCCGAGGTGTCGAGAATCAATCTTCTGGTCAAGTGAGCCTTGTGGTACCTCATGAAGACATCCTTGTTTTGAATGTACTTCAACACCAGCAGCTGCAAGTGTGCGATAATTAAGAGAATCATTTGGAACAAAATAACATTGGTATTTGTAATAATAATTAATTTTTGATAATAAAACTAACCACATCTCTGAGTTTGGCCTCAATTTCGTCCGAAGTCAGTCGTTTGCTCAAAGGAGTCCTCCTGAGCAGCATGTCGCAGTAATTGGCCAGCAATTCCGGACACTTTGACTCAGGCTGGGTTTTGACAACTCCGCTCTGCAAATCAGAAACATTTCAACCTCGATCCAGCCAAAGATGATTTTTTCCCCACGAACCTGCTTAGACGGCAAGTCCAGTTTGAACACTTGAGTGTCGTTCACAACACGCTTGAAGGCTTTGTCTCGGACCGTGAGGAATCTGGGGTCGTCGCCAAAAGCGTCCGTCACCAGGGTGCTGAATCTCGTGAACAGATCCAAGAGGTGCTCCACGTACTTTTCAGAGTCTTGTGTGACCTGCTCGGCAGAAGCAAACATGTCCGCAAGGCCAGAGGACACAATGTGCTGCTCCAGGTCGCTCAGCATCGGAGTGACCCCTTCGTGTACACGGTCCATCAGCTTGAACATGAGTTTCAACTCGTTGATGGCCGACATTACCGACACTTCTGCGAATAATTTCAAATATCAAGATTAAACTTGAATTTAAAGCTCAAATTATCTTACTGTCGGTCTCGTTGGCCTTGATCAACATCTTGGGACACTCTGCTAAGATTGTGGTTTTGAAATGTGTAACAATTGTGTTGACGCAGGTATTCACTAACTAGAATCAAAACCTTAGACTAGAAATAATTTCTATATTGATTGTATTATTTTACCACTCGGACAGATTCGTCACACTCGAGGTATTTTTTGGCCCGAACTTCCTCCTCCCTCAGCTTCAGCTCGGCGTACCGCATGTAGTTCTGCACTCCGTTGCTGCCAAGGTACTGGGCACACGTGACCTTGTAGAAGGTCTCTGTCGACTCCATATACGCCCTTTCAAAGTTCTCTCTGTAAATCTGCAGCTTGTCCTCAAAATTGGAGCAGAGATTCACTGAAAATGAGCAAATTGGGACCAAAGAATTTGATGAAAATCCCAAGACAAACCGTAAGACTCGCGAACACCGATCACAAGTTGAGAATCAAAAGCTTCGCCGTTCCTTTCCGACTGGACCAGTTTCATCGCCGAATCTTGAAGACGCTGCTTGATGTTTGAGAAAATACTCAAGTTCCACGAATCCAGCATCAGCTGTTGCATTAAATTTGTTAATTTTGAATTGTCAATAAATTTAATTGATCCTACTTTGCGAATGATGTGTTCGTCGTGGTGTGGCTTTTTGCCGTTGTTTGTTGGCTGCTTGAGAAGGGCGGCTTCGAGGTGCTTGAAAGGCGCCGGCAAGTAGCTGCTCTGGGTCAGGAAACGTCTCCACTCGACGATGTACGCCTTCAACAGGGCCTCGTCCTCTTTGTGGGCCAAAACTCTCTGTTCAAAATATGTAATCATAAAACTATAAAAAAATTAAAATTCAAAATAATTTTACCAGCTGCGCCTTTTGTATGAAATCAATTATGTCCTCTTGAAGAGAATCTTTGATTTTGTTTGTGCCCTTGTCGTCCCACTGACACACGGCGTAGACGCTGTAGAAAAGGTCATGGTACTCTTGTTGCGTGACCGTCTCCTGATTCAAAAGTTTCAGAATTGTCGGGCGCATGTCGGGCCATTTCTCTTCATACGTGGGCTGGTCATTCTGCAGAAGGAAATTGTGTTTATTTCGCATTAACAACAGCGCTGAAGAAAAAATTGGGAAATTTCGAGGCCGTCGGAAAAATGGACCACATTTGACAGCAACGAAAATGGGCAGTTCCAAGAAATTCAACTCCGCTCGGTTTTGGGAGCGAGATTTGAAGGGAAGAACGTTGCCGGAACACGTTTTTCAACTCGAAACGCAAACTTCGAGGTTTACCTTTCGCATTAATGTTGGAACCGACGTCGTAGTCATGATGGCATGGGCAAATTTCGGTCGGTCGTCTGAAAAATCTAGCGCAGATTTTCGGGACTGAGCGCCATAATGGTTATTTAGTCGTCGGCTTTCGGCTTTCACTGGCTGTTGTGGCGCGTGCGACACCTTCGATTGGCGCCGAACTAAAATTTCAAATTTTTGTGGCGCGAAATAAAATTCTTTCCTGAAAATTTAAATAAATACATCATAATTTAATATTTTTAAGATATATTTCTTTTAAATAAATTATTTTCATAATTTCTTTAATAAAGTATAAATTTAAAAATTAATTAACCCACCGAATATTTTTCAAATACCATCACAAAGTCAGTGAAGATTTTCACTGTAAAAAAAAAAAAAAAAAAAACGGGTTTCAAGCACTTAGCTGCTTTTTATTTCCAATATATCTCATAAGTGTCTGCAATAATGGTTCAGAGATAAAATATTTCATATTTTACGCATCAACAAATCTTCAACATTTTCTCCAGTACATTTTTTACTCCACATAATTATAGAAGACCACTCAAAGGATGATGCAAAGCTTTGAAGGATTGCTATTGCGCAAATCGTGAGCAACTGCTTTCATTATTTTGTATTCTTCTTCTCTTGAGTTTTAAACGGCGAAACCTTGCTTTTATTATCACAAATATACAATCTAAGTCTTATATTACCTGCTCGCTAACAATTGCATCACCTTTGGGCAGCAAAACGCATTAAAATTGTGCAACGCACTTCTCGTTATTTTCTTGTACAAAAATATCTTCCTGATTACAAATTAAGCATTCCAGGCGCAAAAACCCCAATGCTGAGACAAATATTTCAAGTTCATTCTCATCCGATTTGTGTTCCATTTATGATGTGATCGATTTGGAAAGTTTTGATATGAGAAACTAAAGGCGGAGGAGATCAAAACGGAACAAATTTTCAGCGGCTCATATCACAAGGAAAATCCGAAAGGACCACAGAAAAATCTCAACTGTGATGTGATGAAAGCGGAGCAAATTATAGTTCAACTGGTAAAGATTTACGGAAACATCAAATTTACATAAACAGATGCAAAACAAATTTGACTCGAAAAGTAGGATACATTTATCAAAAATGCAGTTTTCGGCACTGCAAGGTACTACACACAAAGGAATCGGGTTTGCATGCTAATATCCTCACAAACTTCTTTTCCTCTTGACTGAGCCCGGCCGCTCAGCCAATCAAGAGACAAAGTGCTTCCTGCCTTTGATCTTGGTGATGATGTTGCTGATCTTCAGGGCTGGTCCCAGTTTCAGTCCCATGTACTTCATCATCATGTCGGAATTCAACAGCAACAGGGCTTTGCCATCAATTTCCTGAATTGGAAAAAATTATTTTCGAATTTAACAAGTCTTTGAGGTAAAATTACATGTTTTCTGAAAATATCAGAGTGCGACCCAAGCAATGGGTCCGTATACGAGATGTGATTGATGACGTCCTCAATAGTCCACTCGATCACTTCAGTGGGAAGTTTCGGAGGTCCGTCCAAGGGGGTGGTAGAAGTCGCTGCTTCCAGTTCAGCTGAATTTTTGATTTTGTTATATTTTAAATTAAAAATTAATTTAATTTGCTTACTCGGCACACTCTTCCGTGACTGCTTGCTAGGAGAGGGCTGGAAATCACTTGGTGACGTGGGGACCTGCTGGGCAGGGCTTGGTGGAGTCTTGGACGGAGGCGGCGCCTCCGAGGAAGGCCAACGCCTCTTGTTGGGGGCTGGTTTGGTGCTGCTGTTGCCTTGGGCAACTTGTTTCTTATTCGCAGCTAAGAACAAAAGTGTGAATACAAAAATGTACAAAAAAAAACCTTCTTGTCATACCTGGTGCAGTCTTTTCTTGGGTGCACTTGGAGCAGATGAAGTCTGGCCGAGCGGCTCTCCTGGAGAAAAGGTTTTCACAACATCGCAAGTCCTCCAAGAACACTTCAACAAAATTCCAAAAGGCCTCGGCCGTTTCAACCACAGGCAGCCGAACACTCGTCTTCTGGTCCGAGGCTACTACCGAAATTAATCATTGAAGATTATTTCAAACGATGCAACATTAAATCTTACTTCTGATGTAAACTTTTCCCACTCCCTGTCTCACCAAGCCGTAAACCTGCCTCGGGTCAATGGCCGCATCGACCAAAGCTTGGATGCTCTTTTCCAGAACACGATTTATGTTTCCCGGGCCAAAGGTAGACGGAAACTTGGCAATCTGATAATAACCAAGAGTTAGGTTTCCAATTTATTATGAAAAATTATACTTCCTACCTTTTTGGGATCCAAGAATGGCCCACATTTGCACAAATTGCTAACCAACACAGTCACCGAATTGATGTTTCCGTTGAGGCTGTTTTCTGATTCTGGGGAGGAAGGATTGCCAGACGTGTCTGGTTCTGTGACTGTGATGTTGTTGTTCAGAGGAGATTTGGGTTCCTGCTTTGTCTCCTCTTTTTTCAATGCATTCTCTGTCGCAGGTGATGGCAGGGAGTTTGTTTGCTTAGCAGGTGCAGGAGGAGAGGCAACTTCTGCTGCGGCAACAGGAGTCGCCGCGGCTGGAGTGTTTGCCTTGGACTTGACACGACTAGAGCCGGAAACAGCTGAAAATGATGACAATAATTAAATTTCCAATCCAGTACGATCACAGAAAGAGTTACCAATAGTGATCAATTTAAATGATGCTTTAGGAATTATAATTTTAAATCCAACTCCGATTGAGCAATAATTCACAAGACTTTACACAAAGAATAAACGATTTTAAGGAAACGAAAGATTAAGAAGCAAAGTTACAGGGTGGGGTTAAAAGGAAAAGGCGAGTAAATTGCAAATGAACGTTAATACAAACCAAAACGACACCTTTATACCTTGGTACAGACCTTTGTTTCCGGGAGGTTGGAGAGGGTGGCCACTTTTCTGGCACCAACCTACAGGAAATATGTCGGTAGAGTCGTACCGACACCAGTAGTCGAAAGCGCCGCGCCAACCATCAAATGTGATGTGGATCATGTCCCCTTTCACTTCCCCAACCGTGGCCACGCAAATCAGGAGTGGGTTTTTCTTGTCGACCGCCTCCAGTTTCATCCCAACCTTGAATCAAATGCAAATGTAAAAAAGACTAATGGGGCAAATCAACTTGGCCAACCTCGAAGTTGTTCGATGTTGGCCTCGGAGGGTGCTTTTTGAAAACATCCTTCGGAGCCTGCACAGCCCCGGCCAGGATTTTCTGTTGAAAGGTGGGCCAGGAGGAAACATTCATTCTGAAGCCCAGAGGCGGCTGCAAAATCCCTCCGTGGGCTTTGCAGTGTCCAGCCGGGAAAATCTCGTTCGAGTCGACTAGCCTCCAGAAATCGTTCTTGTTGTCAGAGCCGTCCAGCCGCAAACGAAGTCTGGGACCCAAAGTTCCCACCACCGTTGCTATGCAAGTCGAATCCAAGTTCCTCGGGTCTTTGGCTTCCAACTTCATGCCGAGTTTGAACTCATTTGCTGGTGGGTCAGGCCATTGCTGCAGGAGGAATTTAAATTTAAAACCTTTTACTTATTTTCAAGAACTGATTACATAATAAATCAAGGAGGCACAAATTGTTTTAATTTTTTTGTGTACTGACCCTGAAGCATCGAGCTGGAGCAGCCTTGCTGTTGGTCTCGGCCAAGTAGGAAACCCAGTCAAAATTCCCGTACTCGTTGGGCATTATGTTTGAAACTCCCGACAGGCCGGGCTTCCTCCCTGCAGTTGTGGGTGTGGATTCGCCGTTTTTCTTCAGCTCTATCTTTCTGTACTTGTTGAGGCAGGCGTCGTTGCAGAAAAGCTTGGCCGTCTGGTCTGCAACCTCCCATTTGACTGGGGTGCCTCGAATCACCTCCTTGCATTGCAGGCAAGTTCCCTAAAATAAAATTTGGTTACATAAGCGCAATTCTCAAAGTAATTCATTATGTAATGCAAATAAACTTCATTTTTCTCTTATTTTGAGAGGACAAAAATTTTAAGATAATTTAAATTGTGATCAAGAATAATACTAACTTTGGCCATGGCCTTCCTGAACTCGGCCAAACATGTCTCAGCGCAAAACTCCTTTTTTCCATTCGGTGTTGGAAAAACGTAGAGAAGCGGCTGTTTGTTTTCGCCGCACCATGTGCAGCATGCTTTTGGCTTCGGAGGTCGCCCTGATAAATAAATTGTTATTAGATTTTTTTTTTTAATCTAACAAACAAAACTTTGTTCTAGATAGGAATTAATTTCATACCTCTAGGTTTGGGAGTCGTGACGACTGTGGTGGACATGATGCCTAACGAAACCTGGAAAAAGAGATTTCAATCATAGGAGACAATAGGAGAGAAAAACAAGTCGACGGAATCGAAGTTGATATCACAATCATTGATAACGTCACTGTACGGCCCGATGACGACGGGTTAACAGGATTTTCAGCAATGGAAAGACCAACCCCCTCAGGACAATCCCACCTCGTCATAAAGCGGCCCGAAACCCCTCTGGACACTCACCGGTCGCTGTGCCTATCACTCCTTCGGGTCACTTTTGTCCAAATCTAGCCAAGTTCGAGTCGGAATCAAGCATGCAGGCTTTTCGTGGAGAATTTCGGCTCGGTGTTTTTTCCTACGCACAATCGGATTGAGCGTCAACAGCGGCGTCGGCCATGTTAAACGGAAACTTCTGTTTACTGTTTTTGCCAACCTTTCAGTAAAATCGTTTTCGCCACGAAATATAAATATGGAACCGGACTTAATTACAAGTAAAACAAAAATTTACGTAATAAAATTTAAATTGATTATGTTTTATAAAGTTTTTATACAAATTGAAACAAATTTATAAGACATAAGATGAAGCTAATATTTTTGTTAGGTTGGCGACTTTTTCACTAATGAGCGTGCGCGGCTTTTGAGCGGCTTCGGTAGTTACGCCCCCTTTCTTAAGACTGGGAATTTGTTGACAACAACAAAAGTGTACATATGATAGAAAAAAGCACAAAAAGCTGCAGATTTTTTTAGCTTTAAATTAAGCATTAAATTCCATGTTCGAAGGAAAATAGTCGCATTTCCTTGCTTTGTCAAAATTTTAAAAATGGAAAAGTATTTGAAGAGGAAGAAAATCTATCTGAACAAAGGTGAACAGCAATTGGATTTGGCTCTATCAGAGGATGGCGAGCCCGGAGAGGCTCTTTCAGTTTCTCCGAGCGTTTCTCCAAACTTGGTCGCTCCCGTAGCCGCAAAGAAATCCAAAGGGGAAGGTACGTACTCAGTACATGCGCATTGATTATTTATTTTATTACACAATTTTATTTTCATATAATGCCTTCTATTTTCTCTGCTTGTCAAATACACTAAATTGATTCTCAAATTTGAAATTTAGCAGCAGCCAAGAAAAAACCTGCATCCGTACGGAAAAGCTCGAGGAGGTCTAGGTCATCTATGGACATCGTAGAAGATGACCTTTTTAGTAAAATTTATATGGACTCGTTACAAAACAATTAAAATATTATTTTAGTGGACACACCTGATGTTGGCTTGGCCGAGGAGTTGATTCCTGAAATTCCTGAAGAAACTGTGGAGACCATAGAGGAGACTGTTGGTGAAGAGAAATTTGATGAAATACCTGAAAGTACGGTGTAAATATTTTTTCAAAAAGTAATAAAACCCTTGTCACTATAGTGGGTGCTGATTTGTTGGTACCAACGTTTGCTGAAGAGAAGCCTAAAAAGAAACCAACAAATCCATCAAAGAAAAGTGCTCCGGTAAGTGCACAGCATCAAGCAGAGAGCGAGGAGGATCTTGTTTCTCCAAGTAAGACGTCGCAATTTTTATAAGAATGTCCTCAATCTTATTGTATCTGCAGAACTTGAGGTCACTGGCGTTTCGCGCTCTGGTCGTGTGAGGAAGAAATCCTCAAAACTCACCGACTTCAAGTCTCCGGATGAAATTGATCCCCGTTACAAACGGAAGAGTGAAAAAGGGACTTTTGACAGTTCCACCACAGATAGTCCAGCAGCAGCAGCTCCGTCTACACCAAAGAGTAAGAAAAGCACCAAGAAGGCACCTTCTGTGACTCCCCCCGCACCTCCTCCTCCTGCGGCACCACCGGTGGAAGAGGAATTCTTCATGTCCAAAGAAGAATTGGTGGAGGAGGAAGAGATTGTCTTTCCTCATGACGCTCACTTGGACACCGACTCTGACACGGAAATTCATCACACAGAGGAAGTGGTGGAGGACGATGACCATCTCAGTGACGATTCCGCAGAAGGAGGTTTGTCCTCAATTTTTCATCACTTAATTTAATTCAAATTGTATTTAGACCATGCTGTGGTCCATGATGAGCTCGATGAGGATGAAATTGATGACGACGATGATGACGAACCTCAATTTGTTGTTGACGAATCTCCCAGACCGAAGCAAACTAACCAGGTTTGGATGGAACAGAAATTATTGCAGGAGTTGAATTAAAAATTTGCCCTTAACATAGGCTATGTCTTTGTACATGATGGAAAAATCGAGGAAGAAACTGGTTGTGAAAGACGGAAAAGTGGTTGGACGGCAAAAGGCTCAGAGGAAAGATAAAGGGGTAGATCTATAATTTAAAAATAATTTAAAACCCCTAATCATTTTATTTTATTGATTTAGAAAACAAGATACACAGCTTACATGTTGTGGGCTAAGCAAGCGCGCAAAGATGCACTGAAGTTCGATCCAGACATGGGTAATAAATAATTGTGAAGACTGAATCCCTTTTTTACCTAATGTATTTCTAGACTTCTCATCCACGAGCAAGAAATTAGGAGAAATGTGGAGTTTGGTGCCCACAAGTGAGAAATTGTCCTGGAGGCGCCGCGCCAAAAGGTTGTCGGCCAAGCAGAAGCTGGAGGAACACCGAGCGTTGGCCCAGGGCCAGCAGCGGAAGCTCAAAAACACTGCTCCTCCACCCCAACCTAAGCCGTCTCCCACCAAGTAATGCTCGCAATTCCCTCCCTTATAAGTTTATAACATATTTTCATAGGCCGAAGCCAGACAGGCGTGGTCAGGGTCAGCTCAACACCCTGGCGGCGGCAGCGGCTGTGGCCCAACAGCAACAACAGATGCAACTTTCGCAGCAGCAACAACTTCAAAATGCACTTGCGGCGGCAGCTTCGGAAGTCTCGTGAGTTTCTCGCACAAATTTAATTCTCAGTCAGATGTGAATTGTCCAGAAGGAGTCCGGTCAAATCGAGTCCTGGAGATCCTCACGCGGCTGTCTTGTTCAAACCTGTGACCACAAATCCTGTGGATGTGGCCGCGCACCTGAAGCTGTTGGGCGAGTCCTTGTCCAACATCGGCGAGCGCCTCAAAGAGCACGAAGTAGTATAAAGACCGTGGTTGTTGTTAAACTAGTTTGCTTATAATTACTTTTGCAGGGTCAAATTGCCGTCTCCGGGAGCGTTTCGGTCCTTTTGGACTCTTTGATCTGTGCCATGGGCCCTCTCATTTGCCTCACCCAACAAATTCCAGAATTCAACGTTTGCCCGCAAGAGCAGCTGGCACAAATTTTGGACAACATTGCCTACATCATGCCAGGCCTCTAGAGTTTACAATTTTAAACTGTACAGTCTCTTATCAAATAAAGTTATTTGGAGTTTTTAATTCTAAGAAAATCTGCTTTTTATGTAAAATAGCTTTATTTTTCCAAATTAGAAATCGTCCAAGTCGAAATCGGCGACAATGTCTCCCTCCTCTATGTCGTCAACAGGTTCTTGTACCTTAGCTTTCTTAGCTGGTGGAGGTTTTACCAGAGCCGCCTTTTTGGTCTTCTTTGGCTTCTTCTTAGGAGCAGGTTTTTGTTCTTCATCGGAGTCGATTCCCCTAGGAAAAACAAGATTATTCTGCAATCTAATGAAAATTAATAAAACTCACTTGAAAACAATGTTATCAGATTCTTCATCATCAGACGGGAACAATTCAGTGGGCTCGTCATTGCTAGTTTTAGCAGCATGCTTCTTAAGCTTTGGAACATTTGCTTCATCAAACTAGAAAAAACATAAATTATACACTGAAAAATAGTTTTATACAAAACCTACGCTCTGCTTTTGCCGAATGACTTTCTTTTCTTCAAATGCCTTTCTCCAATTTTGGTAGAATGCGTCCAGAGGAGAAACTAATACAGATTTATTTTATTTAAATAATAAAATTTTCTTATACACACCTTTGCTTCTGACAAATGCATCGAAAGCATCGAGGTCATTCTGTTTCGTCAAATTGACATTCTTGGTCTTTCGAGCCTCTTCGATGAATTTGCTGTTCTCTTCCATTTTGTCCTGCAGACTCTTCATTTTCTTGACAAAAGCGGCCACTTTGCAAGTTTTGGAAAACTTGATCAGCTAAAGCAATCAAAGTTCAGAAGCAATGCGGATTAAATTTAAAATTTAAATAATTACGTGGCTAATGAACGGAACAACCAAATCAGGAAAAGCGATTGAGTAGCTCTGGGAGGCCAAATACTCAAGGGCGACTGCGTAAATCTGCTCGATTATGGCGTCCTTGAAGCTGTTCTCCAGCTGCTGGCGCTTGTTGACTCTCAGGATGCAGGTGAAGACGATGGGCTTCATGCTGACGTGTTTGTGCTTCTTGTTGAAGTCGTACACGTCCAGCACTTCGTACAACAGGGGAAGCACGGGAATGAAAGTCGGACTGCATTTGCAGATGAAGGTCAGCATCTTGGCGCAATGGAACCTGAGAGGGTAGTACTGCGGGGATGAGAACAACTGGACCACACCTATTGTCAGCTGAAATAAAAGATAATTTTTTTTCATGACAAAAAGAAGCAGAATTGCTTCCTAACCTCAACAACCGGATAGAGGAGCATTCTCAAAGGTGAAGATTTAGTTGTTCTAGCCAGAAGGGTGCACCACAGCTGCAGAGAGCTAACATACTGCCAGTTGCAAACTGTTTGCAGAGTTTCCTAAAGAAAGAAATTAATTCTGAAACTTCCAAATATCAATTTTTTTAAAAGAAGAAATATTGAGCTGTTTTTTTTTTTTTTTTAATTAGCAGGAACCTTTTTGTGGACCCTGACGGCATTGCGAAGGTGAATGGCCAACTGCCTGATGTAGAGAAAGGCCTGTTGGTACGCAGCAGCCTCGTCAACATAGAAAAGCTCAACGAGGGACAATCGCATGAAATTGACATTGGCCAGGACGCTCGGAGAGAGGAAACGAGTGTTTCTCACGTAAGTCACATACATGACCTGGAGAGTAAAAGTTAATAAAAATCGCAGCGGAAATTTACATTGACAAACCTTGAGGACCATTTCCAACATTTGGTTTTGTCTGTTGCAAGCAAATCGGGACAGGCAGAGGAATGCAAGAATTCGCACTGGCTGGCTGAGCCCTTCCGACCACAGTTTGACCAAAAGTTTCAAGGCGGTTTTGCACATTTTGGGGAAGCAAACAACGAATAGAGACATCTGATGGAAATGCTTCAACACCGTCGCTTGAACTTCTTCGGACGAGACCAGACCCAGGTACTGGGAATGAAAAAAAATCAACGACTTTTGCGATATTCTAAAAATAATTTACCTGAATTAAAGTGTTCAGGTAGAGTTTGATGTGCTGCCTGGCCTTCTTCCACCTCTTGCTTTTCATAGGCTGGGCAATGGAAACGTTACTGGGCATTTTCAAAATCTTCCTCAGCGACGAATACATGTAGGACAAGCAGGTCTGCATTATACTGTTGAAGTCTGGGATTTGTTGGAATTGTTATTTTACGAAACACAATTAAAAACTAATATTTACGTCCTGCGCCGACAAAATGGTACTTCAAATTGGTTCGTCCTTCGTCCTCTTTGCCATGGAGCTGGACCACTGCGGACTGGAAAGCCTTGACAATCTCGGCAACAACCTCAAGAGATCTGTTAAATGCAGTTTTAAGGATTATTGATATTTCTTTGAAATTTCCTACTAACCCGTCCGATTGCATGCTGTCGTTCCAATTTTCAACCATGGCTTTGGTGACATTTATTTGAGCACCGGTGTATTCCTCTTCATTTTCTAAGTCACTGTCTTCGCTGTCTTCCTGTGATTTGAAATTGATTATTCAGGTTATAATAAATTATAATTAAAAATTTACAGCCAGTGTTTCAGGTGGTTTGTGAACTTTTTCATCTTCGTCAACATCAGAATCATCGTCCGACGCCTCAAAATTCAACAATTCCTTGTCATTTTGCAGCAAATATTTGTAAAACGACGGATCCGTGTCCTTCAGCCTATTTAGTGCTTGTTTGTGTTGTTTAGTAGTTCCGACGTCTTCCTCTTTACCGCTTCCCTCATTTTCAACCTAATTTAAAACAAGAGTCAAGAAATAATTATTAATTCTAAAATTAAATTTTAAGTTAACGAACACTTTCGTCCTCTTCGCTGCCGGCATCTTTCTCCTCCTCATCTTCCTCGTCGTCTGATTCATTTCCATTCTCATCATCAGCAACCTCTTCATCGGATCCAAACTCCAAGTCTTCAGCGTCGTCGTCCTGCACATCCAAATCCTCATCGTCAAGACTGCTGTCGTCGGATTCCTCGTCCGCTTTGCTACTTTGGTTGTTGATCATTTTCCTCAGCTTCATCTCGTCGGCCTTGCTAAACGCTTTTCCCTTCTTGCCCTTTCCTGTCGAAAAATAATTGAAATTTTAATCGCAATCAAAATAAAAATTTCCAAAAATTTAATAAAAAACTTTTTAAACGACGTGTCAGGCACGATCACAATCATTCTGACAAAAATTTAAGTCTTGAAAGAATTCTTAATGCATACCTTTTGTCTTCATTATGAGTTGGTTGCTTTCCTAATTTCAATTCGAATTAAAAATTAAAATGTGTCTTCAAAAATTGTCTTAAAACACACGTGGTGTTGTGTTTGTGTTTTATTTTTTCACGAGGAAACGATTTTAATGCAAGCAACGCCATCTCTTGGTAAGTTAGCGAACCTGGAGATTCTTCGCTGCCTTTTATTGAAAATGAAAAGAAAAACATAAACAAACATTTTTTTTAGTCAAATTTGACAATTTACGCCGTTTCACCTCATCATTAATTGATTAAAATGCTCCATTTACAATTCAAGATGTTCGAAGTGAAGAGTTGACCGCAGGGGGTGACCATGGAGGCGCTTCTGCCATCGGAAATTGCCCGCCTCGTTTGGGGTAAATTTGTGTCTTTTTTTTTTAATTTGATAATATTCCTTATAACTTTCAAAATCAGGCTACTTGCAAGCGGAGTGTCCAAGTGCAGGCCACGTTTTTCTAAAAAACTGTCCCGCGCTGGCCGAGTGCAGAGACGCAAAGCAGAAGGGTCGACGAGTGCTGGACACTGTCCACGGACACTCTCTTCTGGACTTGCTGGCAGACCTCTCGGACACTTTCAATTATGGTGATAAAAATTTTAAAAAATTGGAACTTCAGCATTTTATAATTTCCTAACGAAAAAATTCTTAGTCTATGAAGCCCAGAATTGTCTTTCGCCAGAAGAACAGTCGGATGTCAAGAGCAAACTAAGTCTCTGCAATAAAGTTGATGCACTTTTTACTCACGTTAAAGCTACTAGTGCTTTTGAGGTATTTTCTTCCTTCTGTATTAAATTGATCTAAAAAATAAATCATTAAAGGCCCAAAGAGAAGAAGTCAATGCTATGGGGGAAGGAATTGCAGATTACCGAGAAGGTTCTCCAGTGAACACAAATCCATCAAGTAGTTTTCTATTCAAATATAATTTATTTTATAATAATTTTAATTATTTCCAGTTGATGACGTGATGAACACATCACCAGTTCGAGCACTCATGGCCAACCTAGCCAACAAATTGAAGCAAAACAAAACTAGCATTCCGTTCAAGAAGAGGTTTTTGATAAATTTGTGTCAAGTCAAATGTGACTGAATTTTCGTTTTTGCAGAAGAATGACTGGCAGTCCCAGTATGAATCTCGAAGGGACTTCCGATGATTCAGGAATGGCGCCGCCCGCAGATATTGTTCCGATTTTGCATCCCATTTTGAAGAACACCCAGTTTCACGAGAGGATCGCCGAGAGCATCAACAAAATTTTCCAGCCTAAAGCCAGCTGCGAGGACGTGAATCAAGATCTTGAAAAAGTCATCCACCAAGTTGTCAAGGAGACTGAAAAAGACCCGACTTTTGAGGAAATCATTCAGGAAATTTGCGTCGGAACCCAAGGTGTGCAAAATGCAAGGCTTTTATTTATAGAAAAATTATTTATAATTTTGCAAAAGACTTTTCAGCTGCTCTGTCCGACGTTGGCAGTGAAGACAATGGTCTGGGCCCAGCCCTGTCTCCTCCGTTGTCCTTGCAACTTGATTCGAACGGACAAGACTTCGCTCAGGCAAACGAGCTTCACACCCCGTAAGTGATGAAAATTTGCTTTCGTATCAATTTTTTTTTCATTAATCACAATTAATTTCAGAGACCCTGAGGAGATTGAAATTCAAAACACTCCCACCCGCGGCAGGAAGGGACGAGCGAAAGGCGCTTCTGCGGAACCACAAAATGAAGTTCCTCTGAAGGCTAGGCTGAGAAGCGCCTCCAAACTTGGCCACTGCGACGGCGACGCTTCCCAAGACAGTCTGCACATACTCAATGAAGATGCGGTCCGAAGCATTGTCGAAGCAATCCCTGATATTGATATTGCCACGCCTCCAGAGGGGGAAACGGCCATGGATGTTTCCGTTGACAAAAAACAAGACGGAAACGTAGAGAATGTAAATTCGAAATAAATAAATGGTCAGTAAGATTAATGTTCACTTTGCAGGAGAAAACTTCAGTGGAAGCGCCAGAAATTACACTGGAAATTCCTCTAAGCTTGGAAGAACAACAGTCTGTCAGTATGTTTAACCAACCCATGCCGATCAGCTCCGATTTCAGCCAGCCAGAGACGCAAGTCCAAGAACCACCTGCGCCTCCTGCTCCCATCCTACCCCCTACCAAAATTCACCCGAATCCACCCCTGCCGTCGAACCCTGTCGGCTCAATAATTCTGATCATGGAACCTCAGGATTCCATAAATACAAGTACGGATTAATCAATTTTTACATAAAGAAGCTATTAATTTTTTTTTTTAATTCCAGCCCCTAATAATACGAGAAACATTTTTACCCAACGCTACCCCTCAATTCGTCCGAATGGTGCATTGCCAAGTAAATAGTTGTTTCATTAATTAATTTGAATGGAATCTCAAGGTTTTTATTGCTTTTGAATTAGAAATCATGCCCCAAGCCAAACCAGACAGAAAACTGAACCAGAAAGTGAAGGTACCAAAAAGTGGTGGCAAGAAACTGGCAGCTCCTGACATGCCGCCCCCAGTTATCACCATTGAAGGTTTGATTGTGCATCCTCCGGTGGAACAGGAGTTTGAGCAGGACTATCCGAACGTCTCGGCGCCTGAAGTCGAGGAAGACCCGACTCCTCCGACGCCAGACATAATTCCTCCAACCCCGGAGCATGCTCTGCCGTCTGCCTCACCATTTCCCCAAGGACAGCCCTTGCCACAAATGGCGTTTGTGTCCATGCCGAGCATCAGTCCTGCTCAACAAGGTCAGTAATCAATAAAAATTTGATCAGCATAATTTAAATAAATATTATTCTTTTAGGTGCCAGGTCAACAGACCCACCCCGAGATTCGCCGATTGCCCCCGTCCTTGCCGAGGGCAGCACAGAACGCCCCATTGAGGTGCGGAAAAGCCTGAGCACACCCAGAAGGGGCAGCAACTACGTCCGAGCCCTCGACTTCTCCACCCCCAAACAGCACAAGGTGGCAGCGCGCAGAGCTCATACCTCTCCGAAGCTGGCTCAACACCGAAGCCCTTCTTCGACGGTCAAGCACTTGTTCACGGCTGCAAGAATTGTTCGATCTCGTCTATTCGAAAAGGTTTTGCTTATTAATTTATAGCAAGAAATGCGATTAATGTGATTCAAATTTCAGTCTCCAGAAACAGCAAAATCCAAGAAGTTGAATAAATTGTCCCTAATTTCTGAAGAAGAGCCTCCGTCGGCGCCTGCAGAAGTTGAAACTTCAGTGCCTGAAAATGAAATTCCTCCCCCGCCTCTGGTGGAAGAATCTCCGACGCAACCTTCTCCTCCGATTGAGACTCCTCCGTCTCCCCACACTCCACCTTTGCCAAAGTCTCCTGAAATTCAGCCTGCCAAAGATTCGATGAGCTGGGATGCCAAACTGAGATCCCTCATCGGACCCGTTTCCAATGCGTCCAGTCCGAAAAAATCGCCAGTTAAAAATAAGAGGCGTCGGATAGGAGGCGAAAAAGCTTCACCAAAGAAGAGACGATCCACCCCAAAGAAAACCCCAACGAAAGATCGCAAGTCTGCACAGAAAGCAAAGGTTGCATATTAAATTAACACTAATTTTCACAATTTAATTCTGCATCTTGATTCACAGGAGAAAAACAAGAGAAGTAAGATAACCCCAGCAAAGTCTGCAACAAAACGGAGCAGAGCAGCCCTTAGAACCCTGAACTCCTCCCCCACTCTCTCCCAGACGTGCGCTGAGAAAGAGCGCCTGTTGGAGTCTCTCCAGCTGAGCCCTTCGAAGCCTCCTCCCCGAATTCCAGAGCCAACCTTCGAACTCGGGAACCCTAGAATGAAACTGGTGACCTGTGCATGGCAAGGCACTTCGGCAGGAAACTTTGAACCAGACCTGGACAGGTCATACTGCATGACCATCAGCGTCGAGGGAGAGGACGGGGAGGAAATGGACATCTCCCTCAAGTGGGGTCAGACCCACGTCTGGGACTCTTATCAAGGAGAAACAGTCACGTGGGCTGAAAGGAGGAAGCAAATTGAATCGTCCGAGGAGGAGCTTGACCGAGGTTGGATGTTCAAATCAAAGGAGTCTCAGCAATTATTAAATTTTAAATTTCTGCTCCAGGTCCAGAGGATGACGACCTTATGACTTTTGCCCTGATTGGCTCACCTTCAAAGTCTAGGTCAAAAGTGAGTATTTTTAAATCATCTTTTCTGTTAATTTGAACTGAATTTTTGTTTCTGAAGGTTCAAAGCCCGCAAGAAAGTTCCAACCCACAGGACATGCTGAGGAAGGTGGGAGTTGACAATTTCCTATCAGCCCTTCATGGGAAGGCTAAAAAGTGAAGCTTAAAATTATTTTTGTAATTTATTTGCTTTTGAATATTGCGTATTGTGAATTTTTCCATTAAACACTAATAAAAGGAATACATTTTATTGATTTATTTAAAATTTCCTAACCAAAATAACAAAAAAACAGCACCAAACACAAAGTAAACATATTTTCGTTCAAATGCAGATAAAATCTTAAAAGGCCACAGAAAATAACAAATGGTTGGCACAGACAGGGGGTAACAAAAATATACGCCTGCATTATTTGTATGTGATTATTGTAGCATCTGGCGAATCATGAAGTTGAGGATGCCGCCGTGTCTGTAGTAGGTCAGATCGACCTCAGTGTCAAAGCGCAACTTCACGCTGAACTCCTTTCCATTGGAGGCCTAGAATTCAATTGAAAAACAAACTTTTCATTCATATTAGAAGGAAATCGTACTTTGACGGAGATGAGCTGGCCAGGCTTGCAATCGTCCGGAATGTGCAGAGTGAAAGTCTCAGATCCGTCGAACCCAAGCGAGTCAGTCGACTGTCCGGGCAGATACTCCAAAGGTACAAGGCCCATGCCAACAAGATTGGATCGGTGGATGCGCTCAAAGGACTCGGCAATCACTGCTTTGATTCCCTACAATCAGAAAAAATTTATATAACAGTTTTTTAATTAATAAAAAAGCCCTACTTGGAGATACGGTCCCTTGGCAGCCCAATCTCTGGACGAACCGGAGCCATAGTCCTTTCCAACCAGCAAAATCAGAGGCACATTTTCCTGTGTGTATCTCTCGGCAGCATCGTAAACGTCAAGCTTATTTAAAAAAAATCAGATAATAAGGAAATGATATTTGCTCAAAAAATTACTTCTTGCATCGATGGGAAATGAATAGTCTTCGGTCCAGGCTTGCCGACCAACTTGTTGACCAGTCGAATATTGGCAAAGGTGCCTCGAGCCATGACTGCGTCGTTGCCTCGTCGAGAGCCATACGAATTGAACTCGCGAGGAGTTAGCCTGCTCGAGATATAAATTTAAAATTAAACATTGACCGATTTCAACACCGCATACCCTCTTTCTGCAAGGTATCTGGCTGCAGGGCTGTTGCGGGCGATGCTTCCGGCAGGGGAGATGTGGTCAGTGGTGACCGAGTCGCCCAAATTCAGCAAGCACCTGGCGTCGGCCAGAGCAGATTGTTTTGGCAGGTCCTTGGATAAAATATTTGTAAAATAAGATTTTTATAAAAATTGGAAAAATACCAGAGTCATGCTGTCGAAGAAAGGCGGTCTTTTGATGTAGGTGGAATTCTGGTCCCAAGGGTAGAGCTTTCCCTCCGGCGCCTCCAGCTCCTGCCAGGCCTTGAAGCCCTGAGTGACCTTCGAGTAGACCTCTTTGAACATGGCAGGGATCACGTGTTTGCTCTCGACAGCCTGGATTTCGGATCTGGTTGGCCAAATCTGCTTCAGGAAAACCGGTTCTCCCTTTTCATTCAGACCTAAAAATATTAAAGAAAAAGTAATTAATTCAATTAAAATTTCTGCTTTTCGGCTCCTTACCAAGAGGCTCGGATTCAAAGTCGATGTCCACCCTGCCAGCGATGGCGTAGGCGATGACGAGCAGAGGCGAGGCCAAGTAATTGGCCCTGGTGTTGGGGTGGATGCGCCCCTCGAAATTCCTGTTTCCAGAAAGAACTCCGCAGCAAACCAAGTCATTCTGTTTTTAATCAATTTATTTTAAAACAATCAAAATCTCGCAAGTGTCTAAATAAAATTTTACCTTTTCGATGGCGTCGACGATTGCGTCTGGAAGAGGCCCCGAGTTTCCGATGCAAGTCATGCATCCGTAGCCGACGTTGTTGAAGCCCATCTGCTCGAGGAAGGGCAGGACTCCGGACTCTTGCAAATAATAGGACACGACACCTGAGCCCGGAGACAGCGAGGTCTTGATGTACGGAGCGACACCCAAACCGGCCTCGACAGCTTTCTTCGCAAGAAGCCCTGAGAAACAAATTGAAATATATAAAAAAAAATTTAAAAAAAAAACTTATTAATTCACAAATATAATTATAATTCAACTATTTCCAAATCAAAACATTACTTGAAAATTTATTTTAATTTTTTAAATAAATCTAGTTTAAAAATTAATTTTATGTTCGTAAATTTGAGGGAATTAATGTTTTTTTTTTATAAATTTCTGTTATTTTAATTAGATTAAAGATAAACGTGTTTGCGGATCAAGTTTAATCTAACCGCAAGTAATCAGAATGAAAAAAAAATACAAATAATTTCCGTGAAAACTGAAAGAGCAAAAATAAAGTATAAGTCGATGATAAGGAATATTTTTCCTGCTCGCCGCCTTCAATGCAAAGGAAAATAAATCTGCTGCAAGGGGAATTTTGTTTTCAAACAAGTTCTGACAAAAACCAGAAGGAAAATTTCACGAGAAAATCTCAAACAGCAGGACGGATGCACTCGTCCGAATAAAGATTTTTTCCAAGAAAAATGCATTTTGTTTTGTTGTTCCTGAGACCGAATTTGTGCCCCTCGGGCGAAGGATTTTCCACCTGAACTCTCTTTGCGAGAAGAAGGTGCTGCGGTGAATCATCTCTCGCTCCGTGGGGGTCCAAACCCTCTCTCATGTTTGTGCAGATTTATAGGAAAAAAGTCGAGAACATGTCAAGGCAGAGAGATTTGGTGGTGCCAGGTCTTTCAGGAGCGTGTTCAGGCGTCGCAAAGGGGAGAGATTTTCTCGGAAAAACGTCTCTCTTGAGACGAGAGGCTTGTTTGTCAGCCAGGTTGATGGCCTGCTAAAGGGCAGTCACCTTCTTCCTTTTGTTGGAAAAGGGGGAGACAAATTTCAGCCCGTGTGAAATATCCTGAGAGCATGATTTCTTCTCTCCAGTAAAAAATTGTAGATTTTTTTGGAAAATTTCTATAAAGTTCGTAATTTAAGTTTCCAAATGAATTAAAAACATCTTAATATAAACTTACATTAAAATATTTTGACGATCAAATTAAACATAATTTTCATTGGAAATGAATAAGTTTTTTTTTCATTCCAATTCTTTCCTACCTTTTTTGAAACAATATGCAGACAAAATATATTTCAATTTTGAAGTTTGAAGTAATAAATAATAATTTAATTTAATTATTTTCCCTCACCTGCACCAAGCATGACGGATGGGTTGCTGGTGTTTGTGCATGAGGTGATTGCGGCAATGACAACAGAGCCGTGCTTGAGGCTGTAGTTTTTGCCTTCATATTCAAAAGAGCCCACAGAGTCCAAACTGTTGCTGTTTAGGCCGAACCCTTTGAATCCAACCTGAAAAAAGTAAAAAATTCAGTATAATTATTTTATTTTTGTCCCTAATTTATATTATATAGCAATAAATTAAATTTAGAATAAAAGCAACTATCATAAATTGAGTATTTACAGTTATTGAAAGTGTATGGCCGGATTAAAAAAGTAAAATTGGCACAGAATTGAAATTGTTCTGCTTAATTTTTTAATTTTTCCATTGCAAAATTAATAAAAATAGAGGTAAGAGCTGTGGTAAAATTTAAATAAAGAATTTTTACAGGAAAAATCTTTCTTATTATCATTCTTGTGTTTTCTTGGCAGCTCCATAGTTTGATTGGATATTAAATTTATATTTTATTCATTTATTGAACAATTTTGTACTTAAAAAGTTCTCTTAACAATGATTACTTCAACTGTGCAAGAGGACGAAAAAATGTGATAATATTGTTAAAATAATTAAATCATTTTGCTCTTTAGTGTACAAAATGTATGTATTGTTTTTATATTTCAAATTAAAAATTTCATCATTCAAAATAATTAATATTTTTGAAAAATTGATATAGATTCAATTAATTATTAATCTTTAGTTTTGTATAATGCTGATGAGATTGGAAATAAATATTTAAATCATTTTTATTTGATAATTTTGAAGGACGTGTTATAATACAAAAATATTTCATAATATCCTTTTATGTTTAAATTTAAATTTCATTTCCACAAGAAAAACGTGGCTTTAAATCTCGTTAATTCAGATAAATCCTTCCTGGCAAGTTCCAATTTATCGCTTTACTGATTATTTTAGTTATAAAAAGTACACGGGAAATTCCCAAAACGATAAACTTGGCCACTCAAAAGGAAAAAACCAGATTCATTATAAAATAAAATTTATAATTTGCATAATTCAACTTTTTTGTTGTTGTTATAAATGAAAATTAGAAACAAATATTTTGATAAATTAAATGAATTTCAATTTAAGAAGTAAAAAAAAAAGTATTCATCGTCAGCCAACGCGGAGATTGCAAATTTTTTGTTCATCTTTTCAAGACAAGACGAAATTTTCTGTAGAGATTTCCGAGCGGGTTGGCCGAAGGGAGGACGCAGGTGGTGGGGCAGGCCGGGGGTTGATAAAAGAGACACCGGGCCACGGCGGCCGATCAGTCTTGGTTTGGATGTACCCTGAGTGCGAGCGAGAAACCTGAACGCGAGCAACTTTGTCTCTGCAGGGCCTGAAGAAATTATTTCAATCAGACCCGCTCAGACGGAGGTGTTTGCGCGCCGGGCCGGAACTCGCTTATCAGCGCCCGCTTATAAAAGGTCTGCGCGCGGCCACGGACCGGCGACTCAACTTCTGGGGCGCACAGAGATTTAATCATCCGAAGCTCGGGTTGCTTTTTTACAACAACAGAGGCTCGGATGATTAGTCTTACAAGCGCCAATTTTCAACACAAATTCTACTTCGCTCATCTCAATTTTTGGTAAGATTGAAACAATTCCATTGTGCATTTCTTAATTTTAGGAGCAGAATTTTCTAATAGAAATATTGTTTGTTATGAATTTGTATTCATGTTATAAATTTAATTTAAAATTCCTTTGCGGTTTACAATTTACAGAATAAAATATAAATTTATAAAAAAAAGTATGCCAGTAAGATTTTAAGTGTTTGACTTAATTTAAGTTTGGCATCAAAATAATGAAACCATAGGAAATTTTACGCTGATTGAAAACCAGGAAATATGTTCTCTTATCAATCTGATAACAAGTTTTAAATAATGTATGCATATAAAATTTGAAGTTATTTCTCAAATTGACTTGTTATAAAAAAATCTACTCACTTTGTTCGTCAAACATTGGAGGAAATCTTGCTTCATGTCACTCACTGACACTCTGTCGTGGGGTCTCTTAGGTCCGCTGACGGAAGGCACAACCGTGGCCAAATCCAATTCCACAACCTTGTAAATTAACGACAATAAATTATTATCAGACGAAATATTGGGATTAGCTGTGAAGTTTGCGATTCAGAACTTTTCTAAACCTTTTACTTGTTTATCATTTTTTTTTCTTCATTTTAGTTTAGAACAAAGAAATTTATTGCATTGTAATTTTGATTACCTGTGTGAATTTTGGGTTTTGCTTAGCATCGGAATAGTCACGCATCATTTTAGAGGCTCGCAAGTAGGCCTCGATGGCTTCAATTTTCAGTTCATCTCTGTCTGTAATTTGAATATAAATAAAACTCAAACAAATATGCACTTGATTTGGTTTTACTGGTTTGTCTGAGGTAAGCAAGGGTGGCGTTGTCAACAGGGAAGTAGCCAACTGTGGCGCCGTACTCGGGACACATGTTGGAAATGGTGGCTCTGTCTGCAATCGAAAGGGCTGCCACTCCTGGCCCGAAAAACTCGACAAACTTTCCCACTACACCAATTTGACGGAGGTGCTGCAACGAAACACAACATAAAATTCAGTACGATTATTAAAAGAATATTGAAATCAAACCAGTTTTTGTTTGTCGGATTACCTTTGTGATTGTGAGAACCAAATCAGTTGAGGTGGCGTACTGGTCCAGATTTCCAATGACGTGGTAGCCGATGACTTCGGGCAGAAGCATCGAAATGGCCTGACCAAGCATGACAGCCTCCGCTTCAATGCCTGAAATTGTTCAAAAGCGGTGATAAAACTTTCAATTTAGATAATACACAAATTTAATTAAAACTTATTTCCATATTCGCCTATTTTTACTGACAAAAACTCAGAAAAAAAACAATGCCAATAGAAGAGCTTTTTAATTTAAATAATAATAACACAATTGATTCATTGATTCTCGCTGAAAAAGCAGATGAAAATCTAATTCACCTCCGGCACCCCAACCGAGAACGCCGAGGCCGTTGATCATGGTGGTGTGCGAGTCGGTTCCAACCACTGAGTCTGGGTACAGAACTTCAGAGTCGGAAAAGACAACCCTGGCCAAGTACTCCAAGTTGACTTGGTGGACGATGCCTGAGCCAGGCGGCACGATCAACATATTCCTGAAGGCGGTGGCGCCCCATTTCAAGAAACGGAAGCGCTCCTTGTTGCGTTCAAACTCAAGGTCTTGATTTTTTTGCAACGAATCAGCCCTGTTAACAATATGAAAGTTTTAATTCTACAAGCATAAAAAAATTATAATTAACGAATTCTGTCTCGAAATTGGGATCCATTGTGCAGCTTAAATTAATTTAATTTGAGTTAAAAGTAAAGAATCATTTATGAATATTAAATTTCAAACCGAATTCAACAAACGTGTTTATTTAAATTTTGAAATCGGGTCTCACGTTCTGGCAAAGTCGACCTGGACCGAGTGGTCGATGACAAGGTCCGAGGGGCAGATGGGGTTGATTTTGTCGGGGTCGCCGCCGAGTTTGGCGACGGCGTCCCTCATCGCCGCAAAGTCGACCACAGCCGGGACGCCGGTGAAGTCCTGGAGGATGACTCTGGCCGGTTTGAAGTTGAGCTCCACGTTCTGCTGGTCCGCCCAGTTCAGGACGCACTCGACGTCTTGCCGGGTCACGGAAAATTCGTCGCAATTTCGCACCGCCGACTCCAGAAGAACCCTCACGCTGAACGGCAACTCGTCTGAACCAAAATTCAGAATTAATGAGAATGGTGAAATATGATGAGATTTGACTGACCATATTTGGCTCCTCCGAGGGCAGGAAGGTCAAAGTATTTGAAGGTCTTGCCCGCCACCTCCAGGCTCTTCAGGTACTGTGCATATGGGTTGCCTAAAATCATCAAATTTAAATATTATCCAAGCAAATTAATTAAAAATATGCAAATGCATAATGTGATATTAAATGAAAATAAATTACTCCACATAAGTGGCCAACAAGGTCAGCAAATTAATTCAAGAAAGAAATAATAAAATAATAATAAAATGAATCCAAATTCAATAAAAAAAGTCTTGCTTTATTTACACCTTATTTTTTAATATGTATTAATTCAAGACACGATGCAACTGTTTGAAATAAATTTAATACTATATCTCTATGTGTTTCAAGCAAAAAATCTCATATTAATTTTAAATTAAGTTTATTTCATCTCATTCATCTAATTTATAAATTTTTAATTTTCCTAATTTTCAACTGAAAAAAAGTGCATTAGATATGTGGGGTTTAAAATTTTATTAAATTTATATTCAGTATGATTTATTGAATATTTTTTCACACGATTTTATAGGGTTTTAATCTAAAAGTAGAACAAAAAACATTTGTTTGTATAGTTCAGGCTGTGGAGGCTGGTTTTAAAGCTATTCATGGATTATTATTTTGTTACTGCCACATTGAATTAATTTGCATTTAAATCAGATGCGTTTTCAAGACAGCTGGACACTATGAATATTTTAGTTTTAAATTATAAAGACTGCTGGATGATAGGCTTAGCACAAAAACACGTCATTCGATATTAGAGTGAAAAAAGATATAAATGGACAATTCACTAATGAAATTATTATAAATAAATTAAAAAAATTACAAAGGACGATAAGGACATCGCAGTAAATGAATCAATCCCTCAGAGATATTATTTTTCAGCAACTGTAAAATAATGTTGACGGCGGGGTTAGCGAAAAACAGTTTCGGTTTTCCGTAAAAAGTGCCAAGCGCAGTGGACTTTAGCAAGAGATTTGATAGTTCAGGCGATTCGGTAGAAATTAAAGAGTGTTTTACCAGCCATGGCAGTCGAGGACGAGACCAGCAAATATGGCAAGAGAGCAAAATTCGTGCGAAATTTACGGCCGCAAGTCCGAAGTCTACTTGAGGGGCGTGGTCAGTCACGTACGGCTCAACACGGCACGCAACTTAATCCACCTACTAATCAGAATTTGAATAAAAAATTTAAATTTCGAATATTTTATTGAATAAAATGGTATTTTTTAAATTGCTTACGTTAACAATATATTTTTTTGTCACAATTTCAACTTCCATAATAGATTTAATTAAAACTAAAAGTGGTTTTCGTAGTTTGGTTGGCAAAACTGACAACTTGATTCAATTTTACCAAATTTAATATAATGCATAATTCTTTTTGTATGTATTTTGTATAAATATTGTTTTTTTTAAGAAAATGAAATATTTGCTTAAATAAACTGCCTCATTTTGTTAACATTTTCCCAAATTTTTCTTTCGTACTCCACATTCACTCTTTACTATAAATTCCTTTTAGCTTCTTTGTTTTCATTGTCACTGCCTAATTCCTTTGTTTGCTTTCCTGCTGCACAATCCTTGTCAGTTCGGATCGAGGTGATAAAGGCTTTTATATAATAATCTTGGTGTGTGTACATTAAAATTTTCTTCACTTCCCAGCTGCCCAGCAAGTTTTTAAACCGATCATTTCCTAGAGCAAGTTCTAGAACTTCACTTTCTTTGATATTACGAAACTCCTCCTGGGTCAGTTTAAACGTTACCACCTCCTTGTCGTTCAACTGAAAAATTTAATGGTTTATATAACCCTGCCGAGGTACTTGCGAATAACTCACATAAATAAAAAGGTCAAGTTTATACTCAGCATCCAACTTTGGCCACCTCTGCTCCAAGACAGACTTGCTCTGTTAAAAAAAAATAGTTATAAAAATAAAAATTGCACAAAGATTTTTTGTACCCAATCAAATTCATTTGTTTTTATCGAAGTGGCCAAGGCAAGAACCGCCCAAAGCTCCGACGCAAAGTGAGGAGCAAAGGGGGCAATCAAAATAAGTTGCAAAGCAAGCGCTCGTTGGAACTGAGTCGATAAGGTTATCAGCTTTTTTGGCGTTCTTCTTAAGCTGTTTGTCAAGCCTTGCATTCCTAATATAGCTAGATGTAGTTCGATTTTACCTGGAATTTCAGCATCAATAAATACCAAAATATCAAGCAATCAATTCAATTTTGTACTCATGTGATAGGTGGTGCTAGAGAGGCAGTAATTACGAGCATCCCAAAGGCGCTCCTCCTCCTTGGCAAGTTCAGCCGAGAGTTCATCACTCATTGGCACATCCTGCCTCTTCCTTTGCTCCAGAAAGTCATTCATAGATATCCAAATCTTTTTTTGCCAATTGATGATTCCCTTGTAAGCTGGAAATGAGATAAAACAAAACTTGAGCACATTTCCTCTCAAGGAATCAAATTTTAAGTGGTCGGCGTACTTTCCGATGACCATTTTCTGTGCGAGGTGGGTGCCACCTGTACCAGAATCGCAAGTCGAGTGGCGTCGCAGCCCAATTCTTGCACCACCTCCTCCGGGCTGACTCCGTTCAACTTTGACTTGGACATTTTTTCCCACGTTTCCACAATCGCAGCTCCCGTCCCAAACTCCACGGGCTCTTTTCCTGTCGAGGGAAATGTAAAATCGCACTGAACCTTGCTAAAAAATTTCACACCTGAGGTGTCCACTTGGTCGGCTCGAAGGTATTTGCCAGAGTTTTTCACCCTGTAACTCTTGCCCATAATCATGCCTTGCATAAGAAGGCGGCTGAAGGGTTCAGGTCGATCTAACCAGCCGATCGAGTGAAGGAAGTGACCCATGAACCGAGCGTAATACAAGTGCAGTTCAGCTAGAGATTTATTTTTTAAGTTTACTTTAAGTATAGAGTTTTTCTGATTAAATACCATGCTCTAGTCCCCCAACGTAGAGATCAACAGGCATCATGGCGTTGACCTTAGCAGGATCGAATGGTTTTTCACAGTTCTTGGGGTCCAAAAAGCGCAAAAAGTACCAAGACGAGTCGACAAATGTGTCCAGTGTGTCAGTCTCACGCTCTGCTGCTCCTCCGCATCTGCAAGTCATAATAAATTTAGCTGCAATTTTCAAAAGAATTTCAGGTCGAATTCACTTTGGGCAGCTTTTCTGCTTCCACGTGTTGAGATCCATGTTGGACGGTGGCACCAAGACAGGAAGTTCCTCCTCAGGAACAGGTTGTGGCCCGCAACTGGGACACAGAACTATGGGGATCGGAGTGCCCCACCTTCTCTGCCTTGACACGAGCCAATCTCGCAAATGGTGACTCACGGGGACTCCATCACCAAGTCCTATTAAAAAAAGTTTCATTTTGATAATTTATTTTAGCAACGTGTATTTTTAAGAACCTCTTTCTTTGATGGTTTTAATTGCTTCTTCCTTGGACATATTGGTAGAGGGTGGTGTTGACAGTCCCAGGGAAAAGGCAATCTCTCGATCTTCCTCAGACGAGGCTACCCCGAGATAGGCAACATCATCCTTTTTGAACTCATTCTAATGATGAGATTTATTTAAAATTTTAAATTATAACTGTAAATATTTTACTCTGTCGAAGATTATGACTGGAAGAATGTTCTTGTGCAAAGGGTGGACCACATTTGTGTCCAAAAAACAGTCTTTGACGATTTTTCTCTCGGAACACAGAGGGTGTGTTCTTCGCACAGCAACAAACAAACCCGCGTCTTCTGGCGACGAAGTCCAAATTTTTAATTTCTCGCCACTAAAAATTGCACAGGGTGAAATTGGATATTACAGCAAAGTCATAACTCAAGTACCTTTGAGTTTCGGCATCAACAAAATACCCGTCACATTTTCCAATCCAGTGTTTCTGTATTTTAATTACGTTCTCCCAGTCTTCCAATTGTGGACTTTCCAGTCCACTGAAAAGACGCCTGGAGGGTTAAAGTTGATATCAAATCTTTTCTAAAAATGAAATTCACCATACTCTGAAAATATTGTTGTTTTGACAAACCACTGCGTCAATTCCTTTCTTTCGACCTTTGCACCCGAGCGCCAAGAGAAGCCGTTTTGATCGACCTGCTCGTCCGCGAGGACCGTTTCGTCCACCGGATCCCAATTGACAGTCGACTGATTGACAAATAAATATTAGAGCTAAATTATAAAAGTGGTTGGATTTTCAACCTTGCCCCTGTACGCAAGACCCCTTTTGAAGAGCTCAAGGAAAATCTGCTGGCTGCCTTTGTAGTATTCTGGCTCGCAGGTGGACACTTCCCTGTCCCAGTCGAAGCAGAAGCCCATGTTGTCCAGCTGCTCTCGCATTCTGGACACATTCCCCACCGTCCACTCTCTTGCGTCCACTTTGTGCGTCCTGGCTGCGTTTTCTGCAGGGAGGCCGAAGGAATCCCATCCCATGGGATGAATCACCTGAAACGAAGGCTCATTTTTTAACGGAAAAAATAAATTGTAAACAAAACTGACGTATTTTCCGTTCATCCGATGAAAGTGGGCCATCGTGTCCGAAATGGCGTAGACCCTGGCGTGGCCAATGTGTAGATTTCCGGACGGGTACGGAAACATCGCCAAGCAGTACATTTTGCCCTGAGGATTTGGACTCTTTTTGGCGGCTACGGCTTGCACGATCGGTCTCCAGGTAGACTCGATCTTCCTCTTAACATCCAAGCTCAATTTTTCCTGTAAGAAGTGAAATAATATTATAATTTCGTCAGTAAAATTTTAAAAGATAAAAAAGTTGATATTATGTTTTGTATTCTTGTAATCAGGCACACGGGGTATTCATTTGATTTTAATCAGGAGTAAAAGTATGAAAATTAAAAATATAATGTCGAATTTATTAAAATTTCGGGGAGAAAATTTTCACTTCAAACACATAAAATAAAAAATATTAATACATCATGCCGTTTTTATTGAAGAGATTAATTTTAGTAATTTTACCCATTGTCCGGTTTGACTGTAGAGGGTTCTGCGGGGCAAACCCCGCCACCAGACGAGAATTCGATAGCTCATTTTTCAATACGCAAGCAGACAGGCCTCCGAAACTTCCATCCTTGCAATTAAAATGGAAAAAAGTTTCACCGGCCGAAATTTTCAGCAATATTTACGATATTTCTCCCATGTGGGCGAACAATTTTGTATTGCGCATGTGCACGAATGATTTTTTGATTTGATTCGAAAAGAAAGGCCCGGGAAGATCCATTGGGAGGTTGGGAGGAAACAACAGTGGCGCCACCACCGTTGTAACTGGTTGTAACCGGTTGTAACGTGCATCAAGTTAAAATGTCTGCCGTGGGGCGGCAGCACCTTCCAAGCAGAACAATGCGGAATTCGAGGCACGCAGTGCTGCTTCATTCAGGTTCATTCACAGCATTCCCTTGTTGCCTTGTTGACATCCCCCGCACCGTGGTGCTGTTTGAGACTCTCTCTTGTTTATTTCTCTGCATTTTGTGCATTTTCGCTCGTGCATCCCGCAGACCTCGCCGCACTTTTCCTTCGGTTAGCTGTTTTTAGGATTTGACTGAAGCAGGCGTTCTTTTCGAGTCCTGCTCTTGCTTCAAACTTTCCGGCTTGAAAAGTAAGTCCCTTTTTCCATCTTCATATCACCCCGCGTTCAAATTGCGACAATTTCGGACCTTGTTTGTTTTGCGCATCGAATTTTGAGAGTCGCATCAAAAAAGATTCCAGTGATTCACGCAGCCTTGAATCAAACTGGAGTTAATTTGCTTAAGACTATACAGACACAAAGTAAAATGTGATAAATTAAAATTATTAAATTATGATTGGAAATTTGATATCGGAAACCGGACGGAACAATTTACGGGCTGAATACTTTCAATCGCAGGCCTTCTGTTCTTTATTCAAATTGACTTAATTATTTTTTATTCAGTTTTTCATGAAATTGGAAAAACTCGAGAAAATATTAAGAGATATTTTTTTTTATCTTTTCTTTTCAAGTCTGCTTTCCTTGATGAATTTGGTCACTTTCTTGGTTGCAGTCATAACTTTTAGACCTGAAAATGAGTGAGAATTAATTGGACAAAATTAAATTTCATAAATTTCCACAAATTATGTTTAAATAAAAAACTGTTATATTTAAAAACAAAAATCTGATTTTTTTTTTATAAATTTGCATGTCACTCAAATGGATTTTTCGTAACAAAATTTGAAATCTTAAGAAGCGACAAAATTAACCATCTCATTTCACAAGCAAATGCATTGATCGCCGACGATTTAAAGATTATTGAGCTAAAGAGATTTTTGATTAAGTCGAGTGACGCGTCAGGCACATTTGCGCGTTTCGGAAAAGAAGCTTCCTGCCTTCCTCTGATCTCGTAAACGGAGTCCAGCCTATCGTCCACCCACAACCATAAAATTCCTCCCAGCCTTTCTATTTTACTGATTGATTTTGCTCAAATTTAATTCGTCTCTTTTGCGCAAATTCAGTCGTATTTTGATATAAAAGTTTTTTAATTGCGCCTGTTATGCTGATACAGAAATGGATTTTGATTTTGTTGAAGAATTTCAAGGTTTGATTCCGGGTGTGTTTAGTTTCAATTCGGCTTCTCCTCAATGGGTTTTTTTTTTTAATTTGTAGAAAAGAGCAACAAATTACCATTCGGCTGCAGCCATAATACATATTCGAGCTGTGAATCATTTATTTTTAACCTAAATTTGGGCATTAATTAATTTTCAGAGTTTTATTTCAATTTTTCACCTCGACAAAATCTTTTTGTTGATTTGTCCACGTTCAATTGTTGGAAACAATTTATTAAAAAAAGGAATTGTTGGGAAAACTAGCAAGAATGTTGCTGAAACTCCTGCCACGGTGAAGCCTCGATCATTTTAACCAGAAATTTTCAGTTCTATATATTTTAAACTTTTTCAACAATTTTGATCAGACTCGGCGTGTTTGTTGGCGGAGCTTTAATTTTCTGGGGATTTTCTTGGTGGAACGAATTTGTGTTGTCGCCACTCGAGTCTGTTGATTTTTCTTTGTGCGCGGCCGAAGCTCGCACGCTGACGACGGCTTTATTGCTCTTTTGTGCACTTTGCATTAGGCGCGGCGGCTGATTTTCCTTCTCGCCGGCGCCGCCGGTCAAGATGGATTTTTCTTTCTTTGAAGTGATTCTCGGCCGCCTTCCCAACCTTCCTCCTTTTTTCCGCCGTCGCCGCCGCGAAAGAATGGACTTCATTTCGCTTTTCCTCCAACTCGCCCCCTGAGACTTCTTCTCTTTTATGGTGCCGGGACCCAAATGGAAAATCACATTCCTCTCTCACGCGCGTTCAAATCTCCAACTCAATTGTTGGTCGGCGCATATCTAAGAAGTGCACGTTCCAGGCGCGATAAATTATCAATTAATGGCTCCGAAATATCAGAAAATTTTTTAAAATTTTCCTTCGTTTCTTAGTCATGCAAATAATGAACTTTTGAATTCAATGCATATTTTTATTTTAAAATCAGCGCATATTCAACTGGGCGAGAAACGCTTTCGGTATTTTATAATTTGTTGAACAAATCAGGCTGGCCAGGGTCACGACTGAATCTATCATTTAGAATATAAAAAAATGCTAAAATTTGATGATCACCCTATTTTTTGAATTAAAAAGTTTCAAAGGAATTGAATTTTACACGAAAAAAAATCAGACCTTTCCTATTTGCCTACGGTTTTTTTTCTGTTAAAATTTGTGATATTTTTACCTGCAAAACGAGTCTTTTTATGAATCAAAAAAATTCGTATGAATTAAATTTGCTTGTGCGATCAAAAGTAAGAATGAAAATTAAATAATTGATGGTTAAAATAAAAACACTGAATGCGTAAAGATTTATTCTCAGGAGGGGAAAAATTCAATCTGTGGTGCAATTGATGTGAACAAAATTCTCAGCGTTATTATTTTCGCATTTGGGCAGAACCTAAAAACAAATTATGCATTTTTTGCGTCTTAAATTGCGGAAAGAAAATGAGGGTAGGGGTGGATTTTAAGTCTTTGTTGTTAATTTCCGCAAAGCAAAAAGTTTGAAAGAGCGACAGCAGAAAATTTTATTGGCGCTCATAAATGGCTCTTTCTGCAGCAGCTGCACCCGTTTGTCAGTTTGGAACGCGGCGCACTTTATTTTCCTGGTTCAATTTCCTTTGCTTCGCCGCTGCCAATTCCTGGATACTGAATTTTCCCCATTTTTGAAAAGAGAAAAACAACTCTCCCTTTTCCGCTCACTTATATATATTGGTCATTTTTTTTTTTTTTTTTTTTTTTTTCATAAAATCTACTTGAGCTATTTGAGCCAATAAAAGGTGGAATATTTTTGCTACATGGATTTATTTGGAAATATAACCCGATGAAGAGGCAAAGTTTTTTTTTGGATCCCAATTTTTATGAAATTAAATCCGATTGCGATTTTCCGAGAAAGCATCAGAATTCGCCTAGTTTGTCTGTACCTCAAATTGCACTTTTTACTTTTTATATTTGTGTGGAAATAAATTCTGATAATAGAAAGTACAAAATTTTTCATTCTAAGATGAAGGCTGACATATGAAATAATAATTGAAATGAAAATAATTAATAGAATAATTCTTTTATTTAAGCCTTAAGGCGCCGGATGCACAAATAATTTTGTTTTTTACTTTGGTTCACCTCTTCTTATTTTGTAAATTGACCTTGCTACATTTTGTGATTGACGCGCATTAATTTATTTTGGCAGAGCGCGCGTCTGTGACCATAGGAGCGATTCATTGTTGACGCCCGAGGCTCTGTAATTTGGGGTGTTTGTGCATTTCACAGGAAGTGGTGCTTCAATTTTAAGAGCGCGTCCCTTATTCTGTCGCGCATGATAGCAGTTTCAGATTAGTTTCACCTAAACATTAAAATCAGAGCGAGATCCTGCCTGGTCTTTTATTGATTGACGCAGAAATCCTTTTTACCCCTTTTTTGAGCCAACAACAAAATTTCCAGGCGCCTGTGGTTTCCTCTCTTTTTAATATCCTTGGGCAACTATTTGAATTGTAAATTTGTCTGTCCAACAATTTTACTCTGAGGGAAAAATAAAATCCAAAATCTCCCGCTCCCCTCTAAAGTCGGATTGGCAAAAAGAAAAAGCGCCGCCGCCACTTCTTGAAACGCACAAAAAGGTCGTAAACGCACACAAATATGCACTTGGGCAAGGAATCAGCCGCGACTGGAAACAACAAGGACATTTTCAATTAAAAATACAAATATTCACTCAATAATTCCCATAACAACGAAATTAAATTCAGCGTCTAAAAATAATATATAGTTTATTGAAAATACCTCATCAGAGTACAATTCTTCAATATTTAAATTTATACAAGCGAAATTTGATAAAAATTAAAATTTTAATTAATTAAAAAATTAAAATTATTTTTAATTAATATTTTTTTTTAACAATTTATAAATTTAAATAACATATTGTAAGGTCATGTTTTGTCTTTTCCCATACGGGCGTAGTCTAAAAATAATGAAATGAATTAATCAAGCCGGAAGCGAATATATTTTTCTTGATGGGTTTTCTGGAATAAAAAAGGGGAAAAAATTTTGCGCTTCATGCTATGGCCATATTTCAAAAGCTGTGAATTATTTTGACAAAATGGGTTTTGATTAATTAATTAAATTAAAAAATTCAATCATTTCTGAGATATAAAATTTTAATCAGAACAAATTTTTGCCTTTTTTTCAAACTCAGACACTTATTATTTTATGACATGACGAATTTTTCATTTCGTTTCCAATTGAAAGTGGATTTTGTTGGTTTTAAAACTTATTTATATTGCGCGCGGCCGAAGTTCATACCTCAATTTATGGTTCTTTTCTGCCGTCGAAGAGTGAATAATCATATCTTATCTCCCTCACTATTAAAAAAACCAATTGTCAAAAAAAGTCAACCAAATTTTATAGCAACTGTGGAAAATAATGTTTGGAAAAGTTGTAGGAATTCTTGTCACGTTTTAATTTCATGTAAAAGTTACACAAGAATTAATAATAATTATGGTTGCTATCAAAACACGCAAATAATCTTAATTGATGCGGGGAGCGGTAATTGAGAATGCGCCTTTTAGTTAAAAAAAAAATGCATGATTTATTTTGTAGAAAAGTTAATTTCTTATTTTAATTTTTATGTTTTTTTCCATTTTGTAATGGACCGTTCTGGAAATTCGTTGATTTAATTTGAATATCAATTTTGTTTCAGTGGCCAAAAATGTACAGCAACCTCAGCTGAAGTGCTTGCACTTCTACGACAAATTGTTTTGCTGCGCCGATCGCAAAGGCAGGATCCCGCTTGCCATCGATCCCATCAAAAGGGACGCATGTCTTGATCCTCTTCTGAAAGGGTGAGTTTTTTTATGATTATTAGAAATCAAATTTTTTCCCCATTAATAAGAAGAATAAATAATAATAATAATAATAATTATTTCCTTCTCTCAGTTGTTAATTTTTTTACAAGGACCCAGAATAATCTTACGATAAATTGATTTATTTTATTTTAAATCTGCATTTCCTCATATTAAAGAGTGATCAACCGAGCACAAAGATCGAAGAAAGCAGATGGAATTGATCTGCTTGCGGACATCACTGAAACCTTGTGGGAGCACATGGATCGTGGTAACTTGGTCGGCCAACCAAGCAACTTATCTTGGTTTGCGTAAGTCGTGCACCTCTCCTTTTTTCAAGTGGCAAAGTAATTGTGAGTTTTTTTTTCCGCAGAGTTTTCCGAGCTGCCATGCTCTTCAGCGAACGTCTGCAAGGCAAACAAGCCAAGGACCAGCGCAAAATTACCTTGGCAGCAATAAAATGCCTCAACTTGGACGAGCCCTATCGGACGAGCTTGACCAGGGCCATGGACGTCCAAGTCCAGACTTTCAACTCGGCCATCGCCCCATTTCTCAAATCGAACGACTTCTCCGACGTGCACAAATATGCAGAATTTTGTAAGTATAACTTTTAATATTAAAAATATGTGTGGAGAATTTTTAAGTAATGATTTTTTTTAACTATCCGCAGTGCCCGAATGCACTTTGGACGTGGCTTCGGCAATCTCAAAGATGCTAAACCTGGCGATCCAGGTGTCAGGACTGAAGGTCCTGGAAAAGACGAGAGATAACTTTGCCGTCGCTCTGCCCTTCCTCATCCGGGTGAATAACAGACCTGTCGGATGGTTCAAGGTCATTTTCTACATGTACCGCCAAGTGTCCAAGGCTGCCCAGCAGGCGATGCTCGATGTAATAAAATGAAAAACAAATTTTAAATTTTTCTACTTTTGTTTTTCTCTCTTTTCTGCAGAGCATAACGACGTCCCTGAGCTACATAGAAGCTGCGAAGGTTGGCCTGCGGATTCGGGAGAAGAGCGTGGTGCACAATGCCCACCGCCTCCTGGCCAGGCCACTGACAACCAGGGTGGTTCAGTCCGCTGTCATAACTAGCCCCATCAGCTTCATGTTAGAGCTGCCCTTCCAGCAGCTGCTGTCTTTGATGGACGCGCAAATGGACGAGTGTCCGGGCTCGCCGCTCTTCACCTTAATGGACCCCAACCAACTCTTCTCTCTCATCACTGAGCTCATAACGAAGGTAGCATTTTCCATAAACCTAGTTATTTTGGCTGATTTCAATATTGTTTCTCTTCAGGAGTTCTTCGGCTTCAATCTGCGAGCCGGAATTCTGCAGCGGCTCTACTGCTACCTTGTGAATCCCACCTATCACATGACCTTTTATGCTGTCATGGCCACCGAGTGGGCCTTGTACTTGAACACGAGCGCCCTGGCCAAGGTCGAGCTGGCCATTCGCTGGTGCGAGCTGGAACGCGTCCGGCATGTGAGTGCAGTCAAAACTTTGAGCTGGATTCCGGCAATCGTCAAGAATTGTCTCCGGTTGCGCCTCACCAAGTCAACCCCCTTGGACCACAGCCCTGTTGGCAAGCAGCTGCTTGATTTTTACTTGGAGCAAACTGCGAGCTACCCGTCCTGGGACACTGACTTTGACAGATTCACTCAGCATGTGAAACTGCTCATCAGCGACAGTTGCTCAGCTCATCAGGTATTATAACTTAATTGGCAAATTATTCTTATTTTGCAGTTCTCTTCTTAAGAAAGCACAAGTAAAAATTCGAGTTGCCTTGATTATATTTCTTTTTTCTAATTTAACTAAATAACGGAAACGTTTATTTACTAAAGTTTCAAACCATCCCTTCGTATATTGAAGTTGGATTGGGACGATTGGGTCAGATTTTGGCACCAATTTAATTAATAGTGTTTCTTAATTCTGTATTCTGCCCTTGTGCTTGAAATGAATGAACAAAATACGTCATTTTAATTCTTTTTAATTTTTTCTGTAATAAAAATTGAAAATAATCTTTTTTTTTTTTTTTTTTTTTTGCTTATGGCACCCGTGAGCTTATTAGGCTATTGGGTCGGTCTCTTGCCGTAGTCGAGCACCCTTGGCACAATTGTGCTTCCCAACCAACCTGACCCTTGTTCGGGGGCTTTCTAGCAGATTTGGTGGTGCTCGCATGGGCCCCCCACCCCCCTTGAGACCTTACCCCTTGACCCGGCCTTGCCACGAAGGACTTGGAATGAAACGCAGGCATTCGCCACACAAGCTGAGTTCTTCCAGCTTGTGGCTCGGAGGAAACGTGGCAAACCTCCGAGTGCGAGTCGGTACAGCTTGCGCCATACCTCCCAAATTCCCGACGTGTCAGCCGAAATGTTATCAATGATTCGCATACCAGAGGCTATTTGTTTCCACAAACAGCCCCAGGCTGAGCATTGATCCCATGACGGCCGAGGAACTCACTGATTAGAATGCAAGCATTCTAACCACTGAGCCACCGGGCTTGGTTCATCAAAATAATCTATTTCTCTGTCCGAATAAATACACAAATACACTCTTTGTCTTCTTATAACCTTGATGATTTTACAACAACCAATTTTAAACCTTGTGTCTTTAATAGATTTCTGCTCCCAAACTGAAAGAAGAGTTGAATTTCCAAACTGAAGAAGAAATCAACTACTTCTTGGATAACCAGGTAATTTAAAACAAATAATAAAAAAAGGAGAAAAAATTACAATTTGCAAAATTTTCAGTTCTTTGATCATGCATTGCGCATAAACCACAAAGGCCAGTTGATGGAGTGGCCCAAATCATATGTGAGTGCTTATTTCAACCCCCCAAAAAATAATTCTTACATATTTTTCAACTTTTTGCAGGAAGTGGATTTCTCCTCCGGTGTCTTCCCCACGTACAACCCTCCTGAAAAACCTGAACTTCCTTTGATTTCGGTTCCTGCAGGCACTGCCGTGCCGCAAGAGGATGCGCCCGTGGATGAGGACGACTGGGAACATGTGTCGAAAGACTTGAACCCACTCCTGTTTGATTCTCTGGTTTACGAAGACGACAGTGATGGCCAAGCCTCCGAATCAGAATCCGACGGTGGCGACCAGGGAGAGGATGAAGAGGCTGTCACCCCTCCAGTGGCCAATGTGGACCCTGTTGTCCTCCTGACTCCACTTGTGGTCCCCGAAGACAAAGAGGAGGATGCCGAAGAAGAGGCACCTCACTCCGATGCTGAGGAACAGCGTGACCAAGAAAATTCCTCCACTCGTGAGACCCGCGACGAGGAAGTTGACGGCCCTGAAGAACAGGCTTCTCAGGGTGATGCGCCTGAGGAGGAAGAGGGCGACGTTGGGGTTCAGCAGGCGAATGACGAGGCTGTGACCCCTCCTGTGGTCAATATGGACCCTGTTGTCATCCTGGTTCGTCTTGTGGTCCCTGAACTCGAAACTGAAGACAAAGAGGAGGATGCCGAAGAAGAGGCACCTCACTCCGATGCTGAGGAACAGCTTGACCAAGAAAATTCCTCCACTCGTGAGACCCGCGATGAGGAAGTGGACGGCAGGGACCCTGAAGATGATGCTCCTGAGGAGGAAGAGGGCGACCAGGTTGGGGATCAGCAGGCGGATGGCGTGGCTGTGACCCCTCCTGTGGCCAATATGAACCCTGTTGTCATCCTGGTTCGTCTTGTGGTCCCCGAACTCGAAACTGAAGACAAAGAGGAGGAGGCCGAGCAAGAAGAGGCACCTGACTCTGATGCTGAACTGCCCGACCCCAAAGCCATCGACCAGGAAAAAACTCCGGCCAAGGCAAGTGTTTTGTTCTGCTGGAATTATTCAGAGTAATAAAACTAATGTATTATTTCACAGGTCGCACCTTCGGCAGCAGCGCCTCCGAAACCGAAAAAGAGGGTGGCCCAGGTTCTTGAGGACACTCCCGAGGAGGTCACTGGCGTTGTGACCAGGAGCAGGGCCAAGGCCAGAAAGGTGAAAACTTCTTTTGTCTTTGAACATTTCAAATCTGACTTTCTGTTCTAGATCGAGCCCCTTTGCCTTAACGAGCCTCCGAAGAGGGCTAGGAAGCGCCGTTCCGACCCCACTGCAGTCCCCAAGGTGGCCAAGGAAGGTCCCAAGAATAAGCGGGGAAGGAAGACCAAAGTGAGGCCAGTTTCTCAGGTAAATATAAACTTTTGTACTTGTCAATTTTGAATGAAATGACTAATTTTGTTTTAATTTTGCCCACAGGCTCCTCGCGCCCTTCAAGCCAATGGGCAGCCGATCGAGCGCAGAAAGGTAAGAGATCCTTGAAACCATATTCATCATCAAATTCTAAATCAAAAATTTCTTTTGGTCGCAGAGGAAGCACTGGCAGCCGGATCCAATTGATGTCTTGCCCGGAGACCGATCGAGCAACAAACGTCGGGCTGCATTGGACGCCAAGGAGACCATCGGCTACTGCCTCAGGCCGGGGGCCAACATGGCCCTCTTCCGTCGCCACTGACTCGACGGACACCCAAGCCCCAACAAAAGGTTTGTTAACACCTCACAGGTTTAAGCAGCAGCATAATTTTTGCTTTGTTTTTGCAGATGAACTATTAGGATAAAAAACCAAGGCAATTTACTCCAACATGCTCATTGTGCTCAGACACAAAAGGTGAGTTGAAACTTTCAAGGGTGAATTATTTAATTAATTAATTTTTGATTGTCAAAATAATTTAATTTGAACATTTTAATTAAAAAAACTTTTGTAAATTCTAAATTTATTTGCTTTTTTGTTGCAGCCAGACCCAGAGCTGTGCTTTTCCGAAAAATGGACAGCAAATGTCAACTCTGTGCATCATTCTTGTTCTCACTATTGAACAAGGAGTTTGGCTCTCGAACAACCAATTGGTAAGGAAATCTTTTTCTGCAATCATTATTCGTCCTCATAACTTACCTTTTCATTTTTCTTTGTTGCAGAGATAAAGAGAGCACGGTTTGACACTTCGCAACCCTCTCAGCAAGGGTGCCTTTTTGTGGAATCAGAACACATTTCTGGTGAGATTATTTTACAATTATTAAATCTTGACCTGAAATTAAAAACGCTTTTTTAGCTCCGAAGAGCAAAAATTAAAATTTTGTCACATTAATATTTTAAATTCTTGTTCAGTTTTTGGCTTTATAGAGGTATCAGAGCTATTGAATTAATGTTAACCTGGGTTTCTGTTTTGAATTGCAAAAATAAAATTTTCCTTTTCGTTTTCGTTACGTTCTTTGCTAGTAATCAATTGACGGAGTTCTTTTGGTTTGGTTTTCAGATCAAGCGCATTATTTGGCACCACCAGCACTTCAGAGAGGATGGCGAGGATGGTCCGCAGCTTGATAAGTACAAAACCACATCATTAGTTTTAGTTTTAATTGGCTGCCGAGTTTATGATTATTGTGAGGAGTCAAATCCTTATAAAAATTGACTAACTTCAAACGTTACTCATAGAGGAATTAAAAATTGAAAAAAATATATAAAGCGAAAGTTAAAAAAAATTAAAAAACATAAAAAATTAACAGAAAAAATTTCTAAAAATTAAAAAATAAATAAAAATAGTAGCAATTATTTTGATCACAATTTTGGGATAGTATTTAGTTATAGATGGAGCTGAGTTTTATTTTGCAAATTTTTATACTTTTTCATTAGCAAAACTTGTATAATAATCTTTATGAAAGTAGGATTTTGCCTTTAAGTTTAGCCCTAAAGTTTAGGTTGAATTGAAACTGTGCTGCTCTTACGGTCAATGAAATTAGGCGCAAAGACATTATTGACATTGCTTAATCTTCGCAAGTTATTAAAATAATAACAAAAATGAGCAGAGCGGGTCTCAAAAAGACGCCCGAAATATTAGCACAGAAAAAAACCATGAGCTTGTAAATATACTGTTTTCCCCACTCGGCAGCCATTGATTCCCCTTAATTTGTAATTTCTTGTAAATATTTTGCTGTATTTTTGTATATATTTTACATAATTATCCGAATAACGGCCGCGCTGATTACTGGTTCAATAGTTTTTAAGGCGTCTCATTTATCAGGTATTGGAAAACAATTTAAATTTTACACAAGATTATTTTATTCTCGCTGTCAGTTTCGAGGTCAAGCCTTTAATGAAGTCTAATTTGGGGGGGGGGGGGGGGGTTGCGAATTTTTTAAGAGAAAATTGACCTCTAGTCAGAAACGAAACGTTTATTACCTGATGAGACTTGTTAGGTCTTATTTGTGATAGAAACTGCTGGAAATTGCTCTTGGCCTGCAGAGTCGAGCGCACTCGTTGCTGCGAGACCTGCCAGCGGGTGAGAGTTGCCAGGTAGGTTTTCTTCTTGTAAGGGCGAGTTGCCCTGTCGGACGCGAAAACCGACGGACAATTTGTTGGTGGCGCGATTGGAGGTGAGGGGCGCCTGAGGGATCGGCCGGGCAGATTGAGGGCGAGTCACGTGCGAACAAAAGTTCGGACGGGTCGTAAAACATGCACCGGCAAAGGTGTCCAGACGAGCGCCGTCTTTCGTAGCTCCGCGAGGCTACAAGTAGCTGCGAGGCTCGATTTTCTTAGGTTTTTTCATTTTCTTTTTCCAGCCCTCCAACCTTGTTCGCGACCTCGAGCCTCGCTAGTTTCTAGTTTCCGAAGCAGCCGGCGTCCGGTCTGCGGCTGTTCTTTTTTGCACCGCCGACGTAAATTCACAGTTACACAGTCAAAAAAAGTTCCATGCCGCGGCATGGATTTCGGCTCAGGTCATTTTCGAGCAAAATCGACCTAAGGCCACGGCATGGCCATACCAGCGGCATGAGTGGTAGTCGGCATGACCTGCATGCCGCTTTCCGCACCTGGCATGCATGCCAGCACCGGATCGGCCTGGCCTGCATGCCGTCCGGTTGGCCTGGCCTGCATGCCGTTTGGCAGGCCTGGCCTGCATGCCACTCAGATTTTAGGATTTGCATATTTAGTTACTAAATAATACCAATGTTTACTTTTTAAAATTTATTTTTTAATAGTAATATAATACCCACAATCTTTGAAATTATTTTTACATCAAATTTAAAATTTTCTTCCTTCGTTCCTGCTCCACGCGTACGTACGGTCCAATAGTTCATCAAACTTTCCTAATTTGTCGGCATTGTTCACTTGCAGAACAGGATTTGCAAAATCTGTAAAAAAAAACTAAAATAAGATCTCATATTCACATATATTTGATTTAAAATATAAAACGTATAAGCTTAAAATAAGCTTTATTACAGCAACTTGTAACATGTTATTCAAAATTTATGGTACTAAAATTATAATCTTATTTAAATGAAACAAAAACTACCTTTAATAACTGCAAGATGGCATAACGCAAATTCCGATGAATTTTTTTCAGCATTTTCTCGGTTCAGAAATAGTCTCTCCTCATCACACTGAAAAATTCAAACAACAAAATTAAAAAATTATTAAATTGTGAGCAATGCAAATTTTGCATTTTAGTTGCTCTTTTTTTGAATTAATTATTATTGCTTGTTACCTGAAATTAATTTCCAAAAATCAGTCCGCGGCTGCAGATTTGGCAGAGATGGTGAGAGGAAAGAAATATTGGCTGTCCCGCCGCTGAGTTGATGTGCCCGATGATAGGGGCTGCGCTCTCGCGTCGCGAGGGGGATGCCGGCGACTTTTTTTCTTCATCTTTTGCTCCTGTTTGATTCCAAACGGATTCTAAGCAGCTCAGCTTCTTAAGGAAATATTCCTGCGTGTCGCACTTTGTCTTTAAAATGTCCTTACGCGCTTATTTCGACGCACAAATGAATAAAATTAACACCTGCCGCGGCCATAACACTCCATACGAGCTCAGGTAAAAAATGTGCTCGGAAAGTTCGTTGGGCGCTCAGGGCGCTGGCGCAAAGGTCGCGAAGAGCGCCGATGTTGTGCGAGGGTGAAATTTGAACCAGTATGCGCGGGAAGCACCTTCAGGTAAAGCCACCATAGTCAGGGCAGAATCATGATTTGAGTATTTCTAATTACTTCATATTTTCATATACGCTCAAATGAGTTGGAATCGTAACAAAAATACTAAATCTTATGTAATATTCCCAGATTCAATGAAAATTTTCACAATAATAATTTGTAATGCGCGCCTCCTAAAAAATAATTTCAATATATGAAAGCCATATTATTTTAGATCTGTAATACACAATTAAAGGCTTTGGTATGATGTGTAATAATTTGCAAAGTAGCCTACACATGTTTAATTTCAAACATAATTGATATTTTCAATTTGGAAAATTTAAAATAATATTGTTAATTTTACGTCTGATAAAATAAAATTTTAGATCCAGTCGTCGCACAAAATTGTAAAATAAGAGTAAAATATCAAATCAAATTTAAACTAATATCCATCACTGCAACTTCAAGTATTTTTCTACGTAAAAATTTAGTCAGTTTCTTAGTTTTTGCTAAGTAAAATTTTAATGTTAATAATACACGCATAATAAAAGTTAATTATTAAGATTTTTAAAATTTTTCTTCTATTTTTACTTTCATTTAGTCAAAATTAAAACAACTTTAAATGAAATAAAATTAAATGTTTTCGGCAGGTTTTGGACAAAAAAATTTAAGTGTTTCGTGGACTTGCAAGCGGCTTGCATGCCCTGTGAAGGAAAAGCTATGCCGGCATGATAAAATTTAGTAAGGCATGGACGGCATGGTAATACTCCATGCCATGCCGAACCGACCCCATGCCGTGGTATGAGAACTTTTTAAGCGGCATGATCGAGCTATGCCGCGGCATGACCACTGATGGACTGGCATAAGGACGGCATAGAGATTTCAGGCCGCGGCATGGAGCTTTTTTTGACTGTGTAGCGATTCTTTTTTCAGGCAGGACTACACAAATTGCCACAGCCACAGGATACGTCACAAGCACACTTACCCCTTTTCATTCCGGAAGTTTGATCTTGATTTTTATGAAAGTAGTATCACTTTTTAAGAATCACGGTCACTTCCTTTGACATTTGAATTTTCAAAAATTTAAAAGCAAATTTAAAGTTAATTTGCGCTTTGATCTCTTCCATTTTTTCTTTAATTGCGGATTGAAAAGAAAAAAAAATTATTTTAATTCCCAGGTTATCAAATTTTGTGTGGTTTTTTTAAAAGCTAAAATTAAATTTCGAAAAATTGAAGGAGTTTTTTTCCTTCTTGTTGGGCCTGACTGAGGGCAGCAGTCAGGCCGGCCGCGTTTTCTTTCAATTAATTTGTCCGAATTATTGGACCCACAATTAAATTCATTCCACACTGAACTTGACTTCCTCCCTTTGCACCCCAATTTAATTTTAAAAAAATCCATTATCGGAGCAAAAAGTGTAATAAATCAAGGTGCCAATCAACTTTCACATTTCTTTTAAAAAATTGCAAAATTTAAATGCCAAAGATGTTCCACGATTCTCGACAGAGTGATACGAATTTCATGAAAGTTGAGGTTAAATGGAAGGTTTGAAAACACACGTACACCCCACAAACGCAAACCAACACTTACACAACGCTCAGTTTTTTTTTGGCTAGGGACGTAGTTTCTAGAGCAAAAAAAGTAGCATGGCGACGTTCCGGGACCCGGCGGTTCACAAGAGCCGCCGCATCCACGCGTGTCCGGTGATGGACGCGTTGGGTGGTCGCGTGCGTGTGAAGCCTCGGACAAGTCAGCAATCGGCCCGACCTTTGCCTCAGGCGCCCCTGACCTCCAATCGCGCCAACAATGAATTCTCCGTCGTTTTTTGCGCCCAGCAAAAAGTCAACCTCCCTGGCAAGTCTCACCTGCTGGCAGGTCTTGCAGCATCGGGTGCGCTTCACTTGCTCACAGGTCTTGAGCACAATTACACCTTGCGTCCCTTTTCCCCAAATGAATTATTTTTACACCACAATAAATTTGCACTCCCTTTACAAGTGCATCAAATATTTTTTATACGTATTTAAAGCAAGAGCCACTTTTTTGCCAGCACGGGCCTTGCTTTAAAAAAAATTATAATATATTTTGTTATTAATTTTTATTTTTAATTACGAGCAAAACTATTATATAAATATTTTTGTTACAAGAACTGAATATTCCGCCCAACAAGATCATTATTATACAATTTTCGTGAAAATTTTATTCAATGATTAATTAATCACACTGGCATAGCTCAAGCCGCTAATTAACGGCTCTTCTAGTAATTCGAGCTTAAAAAAAAAAAAATACATGAACACCAATTTTATAATTCAAGGCGTCAACTAGTAATTAAGTTTCAGTATTTACATAAGACTATGTTGTATAAAAAAAATCTTCCCTCCAAATATATTGTTACAGCTCAAGCCGCTAATTAACGGCTTCGTCAAACGTGAGCTTAAAAATAAAAAAAAAATAAAAATAAATAAAAAATAAAAAAATGAACCGGTGCAGCTCAAGCCGCTAAGTAACGGCTTTCATCAAATAATATGAGCTTAAAAAAAAAAAAAAATAAAAAACAGCACAGACTTTTAAATTTAAGGCATCAAATAGTAATAAAGTAAAAATTTATACATTTGAATTTTGTACAAAAACCGTCTCTCTAAATGTTCTGTTAAAGCTCAAGCCGCTAATTAACGGCTCTTCTAATAATTCAAAGCTTTCTAAAAAAAAAAAGAAAAAAAAAAGAACTGAATATTCCGCCCAGCCAGATACAATTAATTAGGTGAATAAGATGAATATTGAATGATCAGCTCGAGCCGCTAATCAACGGCTCCCGTCAAATGTGAGCTTTAAAACAAAAATCATATGTACCCTCTCTCAGCTCCTAAAAATTACTGAAAAAGAGAGGACAGAAGATTTTGAACTTGACAATTTTTTTATTTGCGCAACTTTTCTGCAATCTGACAATCTAATTCAACCGAGTTAGGTTTCATGTCTATATTTATAGTTTTATGTATATTGTTAAATAAGCTCCCCACTCAGGAAAATTAAAAAATAACAATAAAATAATAAATTAAAATTCATATATAAGGTGATTATTAAAAAAAAAAAAAAAAAATCAATTCCATTTCAAAGTATTTATATAAGATGAACCAAATAAATCAGCGCGGCCCATTAGTGTTAATTAATACGCTTTAAAATCATGTAAATATGTTTCTAAATCAATTTTTTTGTAAATAAAATCCTTTTAAATTTACACTATTAATTGTATAATTCTGTATATATTTGCTATTTTGTATTAAAAACGTTTAAATTAAATCTGTGTCTTCTTTCTTTATTTTTAAATTTTTATTTCCGCTACTTGATAATTATATTTTTAATTTGGCAAAACCCGTTTAGGAAAAATCAGGTAATGTTTCAGATATTTTGAGGGGAAAAGCAGACGTGATAATTTTTCTTCTTCCAGTTTTCACGAAGGACGTTCTTGGACCAAGGTTGCGCTGTTTCTTTCTTCCCTTCGTAGGTAATATTAATTTCACTCTTTATTCAAAACAATTTAAAATACTCTCCGAAACATTTGTTATTGTCCTTCTCTAATTCCATCTCTTTTGAATTTGTTTCAGGCTCTCAGATCTTCTCCAACTTTGGCCTTTTCTTTTAAGGTGAGCTATTTTTTTTCATCTGAATTTACAATCGAAATATATAATTATATATAAAAAATATTCCATAATTATTTTGGAAGTCCAATTTCAACTCTGCCCAGTTGAGAATGGACTTCCAACTACATCCTTCTTGGTCTCTTATTCTTTTTATTCTTCTCGTCAAAATTGGAGGCCCAGCGCTGACACTGCCCAAGTCAGCAACGGGCTTTCAACTTTGCTTTTCCATTTTTAATTTCATTTTGACTTGCTTTAGAAAAATCCTTCCTCCAAAAGAACATATGTGTTGTGCTTTTCTACTTTTTGTTCCAGTTTGAAAGAGAGCAACAGGGGCCGGCTCAAATTTTTCCCCACCCTTGGTCTGCAAATCATCAATTTGATTTCTCCATCAGAGGTACGAATTCAATGATTATAAATTAATGTTCAATATAAATCCTTAACAGTTTCCAACATTTCTTGTTGAAAAATGTAAACATATTTTAATTCATATTTAAAAGAAGTGTATTTTCATTCAAATTCAAAATGATAACATTTTTTTTTTAAATTAAACTGTTTTCAACCGCAGTTTTCAACTTTGATTAATTTCACAATTTCAATCTTATGCAATTATTATTATTTGTTTTTTGCAATAAACTTTTTAAGCTATATTTTTCATTGGATTACAGAGCAATTAAAATTATAATAAAATTAAATAAAAAAAATTATTGTGTCATTGGAATAAACAATGAATTGTAAAAATAATTCTTTTTCTGTAAATAGTGAGCTTTTGAACTTTTTCTTAATATAGCACAAATTTAAGGTCACAGAGGATACTGCCGCAGTTTCCAGTTCAATGCCTGTCTGAGCTGACCCTGCTAGGTCATTCTTTGCTCTCTTGACACATGATCTGTCGCAGCCACTTTGCCAATTAAAAAAGCTATTAATTTCTTTCACTTTTGATATCAATTAAAATCGTATTTTGTTAATTTTCTTTAAAACCGCAGTCCGCAGAAGCCAAATGTTCGCTTCAATTTTATCCATTGAAGAGGTCTTATGAAATTTATAATAATTGCAAATTGATTTTTAAGTGATTTAATCCTTAAAGAAAAATAGCTGGCATTTAATTATAAATATTTAATTAAAAGAGATGTCTGTGAATTTTGTTTCAGAACATACAATTTGGTTACGCCTGGATGTCATGAGTGAGCGCCTTCAGCACAACAATTAAAAAATGTTCTATGTAAAAATGTGTAAAAAAAAAATTAATTTTCAATGTGTTTGAGTTGATGAACAAAAATTTGTTTGAGGGGAAAAGGTACGAAAATTGATTGGGGCTTTTATTTTATTTTGGACCTTCACAAAATTTAAGGTGCCCTGAATAACCTTTTTTCATTCTTTAATATTAATGAAATTAATTTTAAAACAAAACATCTTTATTGTAATATCAGAAAATATAATTTCCATGAGACAGAATTAAGTAAAATTCATAAGTGAAAGCATAAACTAGGTTCTAAATTAAAAATCAGACAAGAATTGAAATGTGCCTCCATTTGAATTTAAACTAAAAGTTTTGGTTCAATTCCTGATATTGTTTACGCATAGGAATGAAAATACATTTTTAATTTAGAGATTTTATATAAGATACTAGTCAGGCTATTTTGCTATTCACATATTTTGCCAGCCCAGCAACCACGGCACTCCCTTTCCGAGCCCGCTGTTTCCTCTTTCTTCCATGGCAACGCAACTTCTCTTGAAGAAATTACTACCAACACATTAAAAAGTGTATGAGTTTTAAATCATTTTATGTAATTAGTGATTATTGAACAACCCAAGTTCCATGAATGGAATTAAATATTGTCAGCTTTTGATGATAAGCTTTAAAAACTGCTCTCACTCAATCTGAAATTGATGCTGATACATCTTAATTGTTATAAAATTGAGCATTTGATTCTTTTTTTGCTTTCCTTTTGACTTCCTTTTCTCAACAAAGAAATTACTAATGCAAAGAGCAATAAGTTCCCAGTTTCTATGATTTTAATTATAAGCTGTCAATTCGTTTGATTCTGTGCTTAACGATTTGGAGATTGTTTTACAATCATGGAATAATTAGTTATTTTCCAACCTGGGTTTTTTAATCCTTAAACTTCCACATCAGATCAATTAAGGGCAATTATAAAGAATTAAATAATTGAAAATCCCATAAGTTTATTAATAATTCTAATTTCTCTTTCAAAGAAGTACTTATTTCCATAATAAATTTCCAATCCATAAGTGGATGATCTGAAATGATTTTAAATTCATGAAATGGTAAAACTGTTCACCACGGAGAAAAATCAATGTTGTTCCTGATGTGGCTCTGCAGCCAATTGTCTGCTTCCATCTTCTTCCTTCCCCTCTTCTTGGGCAGGCGGCGCTTCTTCCTGAGCACCTCGGGCAGCTCTTTTTCCTCCAGCAATGGCTGACTCAGTTTCTCCTCCCTGTACTGCAGCCACTGCTTCCTCAGCATCCGCTTCCTCTCCTCCTCACTTTCCCTGCAATCAAATAAGAATTCAACAAATTTTAAATTAACAGAAATTAAACTCACATTTCATTCAAGGATTCCTTCACTTTGTCCTCCTCATCAGTGTCAAAGTCAGAGAACAATTTGTCCACTTCGTCATCGTCTTCGTTGGAACTGGCACAAGCCATCCTTTCACCCTCAAACAAGTCCTTTTTGTAGTCGAGCAATGGACTATAATTTTTATTTTCATTAATTCGGGCTAAAAAGACATAATACAAATAAATACTTACGCAATGCGAGACATGTAGCTTGGCCAGAGCAGCAGGGAGCAAAACCTCTGCATGAAAAGGGACAAAGCTTCTTCAGGATTCATTCGGGGCAATTCATAAGAGCTTTCGTCGTTCTGCTCGGGACGATGGGCGTCTTCGTCATTTTCGTCAACTAAAGAATAAAATAAATTAAAAATTGAAAAAGATATGCGGTGAAAACTGACCATCATTGAAATCCTCCTCAGGTGCGTTGCAGGTCAAGTCAGCTCTGGTGACAACTCCCTTGAGGTAGGTCGGCACCTCGTTCTGATCCTCCAGGCTCATGGCCAAGATGTTGCGCTCTTCCAAAAGCAAAGTGCGCAGTCCGACCAGAGATCTGAAGTTGGGAGGAATCGATTGAGTGACATGCTTCTTTTCACAGTCCCAGCCCTCTTCATAGTGAAGCATTCGCAGCTGGCGGTACACGTTGAGGATGTTGTAGAACTTGGGGTTGGTGGCTGCGGCCTTGAGCAACCGCTGCTCGCAATTCCAATCAAAGTGTACACCGAAAATCTCACACAAGTTCCGAGCAACGTTCACAGTTGCGGGTTTAGCAGTGTTGGGGTAGTACTCTGAAATAGCAACATTCACCCTTGAGCAAAAAAGAAAAAAAAAAGATTAGTTCATTTTAATCAATAATTCGCACTCCTCTTTCTTCCCCTTCGCTGCCGGTAGTGGCTTCGATAGACCTGGTCCAACTCCAAGTCCAGGTCGTCCTTCTTCTTTCTCCTCCGACCAACCTTTCTAGCCTTCTGGGCATTGCAAGCAAACTTAACCACATTCCTGGCGTTGAAAATCTACACAAATATATTTGCTCGTCAAAATGGAGAAAGAAAATCTAATTGTCATTCGTACTGGAGTAGTTCTTCTTTTGTTCAGCACCCATATTGACCTCTTCCCTTTGCGAGGCAGAGTTGTTTTGATCTAGTTTTTTTTTTAAATTGATTACATTCACAATTTATAAATTGATTTAGAATAATCATATTATGATTAAATTACCCCAGCAGCATCATTGAGCAGCCTCTTGTGCCTGCCCTTAAGCTGCTGCCTGTCCCTGTCTGGAAAGTACTCGTTGACAATCGACCATTGGTCTCTGCTGCCTTTGAACTGTTTGACCAAGGCCAGCAGTTTCTGGTCATCCTCACTTTTCATTAAAAAAAGGTGTTAATAAAACATTATTAAAACCTTTCTCAAGATTTTTACGGAATCCAAGGAACACTCGGCTTGAAGCACTCCAGCCTGGTGTATCTAATTCTGATCTGGCTCTCGGTTCGACCTGGCATCAGGTTTGAGATTTGCATGAAAGTCATTTTTTGGCTGCGTGCGGCCGTGATGATCATGTCGTCCCTTTCGGTGAAGCCTCCTGATTTGATCTTGGGGTCCAGACGCTGGGTCCAGCGCTGGGCCACCTGCTTCACACTCTTGCCTGGGAATCGATCCGCAATCTGCCGCGGAAAATTCAAAAGCATAAAAACTCGAATTTAATAAGGAATTTTCTTTTTACCTTTTGCCACGGAATGAATTTTCCTTTTTGCAGGTTCTTGACAGCGCTTTTGAGTTTCTTGTCATCGGCGCCACTCCAACCTTCCCTGAACTTGTTCAAAATGCTTTGGTAGTGCAGGAAGCACTGGTACATGGAGCGTTTTCCACTCATCTCCTCGGCACCGATTGCAGCCCAGTTTTGAAAACAATACTTGCTAGCCGCAAACTGCACCAAAAATTCAGTCAATAAAGGATAAATCATTCTTGAAGCGAATATGAGATCAAATATTGGATTCATAAAATTAATCTTTTTCGATCATTGCGAAAGATGTTTTTATTTTCACAGGAATGTAATAAGAAGATAATTTAGCCAATTTACCCTCAAGAGATCATTTTCATGTTTGGTCCAGGCCGTCCTCTCCAGGGTGAGGACCAAGCATTGCTTCCACATGGCTCTCAGCTCGAGTGGCGAACGCTGACCTTCGAATTCAGTGACCGAAATGCGGCACCAGTCGTGCTCAGCTTCTTGGTCGCTGAGCTTGTCAAAAAGGGCTTCGCCACTCATTTGTTGGATCTGCTCGTTGATCTCTGCAATGCGCACATCGGTGAGGGCAGACGACAAGTTTGCTTTCCTCTCCACTTTCTGCTGGTCCAGCAGGATTGACCTTTTGGCCACCAAAGGCCTTCGCAGGGCACCCAGGGCCACTTTGCGCAAGGTCACCTCCAACAGCTTCATCTCCCAGTGCTGCCCTGTTTATAAAATCTTACAGTTTGTAAAAAAGGTGATTTTTTTTCTAATTTTATTACATTTCTTAGGAGCCTCGAGATTGGCGACGTCCAGAAAGCCCAGCTGCTCCATTTTCACTTGGTCAGAGTTCTTGCCAGGCGAAAACTTCTTCATGTCCTTGAAGTATGGCGCCCCAAAATTCTTGACCGACCTGTACGACCGGTCAGTGTCCTCGAACGCCTCGGCGCTTTGGAACTTGAGTTTCAGAACAGCGGCGGCCTTTTTCCCCAACAACTGAAAAGAGTTCAAAAATTGCAAATCATGTTATTAAAAAGTTTCAAATTTCTCTGACCTTTGCACTTTTGATGTCCCTCCTCATATCCGAATACTCCTCGATAACATTCTCCAGGCACTGCTGGTACAGGACATTCTTCTTCAGTTTTGCGATTTTCTCTTGCAACAAATTCTTATCGCCGTTGGAAGAAACCTCTTTTTGCTCAGCCATAGTGGTGGTGATCGCGTTCTTTTTATGACGACCAATCCAGCCTTAAAACAGAGATTTTTTAACGCTTTTAACCATAAATGCTGATGATAAAAATTAAAAATTAAAATGGGACCACATTATTTGGCCATCTTATACATAGAGAATGCATATAAACACATAGCGCCCAAAACAAGTTTATGAAAACTTTACAAATTTTTTTCATAAATTGACGCTTTAAATTGCGCACAACAGTCAAGCTATGCTAAATTTATAAAGGAACTATTGTGTATACCTGAAAGCTAAGCTGCATAGAACCCAAATGCACTTTCGCTGCACGCTTCAGGTCTTCCAAGCTAGCGAGAGGAAGAGGAGATCAGAACAGAATAGCTTCAAAATGTCGAGTTTTCGTGCACAAGCGACGCGATCAGTGGTGGACGCACTCAAGGAGTCAAGGTCGCGCACTTTTCTCCAGTTGCGGTGGAGCTGGAAGTTAAAATCGGCAACGGACGCCACGAAGAGCATGCAAACGTGGTCCTCAGTTATAAACGTGTTGAATCGTGTCTCGCTATGTATATTTATGTACTCTCTTTGTACAGGAATGTTGGCAGGCAGGAACCTCGCTTTATCTCGATAATTTACATTCAGCGACGCCTGCGCTCTTCATCATGCGTGCCTTGAATTCTGCATTCTTCTGCAAGTTGTGACTTGTTGAGACTCGTTCAGGATTTTGTATTGCGTCTCCTCTCTCCTCGCGCCTATTCTCAAGCCTATTCTCTCGCTCTCCGATTTCACTGGCACGAGAGGCTTTTGGCTTTTCACGATGCTCACTTTTTTTAGAGTAGACACGCCCACCAATTTGCTTAGCGCATGCGCGTGGAGCTCCACTTCTTTTCACTTTCACTGTTTTGTTTTGAACCATGTATTAACCAAGCTATCAACGAGCAAGCGAAAGAGAAGAGACTACAATCGAGCAGCTTCCTACGCTTCCTACCGCTAAAAATTATAATTTTTGCCAGAATATCGAAGAATATCACTTTCTCTGGACATTCGTCGTTACTTTAGTTTAAAATGAGTTTCCCTGGAACGCGATTTTTATCAAGAATTCTGTTATTCAGTCACAGGAACACAGGTTTTTTAAAATCATAACACTTTGTTGATTTGACTTTTCTTTTTGAAATCGAATTAGCAGGCAACAAACCATTGAGGATCTGCCAGGTCAAGTACTGTGTCACAAATGAAGCAGCTGTGGCGAAAAAAAAGTGGGACTTGGTCAGCAGCGTTTGCGTCGAAAGACCGCCAGTTATCTCCGCAGACCTCACGGAACTGGAAGAAAGAATGCAGAGCATGCTCTGCAAAGTAAGAGATAAATCCCGTAAATTCGCGTCTTGTTTACTATTAAATGAATTTGATCTACAGATTGAGTTGCAACAAAGCATAAAATCCAATCACGAGCTGCGAAAGGAAAAGGACAAAGTCACGTTGGAAGCCTTGAAATCGGGCAATGCCTCGGAAGCAGATCTCGAGCAGGCCACCAAAGCCACTGCCCAAGATTTTGAGGATTCCAGTCTGGACGAATTGGCCAATTTCACTTTGGCTTCGAGGAAAAATGGTTGTGCCATAGCTTATTGTACAGCAGATTTAATTAATATTGTTATTCTCATTCCGTGGCAAAAGGTAAAAAGAAAATTCCTTATTAAATTCGAGTTTTTATGCTTTCGAAATTTTCTGCGGCAGATTGCGGATCGATTCCCAGGCAAGAGTGTGAAGCAGGTGGCCCAGCGCTGGACCCAGCGTCTGGACCCCAAGATCAAATCAGGAGGCTTCACCGAAAGGGACGACATGATCATCACGGCCGCACGCAGCCAAAAAATGACTTTCATGCAAATCCCAAACCTGATGCCAGGTCGAACCGAGAGCCAGATCAGAATTAGATACACCAGGCTGGAGTGCTTCAAGCCGAGTGTTCCTTGGATTCCGTAAAAATTTTAAGAAAGGTTTTAAGAATGATTTATTAACACCTTTTTTTAATGAAAAGTGAGGATGACCAAAAACTGCTGGCCTTGGCCAAACAGTTCAAAGGCAGCAGAGACCAATGGTCTATCGTCAACGAGTACTTTCCAGACAGGGACAGGCAGCAGCTCAAGGGCAGGCACAAGAGGCTGCTCAATGATGCTGCTGGGGTATTTAAGCCTACGATTATTACAAATCAATTTTATAAATTGTTTTTGCTTTTTTCATTAAATTAGATCAAAAACACTCTGTCTCGCAAGGGGAAAAGGTCAATCTGGGTTCTGAACAAAAGAAGAACCACTCCAATACGAAAGAAAATAAGACTTATTTTCTCTTTCGTGAGCAAATACATATTTGTGTAGATTTTCAATGCCAGGAATGTGGTTAAGTTTGCTTGCAATGCCCAGAAGGCTAGAAAGGTTGGTCGGAGGAGAAAGAAGAAGGACGACCGGGACTTGGAGTTGGACCAGGTCTATCGAAGCCACTACCGGCAGCGAAGGGGAAGAAAGAGGAGTGCGTATTATTAATTAAAATATGATTTAGTCTTCTTCTTCTTGCTAATAAGTGGATGGTGCGATTTCAGAGTACTACCCCAACACTGCTAAACCCGCAACTGTGAACGTTGCTTGGAACTTGTGTGAGATTTTCGGTGTGCACTTTGATTGGAATTGCGAGCAGCGGCTGCTCAAGGCCGCAGCCACCAACCCCAAGTTCTACAACATCCTCAACGTTTACCGCCAGCTGCAGATGCTGCACTATGAAGAGGGCTGGGACTGTGAAAAGAAGCACGTCACTCAATCAATTCTTCCGAACGTCAGATCTCTGGTCGGACTGCGCACTTAGCTTCTGGAAGATATAGCAACCTTTTGGCCATGAACCTGGAGGGTCAGAAGGAGTAGCTGACCTTCCTTAAGGGAGTTGTCACCAGGGCTGACAACGCACCTGATGAGGATTACAATGAAGGTCAGTTTTCACTTCACCGCTAATTTTTTTCAATTTTTCATTTTGTTCTTTAGTTGACGAAAATGACGAAGACGCCCATCGTCCTGAGCAGAATGACGAAGGCTCTCTTGAAATGCCTCGAATGACTCCTCAAGAGGCCATGTCCCTTTTCATGCAGAGGCTGCTGCTCTGGCCAAGCTACATGTCTCGCATTGTGTAAGTTTTTGTTTAATGTCTTTAAGACCAAATTAATGAAATGTGGATTAAATTAGTCCTTTGCTGGACCACAAAAAGGACTTGTTTGAGGGTTAAAGGATGGCTTGTGCCAGTTCCAACAAAGACGAGGATGGAGTGGACAAATTGTTCTGCGACTTTGACACTGACGATGAAGACAAAGTGAAGAAACCCTTGGATGAAATGCGAGTTGAATTTCTTGTAATGGGAAAGTATTGATTTTCTAATTTGATTGCAGGGAAAGTGAGGAGGAGAGGAAGGGGACGCTGAGGAAGCAGTGGCTGCAGTACAGAGAGCAGAAACTGAGTCAGCCATTGCTGGAGGAAAAAGAGGTGCCTGAGGTGCTCAAGAAGAAGCGGCGTCTTCCCAAGAAGAGGGGAAGAAAGAAGATGGAAGCGGACAATTGGCTGCAGAGCCACATCAGGAACAACATTGACTACTCTCCGTGGTGAATCATTTTACCATTTCATGCTAGATTTTCAAAATCATTTGAGATTATCCATTTATTGATGTGAAATATATTGTTGAAATAAGTACTAATTTGAAGGAGTAAATTGAAATCATAATAAAGTAAAGGGAAAATAAAATTATTCATTTAATTCTTCATTCTATTTAATTTCCCTTCATTGATCTGATGCGGAAGTTTAAGCATTTAGGTTGGAAAATAACTAATTATTCCATGATAACAATCTGCCAAATAGTTAAACACAGATTCAAACTAAACACTGCTAAACTAACGTCATAAAAACCGGAATATTATTTTTCTTTGCTGTAGAAATGAAGGAAGGCAGGAGATCAACGGCGACGAGGACACCTGCTTTGATTTCTAATTTTTAAAAAATAATGTTCTAAAATGCTCTTTTAAAAGATAGTCCCTTTCAGTTGACTTTTGCGACTTTTTCAAAGAAGTCTTTCAAAGTAATAACGCTCAATAGGGCAAATTTTCTCCTCAAAATCCACACAACATGCTTTTTTGCTGACCATTGTCACGCATGTTTCGCGCTGTCTTTTAAATTTGTTGAAACGTCATGGGCGTGGCCGGCCGGCCAATGGGCGCGCGTCAATCCGCCGAGTGCGTGCGTCCATCCAAGTGTGCACCCAGCTCTGCTCTGCCGTCTGCCCTGTCTGCCTCCGCCTGCGGTCTCAAGAAGTCCGGTCTGCTGTGCGTCTGTGGCTGGGTGTCTTTGTTGTCGTGGTCCGGTGGCCGTCTCCGCCGCACGATCTGCTGTCCACTGTCCAGCCCGCCGAGAAGGTCAGCGTGAGACAAGCGCAGAGATCGGTCCATCCGAACAACGGCCGGCGAATCTCTGCACAACGGAAACTCGAGGTAAAATGCGCACAAACGCACCTATAAGATTCTATCTTTCTATATATTATGTTATTATGTATTTCTCTAATATCACGCATCACGCACTCGCGCCTGTTCCACAATTATTTGGTTTTTTTTCCTCCCAATGTTTCAAGTGCCCCGCCGGCCGCGAATTCTTTCTTTGGAATTGTCCATTCCCATTTTTGTCGCTTTCTCTTTTGGCCGATTGTTATTCACTTTTGGAGTTTAAACTCGTTCAAGGAGTGCCCTTTTGTTCAAACACGTTTCGTCAACAGCACAAATCATCGAGAATCGGCTCTGCAAAGCAAACCGACAGGGAACGGAAAGCTATTATTTTATCAGCAGATTTTCGCGACGCATTCTCGACCTTTCCAATGTCATGTCATTAGCCATATGAAAATAACATTACAGAGGTCGTGACATTGGCAAGGTCAAATCGTCAAATGTCGCGAGAACGCCGGAATCTGTTCGCAGCTTACAACCGTGTCTCATACTCGCAGCATCACTCACATTTTTGAGACGCTGCAAACGCAAACGCGCAACGATTTTGCACATTTCTTGCATCGCGCGCACGATTTTGGAATTGGCCTCTTTTTTCAGCCACTTGAATGAACTTGGCCACTTTTCTGCTGCCAACATAAACGTAGAGTTTGATTATTTAAACCTTAAGAAAGGTAATAATGTTAATTGAAGTTTGGTGTTTTAATATTCTTATATCATAGTGAAACCATGTTATAACACGTATTATATGCAAAAAATATTTTATTGTTGTTGTTGTTGATGATAACGACGGGGGAAGCCACTTCTTGAAACCGACGAAAATTACTTAAAATATTAGTTTTTTAAATTTTAAATTTTTACCTTGGTCACATTTTTTTAAAAATTTTTGCACAAAGGTAGTCCAAGTATCCGATTACCAAGTTTAATTAGCTTCTCATTGCTGATCGCGGCCCGGTAGCCGCCCTTGGAGGCAGCCACTTTTTGAAACCGACGATATTTACATAAAAAATTATTATTTTTTTTTTTAAATCTAAATTATATTTTTTTAATATTTTGCACAAAGGTGGCCCACATTCCAATATTGAACGACTATGCGTTGATTTTTGCCTTTGAAATATATTCAATGTGGATGCCTTATCATTATTATTTTTTTTTCACTATCATCTCGAAAATATAAAAAGTACATATTCATCACCTCTTTGCAACCTAGTCAAGTTCAATGTTTGCTGTTTATTACACAAAATTTTTATTTATTTCGGCGTGCGCAGCGACGACCATTTTTTCTTTAGTTGCTGCCGCCGATTTTCATTCTCCGGAACCCAAAACGCACTAACGCACTCTTTGTCTTAAATCAGTCACATTTAAAATGAACAAGGGCATTTTAAATACACACATTCATCGTGATAGAAAACTTTTTGCATTTGATATCCTGACTTTTTTATCTCAGTTAAATTTTCCATTGGTGTAACTTGAGCGTGTGGATTTTCTCTTTTCAGCCCGGGAAAAACTGCATCAGCCCGAGCAGTGTGCTGCGATTCTTCTCCTGCCACCGCAAAGCCCGATTTTGGTGAGTTTTTGTTGTTTTTATAAATTTATTGCCTTTTTATGTGTTATCGGTGATTGGTCACGCTAATGGCAAGGCTACATTTGTATATTCGATAGATTGACGTAATGAGACGCATATTAAATAAATTTTGATGCTCATAAGCTCAATCAGCTTTCCGTTCCAAAAGCATGCCCTCATGAAGAGAATTTACGTGAAATCGTAGAGAGCTAAGCATTTATCTGATCGCCTTTTATTGTTTCAAGGCTGCTGTTTATTTTTGAAATAGAGTGAATCTGTGCCACAGCCATTTTTCAACCTCCAGGCCCAGGCGTGTCAAAAAGCGTTTCTCGTTTTTATTTGTTAAATTCTGACTTTTCTCATTCAAATATGATGTCATCGGCCGCAAACCGCCCCATGTTGTTGGCCCAAAAAACCCTAAAAAAAGGTGGTTTTGCCACTATAGAGGAGAAACGCCGCAGGATCCCAATCATCGTGATACTTCAACTCTTTAATACGATGCACATCATATTTTCCCAGCAAAACTGACTTGTCCTCTTTGGATGAGCTGAAACCTGCAATATGATTTTTTTAACACACATGAAATTCTTGTTAAAAGGAGTTCTAAGATTAATATATAATTTGAATGGAATGCCTATAGCATAACGCGAAAAAATTCTACTATCATTGAGAGGATTAAGCAAATATTTATTATTATTTCATATTAATTTTTTGTTTCAAAAGAGATGTTGGGATTATGATTTATAATACAACTAGATTTTGCGAACAACTTGCCTCAACCAGGGGTATGATGCAGGGCATGGGTGCAAAAGATTCAGAATCCTTCCTTCTCATCCGATTAAACTCGCCAGTTGAAAATTTGATTTGTTTGGCCCACCCGAATGCTATACAACAAAAAATATTCTGGCTTGGTATGGAATTGATATGACAATTTACAAAAATCGGGTGTTTCAACAGTCGATTTGGCGAAAAGGGATTGTAAATAACATAGTAATAAAGAAAGATTCTCACTTAAAAGTCGTAAACCTATTTATAAATCTCTTCACTGGGTCCATAAGTAAAAGGCTTAAAACATCATTCTAATTTAGTTTTCTTTTAAAAAATTTAGCGAGTTCGTATTTCAGATTAATTGTTGTATGTAATAAAAAGTATCTAGATCATCACTTTTGGAGGATATTTCTGCATGTAATAAACATGAAATTTTAAAATCCAATAAAATATAATATGAAATCAACTAATTATCACATAATCGGCTCAACAATTAAAAATGTCTGCCTGAGAAAAAGGGCCTCGCAAAATTGTCTTGTAATAAATAGTATATGCATTAAATGTGGATAAAAAATTTGTAAATATACAACCGTTGGCAATTTTTCGAGTTTTTACGAAACTGCGATCGCGATTCTATCAGCTCCTGCTGGACCAATTTTAATTTTTCCAACGTGACTATTTTTTATTTTGCTTATTTCTTATGTAACTTGGTTGAAAAGATCCAACTTTCCTAACATAGTAGCAAGAGAAAAAAACGCCACAGTAAAAAGTATCAAAGTAGGAAAGTAAAATGAAAAAGAAGGCCGTTTTTATTCGCAATAATAGCGCTGAAGCATCTACTTCTCATCCAAAAGCAAAAATCTGGAAAATGCGTCTCAAGATTATGAATGTGCGGCAGCACAAAATATTCGAAAAACGCACTCGATCGTCGACAGGCCGACGACGGCGAGAGATTTTGCCAAAACTTGCTTTTGCTCCATGCTTCATGCTAAATAACGCTTGGCACTTCCTTTCGTCCACCGTTTCGAATGGAAAAATATTTTAGCACCGCACGCAATGCAATTTTTGAGGGCAATTCGCTACCTCAAAATTCAAATGACCTGCCATCCCGCCACAAAAAAAAATTGATCCTTAATTGCTTTTAGGCTGCTTTTTCGGCCAGTAACAATTTATAGCTGTGTTTGCTCAATTTTCTGAAATTAACTGGCATTATTTATTTTAATTTGACACACTCTTGGCAAGGGTCAACCAAATTGTATGAAATTTGGCCCATCATTTTGTTTCATGGTCAAGACAAATATTTTGGAAGGATTTTGAAAAAATTCCTCCAAATTGCCTATTTTACAGGGGCTCAAAGTTGGCGATTTTGAAGAAAGGAGTTTTCAAAAATCGAAAATATCTCAGTTCCTGTTTGAGATAGCGCAAATGTTTCTATTATCAAACTTGTGGGAAATTAGACGTCCTGCAACTCTGCCTTGGTAACCAAGGTCATAGGTCACATTTCAAGGTCACTTTTTCTGACCTCGGGTTTTTAAGTTGATGTCAAAGGAGGACGGAAGTAAAATATTTTGATTTCAAAATAGCCAAAAGTTGCCTAATTAATTAAGTTACCAACAACATATTAAAAAATGGCGGGACTTATTTTTTTTATTTTCAAGATACTCAGGGTTGAAGGGTAAAAAACGCGGTTTTCCGAGCCTTTTTAATGCAATAACAACTTTAAACGGCCATAACTTTTCTCCTGTTAGAGATAGGACAAAATGTGTAACGACAAAAATTGTTCCCATTGACTTTTGCTCTTTTCAACCATGTATCACAGGTATGACCAGGTCAAAAAAGGTCACATGTCACCGGGGTCTATTTTATATATTTGGCTGTGGGCCAGTATTTTCGGGGGTCAAGGGAAAATTTATGTGCAATGTTTAAGCTTAATTTTAATGTGGATGTTTGTAAAAAATTGTGAAGCACAAAATGATGAAGCGAAGTGTTGAAATCAAACCGATTGAATAGCTTTTGCGAGAGTAGAAAGGAGAGCGAAGAGCGGAAATTTGAGGTTGCAATTTGCCAAAGAAGGTGACACTAGGCATGTAATTTGAAATATTTCGTGGAACGTGATGAAATTAAAAGTAAAAGAAAATGCGCGTTGTGTTTGGTGCAGGATAAACTCGCGTGTAAATTTGAAAGACGAGAACTCGGCTGACTTCAATTAAAAAAATCCAATATGCCTTTGGCTTTTTGGCGACCAAATCGCCACTCATTCAGTGCTCATTTCTCGTCAGAATGCCACGACAAAGCAAAAGTCGAGCGGATGAGGGTGGAAAACAAAAAACTTTGCGAGCCACTCGGAGAATGTCGAATATATTTCGCCTCGTTCGCATGAATTGTCATTGTTTATTCTTCACATGTCAATCAACTGAAAAAAAGTGAAGAAACGGCGATCACATCTCTAGCCAACAAGTGACTAAAACGCATGAATATTTCTCGTTCCTTATTCTTTGGAAGATTTTGCCTCGTCGACTTTAATAGCAAAATCAAGAATCGACGCGAGAAAAGTTTAGGAACAGAATTTCATAAAATTCACGCAATTTCTTTTTCTCCTTTGCATGTGCAACGTTTACGCGTCGATTTTATCGAGTCTACGTAGACTCTGACGGGTCATCTTGATTTGAAATTGATATATCATTTAATTACGCTCACTAAAATCTTAATTTTAAATTAAGCAGCAGTACATTTGTTTTCAAAGTGTACAAGGCTGACGGTAAATTTTTTTGCAAAATTTCTCAGATGAAATATTTCTGATTCACATCAGTTTCATAAATTGTCCACTCTAGTCGTTTCTTTTTTTTGTGTTGCTGATACTTTTATCTCAACTTGAATATTTCACTAAAATACACTTCAATCAGAGGAATTATCAGCTGTCCAGTCAAACGTGCGTTGAAACTAGCAAAACAAGTGGGAAGTAAATAAAAGAAGCATAACGCATATGAACTGCCAAAACTCGCGCGCGTTCACGCTCTCAGCCCCACTCAACGCGAGAATGCGGCCGCTTGAGATGAAATAACTTATGAAAGCCATTAAAATTTTTAAATAAATTCACCGGTTTAAGGCTGTGTAGGTCACTCTTTCCAATTGGTGTTTCAACGTCTTCTTTTAGTGAACTTAAACTACTTGTAATCTTGATGTTCAATTTGAGCCAAAATCCAAGTTTGTCATCGCCAAATCTCTTCCACAGAATGGCAATATCATTTGGTTTTCTTCAATTGCAGCAAAATTCATCAAAATTTTCTCCTAATTTGATGATTCTATGCTAAATTTCATGAGGATTTCTAAAATAGCCAGACATTTGTTTCTCCAACCTCAGGAATTGACGAAATATTGAAAAAATCTTAAAAATACGGATTTCTGATTTTCTGGGGTTTTAAAATTTTCACATAAATTGAAATTCTGAAGGAACCACCTCACGTTTTTTGTATCATAAAGCGAGATTTACAAATCCTAGTATACTAAACATAACCATAAATGATAGAGAAATCAACATAATCTTCCTTATTTGCAACATATTTATCAGTTGTACATGATCTCATTAATGACAAACTTTGTTTCGCTCACAGCAATCGCTGAACAAGCTGGACGAAGCAAAAGCCTTAGTTGGAAGCCCTAAGATGTCGCAAGGAAAGGTTGAAGGTGGTGTTGGTCCGTGTACACCGAAACAAAGCCGACTGCATTTTGTAGGAGAGCCAAAGGGCGCTATGGTTAGTATTTTTTTTTTTTCAAAGTTTCCAAGGTTCAACATCTATCAAACTACATTTTCCTCACTTTCCTAAATTTTTCCTGGATATTTTCTTATTATTTTATTTATTTATTTATTTATTTTTTGAGAATTGTAAGGGGTTACGGTAACAACGCAACATCTCAATAGTTATGAGCCGCATACCAAAAAATTCAATACGTTGTAAAAGCCGTTTAAATTTGCCTATTTATTTTTTCATCATTCGCAATGAAAGGTTTTTGCTGTTCTGCCAAAATTCTCAATTTTTCGTGTTTATGTACGGATTGCTTTTAATTCAGTAGCCTTTACATGGGGGAGAAAATATTCAATATATCCTCCTATTTTAAAAAACCCCAGATTGGCTGGAAAAGTTTTTGAAATCGGTTTATTCAAAATATGTTTCAATGAATATTTCGATAAAATCACACATTTTCTGAATCCTTATAAAATTCCTTATTGAAGATGAAATTACAACTATCCTATTTGCCACACACAGTCTTAAAAGCCTCTTTAATATTAAAGAACGAGTACCTGAAATATCCGGCCAGTTTTGTGTGAACATAGTAGTAAGACGCTGCTCTCATCCATGCTTTAAATACACCTTTCCTTTTTTTAGGTCCGCAGTCCCTGGAACGTGAGAGAGAAAGTCAAGGTTTACGCTTTCATGGTGAGTTTATCTTTTTTTTAACTATCAATAATGAAAGAATCTATCTTAAAGATTGCTATTTTGGCACGGATTTTTTAAGCTTATTTTGCGTTTGTTTACAGGGGATTCGGACGCCAGATGTCGATTCTTGGAAAAAGGTGTCGCGCTGCCGAATCGATCAACTCTCTATTGCCCAAATGGACTCTCTCTTCAACCTGAACATGTTGAGCCAGTATGCGAAGGCCTCAAGTGAGTATTCCAAGTAGCAGCAATATACGTAGCTCATTATTGACTCCACTTTTTTTTGTGATTTCAGACACGCTAACTAAGGTAATTGGCATTCAAGATCTTTGCAGAGAGCGCATGGGCGACGAGTTTTTACAAATCCCATACTGCACCCAACTTTGTGCTCGAGTGCCAGTGTTTGTGGGGCTCTGCGGACACGCGTCTTGCGAGTCGTGCCAAATGTTGCCCACCTGCTGCTTCATTTGTAAGACCGGCCCGCTAACAAAGCGTGTCAATTATGATTTGGAGGTCCAAGTTGCTCATGAAGAAAATGACCAAGAAATCAAAAAGTAAAAGTGTTAATTGTATAATTTAATTTTTATCTCTCTATGAAACCTTGAATATCTGAGAAGGTTGCAATTCTTTCAAAACAATGACCATCATCACTCCAAAATTCTTTAAAAAAAATTATTTTGTTCCAGAGTTGGCAATCATGACTGGCAGGCTGTTAAAGCTGTGAGTTCAAATTTTTCTATAATTGAAAATTAAGTACTCAAAATAATTTTTTGTTTAAAGAAACTGTACACAAATACAGACAAAGAGGCGCTTGCAATAGCCACTGGGAAAGTAGAGGACTTGAACAAGAATCAGATTGTGGGGATCCTTGCCAAAAATAACATTCAGGAGCCAGCAGCCTGTAAGTGTTTTCAATTTTGTTTTCCCAACAAGTTTGCACACTTTGCTGTGTATAAAGTGTTATAAAAAAGTGCTTTGAAAATAGAGATCTTCTTAAAGAGTTGTGCTTCTTTTTTACGAAGAAATTAAATTTTTCCAATTTAGATTTTTTAAATAAAATTTGATACAAGAAATTTTTAGCAGTGAATGTAAAGGTGGCTGTTTTTTTTCCCCCCAGATGACGATGAGGATCTCGCGCGTGCTCTGCTGCGAGGGGTGATCCGCATGCGTATCGGAACCGGATGCATGGGCTGCGACAGTGCCAACCGTGTTTACATTCTGTCATGCAAGCACCTGTGGTTCTGCCAGGACTGCATTTTAAAAGCTGGCGGCAAGTGCCCATATTGCTCGCGCAAGTCCCCCCACACAATCCCAATTAACAATGATACAATTGATCTTGTTAAGAGAACTTAAATATTGCGTTTTAGACAATTCTTAATTGTGAGTAATAATAAGTCGTAATCTCTCTCTCTCTCTCTCTACCTCTCTTTTAACTTTTGTTGCTGCAAGAGCAGAGAAATGTTTTTTAATGTGTAGTATTTTAATATGTAATCAAACATCTGCAAATTTTTCGCAAAATCTGTGTCGGCTTGTTGTGCACCTCACATTAACTTGTTATTCAAAAATATTCAAAACACGTTGGCCAATTTTGGGGGTTAATATTTGTAACTTTGACTGTATTTTCTAATAATGAGTGCCATATGCACATGTTCACATTCCTTTTGTTCGTTTAATTCACCTCAAATTCCAGTTAATAATAATTGAACTTTAAAGACAAAGACTTAAATTGTTAATAAGAGAATATATTATTTATTTTAGCCTGTTTTCGTTAAATTAGCAGTAATCTGGTCCCACGTGCGGCCGCACGTGGTCCTATCAGTAAATTAGCTTCAGTTGCTAATGAGGCAGGTCTCTGGGACAAATTTACTCAGTTAAATTATGCTCTAGGCCGCAGCACTAATTGGAGTCTCCTTTTCTCGTCTTTTTGCTTCCTTTCAACCCTCTTGCTCTTCAGGAGCGTTCTCACAGCTCATATAATTAAGTTGGCACAGTGCCAGGCGACCAATTAGCTTTTTATATAAGACGCGTTGGGAAAACTAACCTGGAACCCAAAAGGCCGAGCACAACTGGTGCCGCATCTCGCTCACCGAATTCGAAGGGCATCGTTCGCCACTCGAGCTGCGAGCCTTGTGGAAGCAGTGCTTGGTCCTCACCCTGGAGATGACGGCCTGGACCAAACATGAAAATGATCTCTTGAGGGTAAATTGGCTAAATTATCTTATTATATTCCTGTGAAAGTAAAAACATCTTTCGCAAAAAGATCGAATAAGATTAATTTTATGAATCCAATATTTGATCTCGTATGCGCTTAAAAAATTATTTATTCTTCATTGACTGCATTTTTGGTGCAGTTTGCGGCTAGCAAGTATTGTTTTCAAAACTGGGCTGCAATCGGTGCCGAGGAGATGAGTGGAAAACGCTCCATGTACCAGTGCTTCCTGCACTACCAAAGCATTTTGAACAAGTTCAGGGAAGGTTGGAGTGGCGCCGATGACAAGAAACTCAAAAGCGCTGTCAAGAACCTGCAAAAAGGAAAATTCATTCCGTGGCAAAAGGTAAAAAGAAAATTCCTTATTAAATTCGAGTTTTTATGCTTTCGAAATTTTCTGCGGCAGATTGCGGATCAATTCCCAGGCAAGAGTGTGAAGCAGGTGGCCCAGCGCTGGACCCAGCGTCTGGACCCCAAGATCAAATCAGGTGGCTTCACCGAAAGGGACGACATGATCATCACGGCCGCACGCAGCCAAAAAATGACCTTCATGCAAATCTCAAACCTGATGCCAGGTCGAACCGAGAGCCAGATCAGAATTAGATACACCAGGCTGGAGTGCTTCAAGCCGAGTGTTCCTTGGATTCCGTAAAAATTTTTAAGAAAAGTTTTAAGCAGCAGATCAAAGGCAGGCACAAGGCTGCTCAATATGATGCTGCTGGGGTAATTTTATCCTACGATTATTACAAATCAATTTATAAATTGTTTTTGCTTTTTTCATTAAATTAGATCAAAACCACTCTGCCTCGCAAGGAGAAAAGGTCAATCTGGGTTCTGAACTAAAGAAGAGGCACTCCAGTACGAAAGAAAATAAGACTTATTTTCTCTTTCGTGAGCAAATACATATTTGTGTAGATTTTCAATGCCAGGAATGTGGTTAAGTTTGCTTGCAATGCCCAGAAGGCTAGAAAGGTTGGTCGGAGGAGAAAGAAGAAGGACGACCGGGACTTGGAGTTGGACCAGGTCTATCGAAGCCACTACCGGCAGCGAAGGGGAAGAAAGAGGAGTGCGTATTATTAATTAAAATATGATTTAGTCTTCTTCTTCTTGCTAATAAGTGGATGGTGCGATTTCAGAGTACTACCCCAACACTGCTAAACCCGCAACTGTGAACGTTGCTTGGAACTTGTGTGAGATTTTCGGTGTGCACTTTGATTGGAATTGCGAGCAGCGGCTGCTCAAGGCCGCAGCCACCAACCCCAAGTTCTACAACATCCTCAACGTTTACCGCCAGCTGCAGATGCTGCACTATGAAGAGGGCTGGGACTGTGAAAAGAAGCACGTCACTCAATCAATTCTTCCGAACGTCAGATCTCTGGTCGGACTGCGCACTTAGCTTCTGGAAGATATAGCAACCTTTTGGCCATGAACCTGGAGGGTCAGAAGGAGTAGCTGACCTTCCTTAAGGGAGTTGTCACCAGGGCTGACAACGCACCTGATGAGGATTACAATGAAGGTCAGTTTTCACTTCACCGCTAATTTTTTTCAATTTTTCATTTTGTTCTTTAGTTGACGAAAATGACGAAGACGCCCATCGTCCTGAGCAGAACGACGAAAGCTCTCTTGAATTGCCCCGAATGACTCCTCAAGAAGCTCTGTCCCTCTTCATGCAGAGGTTTTGCTCCCTGTTGCTCTGGCCAAGCTACATGTCTCGCATTGCGTAAGCTTTTGTCTTTTTCGACCAATTAAAGTAATGAAAATATAATTTTAAAAATTAGTCCTTTGCTGGACTACAAAAAGGACTTGTTTGAGGGTTAAAGGATGGCTTGCGCCAGTTCCAACGAAGACGAGGATGGAGTGGGCAAACTGTTCTGCGACTTTGACACTGACGAGGAAGACATAGTGCAGAACCCCTTGAATGAAATGAGAGTTGAATTTCTTTTAATGGAAAAGTATTGATTTCCTATTTGATCGCAGGGGAAGTGAGGAGGAGAGGAAGCGGACGCTGAGGAAGCAGTGACTGCAGTACAGGGAGGAGAAACTGAGTCAGCCATTGCTGGAGGAAAAAGAGGTGCCTGAGGTGCTCAAGAAGAAGCGGCAAGAAGAAGACAAATTTACTCAGTTAAATTATATGCTCTAGGCCGCAGCACTAATTGGAGGAATAATTAGCATAATTAGAGTCACTTTACACACACTGCTATAGGCTTTGGGTAAGGCCTCTGAGAGCGTTTGGAAGTTTTTATCTGCAAAAATAAGTTGGAAAAAGTTTTCTCCCGCCACATTCACGCAAAAGTTTCAAATGGGCGAACAAATTTGCTTTGCGCATGCGCGTGTCTTACTTCAATTGTTCACTGTTTTGTTTTGAACTATAACCAGCACTCTGCAGTGAAAGAGACTATAGCGCAGGCAGAGCGCAGGTTTCCACCGCAAAAAGCTTATAATTTTTGCCAGCATATCGACAAATATCTCAACTCTGGGCATTCGTCGCTACTTAAGTTCAAAATGAGTTTCTCTGGAACGCGATTTTTGTCAAGAATTCTGCTATGCAGTCACAGGAACACAGGTTCTTTTAACACTTTGTTGATTCAACTTTTCTATTTGAAAACGAGTTAGCAGGCAACAAACCATTGAGGATCTGCCAGGTCAAGTACTGTGCTACAAATGAAGCAGCTGTGGCGAAAAAAAAGTGGGACTTGGTCAGCAGCGTTTGCGTCGAAAGACCGCCAGTTATCTCCGCAGACCTCACGGAACTGGAAGAAAGAATGCAGAGCATGCTCTGCAAAGTAAGAGATAAATCCCGTAAATTCGCGTCTTGTTTACTATTAAATGAATTTGATCTACAGATTGAGTTGCAACAAAGCATAAAATCCAATCACGAGCTGCGAAAGGAAAAGGACAAAGTCACGTTGGAAGCCTTGAAATCGGGCAATGCCTCGGAAGCAGATCTCGAGCAGGCCACCAAAGCCACTGCCCAAGATTTTGAGGATTCCAGTCTGGACGAATTGGCCAATTTCACGTTGGCTTCGAGGAAAAATGGTTAGCTTATTGTACAGCATATTTAATTAATATTGTTACTAAAATTTTAGACCCAAAAGTTGACGAAGATGAGAAAAATATCGATCGCCAATTGAGCCAGCATCTAATTTTGCTTACGAAGCACAAACTAGGATCTGAAAGCGTATGGCTGATGCCCAATAGTGCCCGAAAAGATGGAGAGACCATGAGACAGGCCGCAGACCGTGCCCTTCTCGAAGCTGTGGGTCCGGAATTCAAGTCGACAATCTTGGGCAATGCGCCAGTCGGATTCTACAAATACAAATACCCTAAAGCTGTCAGAGAACAAAGTGGGGTTGAGGGTGCCAAGGTTATTTACATTGGGTTTGAAAAAAAGAAAATATTTGTTAAAACCGTAAATTACAGGTCTTCTTTTTCAAAGCGATGTATCAAGGTGGCCGTGCGAAAAGTAAAGATTTTGTCTGGGCAACCAAAGAAGAGATGGAGAAGAAATTGAAGAAGGAATATTTCAATAGCGTTGATCAATTCCTTCTTTTTTGAATATTTGTTTTGAAATAGTTTTCAATATATATTAAATGAAGATTATTTACTATTACTCATTTTATTTAACAAACATAACGGAAGTGTTTCCTAAAAATGAATTTTGGTTGAAACTAATGAGAATTACAAATTTTGTTATTTCGTAGATACTTGAGCTTGAATAGATAATTTTAATAAGTCAAATTAGCAATTTTTATGGTTAAGTATCAAATCAGCTTAAAAATTGGTCTAAAGATTTGTAAACTTTCAAAGCATTTTCATCTTTCCCGCCAAAACTGCAAGCTTCCCCATTGGTTGATTCATGTCACGTGACATTCAGCTGCACCGGGAAAACAACACGAGAAGCAAGGATCAAGGATCTTTTATTTAAATAAAAGATCCTTGACGAGAAGCAACTTCTCGTCTTGGCTTGCTATTTACAGTAAAAATGCAAAGTTTTTCGTGAAATTGAGCCCTCCAAAACAAGAAGCCGGCGATAAATAACATCATGGCTCTGAGACGGTCATTCGCATCCATCGTCCAGACCAGCATCCGCCAAGCCTCGACTTTCAAAGCGGCCGTCTTGAAAGAAGTCGGCCAGCCACTGAAGATTGAGAGCGTGAAAGCAGCTAAACTTAACAAAGATCAAGTAAAATTAATTTAAATTACTGATCATGAGTTTAACTCGCTTGGTCTTCTTTAGGTCAGGGTGAAGGTGAGCAAGTGCGGGGTGAACTCAGCCGACCTTCTTGTGTGCCAGGGCGAGTATCACGTCAAGCCCAAACTTCCCTTTGTACCGGGCTTTGAGGTCGCTGGAGAAGTTCTTGAAGTTGGGTCTGAAGTGAAAACTCTGCAGAAAGGAGACAGAGTCATTGGATTGAACAAGGACCTTTTCTCGGGGTTCGCTCAACAGTGCATTCTCAACCAGAATGTAATTTTTATTTTGGGTGTGTGGCTTTTTTTCTTATCTGAATGCTCGTTTCACAGGACGTTTGGAATTTGCCTGGGGAAATTTCATTCAAAGAAGGCGCTGCTCTACCTGACTCTTATGCCACTGCCCTCCTAGGCCTGGCCAGAAGGGCTCAACTGCAAGAGGGAGATTCTGTTTTAGTGACTGCTGCTGCGGGAGGCCTCGGTCTTGCTGCGGTTGACTTGGCTGCAAATGTTTACAGAGCAAAGGTTGCAATTTAAAATTAATAAAATAATATGTATTTAATTGTTAAATCTACTGATTTTGTCAGGTTATTGGTGTTTGTGGCACCGAAGATAAGGCTTCCCTGGTGAGGGAGAAAGGAGCATGGGCAGCTCTGACGTACAAACCTGAGCACCTCAGAGCCAAAGTCAAGGAGATTACTGAGGGCAAAGGGGTCAGGGTCATTTTCGATGCTGTCGGCGGACACGTTTTTGAAGAATCTTTAAAATGGTATGTTTGAGTTGTTTTCTTTTAAAAAATGGTTAAAATTAATACAATAAAATTTATTTCAAGTGTGGCCCACGAAGGAATGGTGGTTGTGGCAGGATTTGCCTCCAAGCAGATTCCTCAGGTTGAGACAAGCAGCCTTCTGCCCAAAGCCTTTAGCCTCGTCGGAGTTTCCCTTTCCAATTATAGAATATCCGATCCTGAAGTCTACAGGTATTTTCTTTTGAGGTTCAAATAAAAGAAGATAATCTCAAGTTTGTTTATTCAGGCAAAGTGTGGAAGACGTAGTGGACATGTGTGAGCAAGGGCTCATCAGCCCTCATGTTTCTGCAGAGTTTGACCTGGAGAAGGTCAACGAGGCTTTTGAATTTCTGCGAGAGCGTCGATCCACTGGCAAAGTTATTTTGGATTGTGACGACTGAACTTTGAAGTAATTTAGCAGACAGAGCTGTGAATGTATTCGAGTATTGTTCTTCGACTCAAGACTAAATTGATTGCAGATTGAACCACCAATGGAATGTTGAAAATAGAACAAATTGAAACACATTAAGAACAAAAGAGGTTTTTTACTTGCAAATAACTTCAGGTTGCAATCGTAACAAATAATAATTGGTGTTTCATGTCATTTTTTGGTTCACCTTTTATGATGATTAAAATTGATTAAAAATTGGCTTTTGCAAGGAAAAGAGCAGCACCAGAAAGTTAATTAAATATTAACTTAACATCGATTCTCCACCTAGCGGTGGCAAACACAAGCAGAAGTGAGCGCCATTCGGCTGGGCAACCAATCACGTGACTCGATTTGATAGTCAACAAAAACCACGCCCCCTTTGGGACATAATTATTTAGTTTTATCAGTCTCTTCTATCTGTTTATCGCTGAAGAAGTAAAGTGAATGCGGTTTTCTCAGAAACAAAACGATAAACTCGCTAATGCTTTGTGTTCGTTGATTTCAAATATTGAGTCCATCAAAAATTTTAGCTTTCAAAAGGAGACATGGAAAAAGAAAGGTAAGAAAAGTTTTGATAAAAATCTTGCCGATCGAGCACTTAACTCAACGTCAAACCCTGCCAATAAAAACACTCATTTTTTTGACAGATTCTGCCTCTTGCTTCTGGAGCCTGGCGAAACGTACTTTGAGGATTTCAGTGGCTTATGGTTCAAGAAAGGAGCCAAAGAGCAAGTTCCGGGACGCCTCAAGTTGTGCTCCCGTTCTGCTGTTTTCGAACCAAGGGAAACTGCTTTGCCCCTCGTAAAACTGCCTCTTCAGCACTGCTCCAGGGTTGATCCATCTCAACCAATCCTGACTGAAAAGTGAATTTCGTACATTTTTTACTTTCTAAATTACATATTTGAAATTTTTAGCATTGGCGATGGTGTTGAAATTGAGTGCAATCAAGTCATCGAAATGCTTCCTGGAAACATTCTGGCTCCATACTCATTTTTAAAAGTATAAAAATTGCATTAAATATTTGAAGCTGAAATCGATCTTGCTCATTTATTAGGAGTCTCAAACATTTATATTTGTGCCAACCTACATGGACGTCGAACACATTTTGCGGCCTCTGAGCCAACTGCACAGAGCTGCAACACTTCCTCTTCAAGATCACAATAATATGGTTTTATCACCTTTGAATTTTTTACATTGAAACTAGCAATTTTTATTAATTCAGGTCGCCACAATTATTTTTTCCCGACAAGCAAGATTCAAATTCGACCCGCAGTGGCTTGAGGATTTCTCCGAGAGAATAATTTTCGAAGCCACAGCAAACAAAGTGACACCCTTGGTGGTGAATCCAGGCAGAGTTGTGCTCACAAACAGCATTCTATACTTTCAACCATTCAATAATATTGAACAGGTAAGTCAACAGAAGGCAAGAATCATAAAAGTTTGACCAATTTTTTTTTCTGCAGACCGTTGTTTTAAAAATCCGTCTCCGCCATGTCAGAAGAGTGACGAATAGAAGGTTTTTGCTGCGGCACTTGGGTCTTGAGATTGAATGCTGTCCCCAGAGTAGTGTGCCAAGAATTTACTTCAGTCTCGAAAGTGCCAGCGAAAGAGATTCTTTCGCTGAGGCGCTTCTAAGTCAGGACCTGGAATTAGACAATTTGCGGCAGGACGAAATGACCCTCAAGTGGCAAAACAGTGTTATTTCCAATTATGAGTACCTCAGCTATTTGAACAGGTAAAATTATAAAAAAAAAAATGTCACATATAAATTAGTTTTATGTTTACTTCAGCTTAGCCGATAGAAGTACAAGCGATTTGACGCAGTACCCTGTTTTTCCGTGGGTGATTTGCGATTACGAAAGCAAGCAAATTGACCTGAAAAATCCTCTCGTGTTCAGAGATCTGACCAAACCTGTTGGGGCGTTGGATTCCGTTAGACTGCAAAAGCTGCTTGTAATTTTCGGACATTGTCTTTTGAGGATTTAAATTAATTTTTATTGACAGGATCGCTACGATGAAATGGATCCTCCAAAATTCCTGTATGGCTCACATTACAGCGCCCCTGGCTTGGTTCTTTTTTACCTGGTTCGGCAATATCCCCATCTGATGCTTTGCCTCCAGAACGGGCGTTTCGATCATCCTGATCGAATGTTCAACAGGTATTAAAAAAGAAACTTCACTAATTGTTTTGAAACTAAGTTTTATTATAGCATGAAGGACGTCTGGAGAAACATCAACACAAACATGTCTGATTTCAAAGAACTGACTCCAGAGTTCTACGACCCTGAGCAGGAAGGCAGATTTTGCACAAATTTGTTTGGGATCAATTTTGGCCACAGGCATGACGGAAGAAAGGTTGGGGACGTCGAGCTTCCCCCTTGGGCATCAAATTGTAATTTACCAAAAATATATTCAATTTTCAAATTATTATTTAAATTTATTTTGACTCTTTTAGCAAAAGATTTTGTCGTCAAAATGCGTGAAGCTTTGGAGAGTGACATCGTGTCTTCCAATTTGAATCACTGGATAGATTTGATTTTCGGATACAAACAAATGGGAGAGGAGGCCGAAAAGGCGCACAATAGTAAGTTTCATTGTTTTGTTAAACTTTTTAACATAATTCCTACAAAATTAATAGTATTTTACCCCATGTGCTATGAGGGCAGCGTCGATTTGGATTCTGAAATGGATTTTGGCAAACGCCACGCTCTGGAGGTTCAAATAATGGAGTTCGGGCAAATACCAAAGCAGCTTTTCCAAGTTCCGCACCCGCCTAAGCTTCCCCTCAGCCCACAGTCACCGATACATTTGAATGATGTCACAGACAGTTTAATTACCTCCAAGGTTAATTAATCGCAGAATTTTATTCGCCTTTTAGGATCAAAATGAAAATTTCATTGCAGACTTTTTCCGAGGAAACAATTGTGTGTAAAGAACAAGAGGTGCAGAGAGCACACAGAGATTATGTTTCCGGCGTCACTTTTTCCAGCGATCGCCTTTACTCGGTAGGGCAGGATGGCACTTTGAAAATCTTCAAGTTGCCCGACTTGGCAGTGGAGCGAAGCGCCACCCTCTCATCTCTGCCCCTTTCTTGCTGCACCGTCCTTCCAGGCGCCACCACCGTCCTAGCAGGCTCCTGGGACAATAATTTGTAAGTCCGTCAAACAATAATTTTGATTGAAATACAAAATATTCTTTGCAGACACTCTTATGAGGTGGAGTTCGGGCGGAGGGTTGAGTTGCTGGCTGCCCACGAAGACGCGGTCACATGTCTCCAGTGGCGGCCTGGTCTGTTGGTTTCAGGTTCGTGGGATTGCTCGGTGCGTCTGTGGAGAGTCGAGGATGCAACTCTGGGCAAGCATCCAATCCGAGGACCTCAAGCCTATGTTGCCGAATTGCCACACGAAAATAAAATTAATTCCATTTGCGTTCAAAGGTAAATCGAGTGAAATAAAAATCCAAGTGAAATTTAATTAAATTCCTTAAATTTAGAGATTTCGTTTTGTCAGGATCATCCGGAGAAGTAATTCTGTGGGATCTGGAAACTCGCCAACAACTGAAAAACTTTCCATGTATGACTCATTTTACAAATTTCCATTGTCAAATATAGAAATAAAATTCGAATAGGCCACAACGATGATGTTGTCGGAGCCTTTTTGGACCCAGATTGCCGACAGGTGCTGACCTGCGGATCTGACAGTCAAATTCGCTTGTACGATCTTAATTCAGGTCTGCAGGTCTTTTGCAAAACAATAACTCAACAACCAACTCAGCTGGCCTGGAGGCAAAATCGCCTTCTCGTCGGCACCCTGGAAGGTCTGCTGCTTGCCTGGGATCTGAGGCAAGTGAGGCAAATTTCCCAGATCCAGGCGCACAAGGGTATTTTATTTTTGATTTAATTTTTGTTTGAAATTAAAAATCTTTTCTCAGGCGCCATTACTGCGGTCGGTCTTGACGAGGCTGCAAATTATGTTGCATCAGGAGGCACTGATAGAAGCGTTTCACTTTGGCGCTTTGCCGAGCTGTGATTTTGATCAAGATATTACTATATAAATAACTCCCAAAAGTAGCCAAATGATATGCTCAAAATTGTGATAAATTTGCACTCATGTTTTTATTAAACAAAAAATCAATTATTGTTTGCTCACCTCTCACTTGTTAAATAACAGCAACACATGCGGAAGATCAACAAGTATTTTTATGATCAGCAGAAATAAATTTGATTATCCAGCTGAAGCTGAAAGTATATTTTTGCTGACACTCCACTTTATGTAAGCCGACGCACTCTCAGCAGTTGCTTTTTGAATGTGCTAGTGCAACATGCAAGTGCGCGGATGGGACTTTTTGAGGGCCAACAAAAGGCCACTTATCTTCCTATTCTTACTCACAAAATTTATGTTCATTCTGTTTTGCGTTTTGTCTCTAAAGACTCTCGGTGAGTAGAGAACTTTCTTTTCAAGTCATTTTTCAAAAACCAAGGAAATTATACCAAAGACTCCATCAACCGCTTTGATTGGGACGCCACAAGAAGAATAGATTCAGAGCCGTCGGCTCTCAACAGGACGCCGAATCACCCGCTAATGCTGATTTACAACCGAATACCAAGAAGTGGAGGAACTACCTTAAAATCGCTACTTACAGAGTATATTCATAAAAAATTTCAATTCAATAAATAACCAAGAATATTTAGGCTGGGACACATCAGAGGATTCATTCACAGATCGTCAAAGGAACTTGATTACCGACAATTGACCTACGAGGAAGAAAAAATGTTTGTCCATGACCTCATGAGCGAGAAAAAACTCTTCTTCTTCCCATTTTCTTTTGATAGAACAATTTACTATATAAACTTTACAAGGTATATATGATTTTTTTTAAATTAATAAGAAAAATATGAAAATACAAAAACTTTTGAATTTTACATAGGTTCCGAGTCTACCGACCAGCGTACATCAATTTCCTCCGAGATCCGGCAGCAAGAGCAGCGTCCCTTTTCTATTCGCAACAAATGTCAAACCAATTGCTGGCCGACCCTGACAGTCGTGTCATGCTTAAGGACTCGGTGCAGGATGTTTTCGGAGAGTGCGTCTTGCACGGTCTTCCGGAGTGTAAATTTCAAGACGGCCAGTCTTACGAAACTGCTGTCGCTTACTTCTGTGGATCAGATCCTGAGTGCCTGTAAGTGGCTTCGTTTGAATATGATTTGAGAAGAAAATAAAAAATATACGTTTTTTAGGATATTGAACAGCAGAGCAGCTCTGCAAAGGGCAAAGAGGGTTTTGGAGACCGAGTACTCCGTTGTAGGAATTTTGGAGTTGATGAAAGAGTCGCTGAAAGTGATGGAAGCCTACGTGCCAAAATACCTCACAGGGATCTTGGCACTTTACAAACATCAAGGTACTCTAAAATAATTTATTTTCATAAAAATATTTTAATCTTATTTTTAATTTGAAAAAAAAATTATAACTATAATTTATTTATTTATTTATTGTATTAAAATTAAACAAGTTTTGGTCGGGAACATTATTTTTATCGGTACTTTATTCTACGAGCATTGCGCAAATAGATTGAAACTTTTGATTGTGAAATTTTCAGACGTGACAGAAAAAGTGAAAAAGTCCCTTCCTCATCCAGAGCCGTCACTCCGAGCCCTGAAAGTGCTGAAGCGCCAGTTCCGTTCGGACTATGAGCTTTACGAATTTGCCCTTCAAAGGTTGATGCTGCAGCTGAAATCTGTTCAGGGTAACTCCACCTTAAAGTAAACCATTTTCCATGCTATGGTTTAAATCTCTGTTTATTTGTTTCTTACACTCTACAAAGAGACGAGTTACAATAATTATTATTCTCATATATGTGATTCCCACAAAGAATATAATAATCATCATTATGTACAGTCAACTCAAAAAAAAATTCCTTTTTTAATACAAACATCTTCAAACAAGACTTTCAACATCAACTTTCAGCTCTTTTGGATTATTTTGTCAATTAAAATTTGCATGCTTTTGAGCATCAACAATTTTAATGAAGATTTGAAATAAATTAAATACATAATATTTTGAACGGTCCAACGCAATTTTCGAGCCTACTCGTTGTCAGAGAGCAAATAATTTTGTTTGATGTCGCCCTCTTTTGGCTCAAAATCTCTATCACGAGAGAATGATATATTGATGCTTTATTTTTTTCAATATATGTACAATTTTGTGTACAGTTATGCTTGTATATGGAGTTTGCCGCACACACAGTAAACCGTATCTCATATATATATATATTTTTTTTACTATTTACTTGACGTAGTTTATGCGTGTGTATTTTGATGTGGATTTGAAACGTGAAGTTTGCGTGTGTCTCTCACTGAAATAGTTTCAACACCACTGTTTTTATCACAATCATGACGTACACCGTGGATATATTTATCTAAATATACTCGCGCTCGCTTTCCTTGATCCCTTCTTCCTACAAAATTTTTTGTCATGTGTCAAACTCTCAAAGACTGAATTTTAAATAATGATCCAAATTTACGACTTTAATTTGAGTTTCTTTAGTGAATGTCGTCCGTTCCTTTCATGAAATTGTAGAAATGTGTTTAAAGCTTGGCAATGTTTGATCTTGTCCTACTAGACAGCAGTTTTAAGCGTAATAATCATAGAGAGGGATATTATTTGAATACTTTTTTGCTCAAGGAGATTTCTATCAACAATTTTTCATTCCTTATCGAGAACGAGAGGAGATGGAAAGGGTCAACATTTCAGGCAGGGTTGACACCGATTCACAGGTAGCACTGGCAAGAGAAGGGTTGAGAATATATTTCAACAACCGCGATTAAAATTTTGTGAAAAATTTACCATTATTGCCAACGTAGTATTTTGCCAGAGGAAACAGTCGCGTTAGTAATAATTATGTGATCCACCACTTAACACTGAAGGAATGGGTAATTATAATTTCAGCTAAGCCAGCCAGTTTGATGAGCCTGATTCAAAGCAAAAGAAAATTAGTTCCACTCACTTTCACACACGGCTATTTTTTTATTTTGTAAATATTTTCGACTATTTTCAAATCCACACAACCGTTTTGTGAATATATATTTGACAAGATGTGTGTGAGCCAAAAACTACTATTTTGGCTCGCCGCATCAGGGGTTTGATCCCTCGCTTGAAATGGCTTAATATTATATCAGAGAGGTGCAATTAATGCAGGTGAGCCGCAATCAATATCGAAATGCATCATTTTTGTGAACGAACTGAAAAATTTCAAAACAATTAAGTAGAGAAAAGCCAGCTTTTTCCATCATGACAATAAGTGAGTCTCTCATGGTCCCTTTCTTTAAAACACACTCTATAGTAGTAGTAAAATGCCAGAAGCTGAATTTGCAAGTGAAAATGTGTGCAAATCGATTTAGTAAATCCTACGTTAATTTGCAAGTGTAACGAGTTCCATTTGAGTGTTTGTTATTAATTTCTAATCGCTACGATAAATTCTTGGTGGACTTAAATTGTGCAGCAAACCAGCTGCCGCAGTAGTGAGATTTTTCAGAGAGATACAAAGTGCATTCCGAATACATTTTCAAGCGAATATTTATGTATATATTATATTTTTTACATATGAACATCGATAGTCTAGTTTTGTGCTGCTTACGGCTCTCTTGGTTTATCAAGTGGAAACGTGTGTGAGAGTTTTAGCAAAATAAGCGAGAGGATTTAATTTATTACGCATTTATTTCATGCTTATTTTCATGAATTCACGCAACACTTTTAAAATTAAACGCGCGCTCGCAAAACCACCCACCAAAATTATTGGTGAATCGCTTTCGTACATATTTTTTTTTTGTATTATATACCCGCAACATCCAAGTATGTGTCACTAAAATTAAAATTATACAGAGAACACAATAAATTACCAAATCAACACACGCAGATAAAGAGAGAAAAGTGAGTGTCTTTCCTTCTGGTTGTGTATTTTATTTTTATTTTTTAACCATTAAAATTTGCACGCCCTGAACAGTCACGCAGCTCTCGAATGAACCAGACTTTCTTCTTCACACACTGTACAAAACGAGAACCACAGCAACAGAAGGAGAGAGATTGAAGTACAAACGAGGCATATCAGTCTCATATGCAAATTCCATTCGCCACTCGGCGCCGACCCACCAACCCCATCAATGACAAAACACCAAAAATAATAATAAGAAGCAACTTTCCGTGATCAATTTTCCAATGAACTTTTGTAAGATATATGTAAAGTAGATCACAATCGTTTTGTTATTTCTATAGATTTTAGTTTACAAATAAATTACGCTCCGGGTCGCTTTTGGAACATTGCCCTCTGGCCGAATGGAATTGATACTTTTTATAAATATATAAGCTTGTCGTTTGTTAAGTAGAGTTTTTTTAATATTAATAAATACGGCGGAGATAGAATTGAAAGGGTGCAGTAGTTTCAAAGGGTGCATGCAGTGCTTCCAGACATCGAGTGTTTATTGCCCGAGTCACGATCGTCAACATTTTAAATACACGAGTTCTTTCTTTTACGTTTTCAACAGAAACATTTTCTTGTTTGGCGAAAAACCAGAGCACACACGTTCAGCGTTCACTTATTGGTGTTTGATGAAGAAGCCTCGACTCGTACAAAACCTTTGGCGCCAAATCGAAACGCCATTTGTCAGAGAAAAAAAACAAACGGTTTTGGTCACACTGCTCATTATTTTTACTCCTCGTTTTGAACTTCAGGGCACTCGGTGGGCTCTTTGACCTCAGCCGCCGCAGCCGCCGCCTCCTCTTCCAATTTTTTCTGAAGCGCTCTTGCGTCTGCGTCTGAAGAAAAAAAAGCAAATAAGTTAAATAATTAAAAATCATCTAAATTAACAAGTTTTTTCGTATGGCAATTTTCTAAACGGAAAAATGTTTTCCTCAAAAATAGGCTAAACCAACATTGATAAAAATTCCACCAAACCACGTTCACATCGCTCCAATTAAGATGGGAAATTAAAGTCTACATAAAAAATTGATCTTAAGGGAAATGATTGAGAAGTTTAAAAAGACACAAGATTAAATTTGATTTGAATTTTGATACCTTTCACTGCTTGGTCCTTCCAAGACCTTTTGTTTTCACTGAGGCAAGAAACCCACGGTTTTTTAAGAACAAAAGGTGCTGGCGACTGTGCTGTTGAACTTGCACTGCTGTTTTCTTCGCCTGAAAAATTCACATAAAGTAATAATGTAAAAAGCAGTTGCATTTTTTAGTCTTTATTAAAATTCTAGTTAAAAAAATAATATCTCTTAATTAGAATAGTCTAAACGATTCTTTTCAACAATAGACACAAATTTATTCATTTGTTAGGAGTTTTAAACACCACATTTTTTGTGTAAAGACTTGATTTGACTATTGCAATAAAACGAGTTCTTTAAAATAAGGAGGCTGAGATAAAATGTCTTAAAATTCGATTGAATGTTTTCCTTGAAATTTGATTTCAATTATGGACAAATTGGAATCGTACCTTCTTCAATTATGCTTGTGGTGCTGGGTTGCGTGGAGCCGGCGGAGGAGGCGTTGAGCGGCGCCAAAATGTAGTCGAGCATGTCGCTACACACGCCCATGCTGGGTTCGACAATGAACTCGATGAAGCCTGCCAAGTCGGGGAATTTCAAAAGCGAAAACAAAGGGACAAGAGAAAGTTGTATACCGATTTGGCTCTCGGCGACGAGGGTGTTGTTGCGGTCGCACAACGGGCTGAAAGGCAGACCCAGTTCCGACTCTTTGTCGCCCTGCAGGAAGAACTCTTCGAGCAGCAGCGAAGTCCATTGGTGATGCTCGGTCCACCGCTTGGCAGGGTGAGAAATGTCGCAGCAATGCAGCACCAACGACAACGCTTTCGACTTGTCTATACTGTAATTTCAAAATAAACATTTCGCCCAATTTAATATTTTATAATAAGAATAAATTCGTAAAGAAAAGGGTGATTTTTAATCAATAGATCTCAAATTATAGTTTTATTTTCAATCAGAATAAAGATCAAAATTTCAATTTTCTGGCTTTGAAATATTGTTTTAAAGCTGAAAAGCGTTATTTAAAGTCAATCTAAGCCCATGTCATGTAAATTTGGGCACGAAAGGGGCACGTGAAAGTCTTTTGACACTGATCGAACAATGCATAATTTACCTGGGCTCTGCTAAAGTGAGCAGGTTGCGCATGTTTTTGAGCTGTTGGAAGTGGAAACTCATGTCTGTGGCGAGCACCATGTCAATCACCAGAGTTCTGAACTCGCGATACTCTTCGCGAGACAAGTGGGACAGAATGTTGTTCTCTTCCTCCTTCAATATTCTGCAACGAAACTTGAGCTTAACTTAAATGAAGCATAAATAAATAAAAAATTCAAACAAAAGACGAGAAAAGAATTCATTAAAATGCGCGAGTTTAATCACTCTCGTTGCTTTAAAAATTAAACTTTGATTTTGACAATCTTGGAAGCGTAAACGCCTGCGAAAATCCAACGTATGCAACCGCACGGTCAGAGACGCTCAACGGGTTGCATACGCACTGACCTGAAGGTGGCGCTGGCGTGATGGTTCTCGAGGACGGCGCGGTCGTTGTAGAGCAGGGCCGTGTCCGACTGGGCCATCACGTGGAAGTTGTTGGTGGTGCCGGTGTGCTCGAGGTCGTGCACCACGGCCGCCACCAGTGTCGCGAAAATCTCCAAGTCCGACAGCCAATTCTGAAATCAAAACACATTTAATTTGCAAAAAAGAAAAACTCTGGAGGTAGATTTGTTTAAACCAAAATTTTGAAGCTTCATTTAATTTAAATATTTTTAATCATTTAAAAAGGCACTTGAATAATTCATTAACCAGATTAATTAATATGGATCATGTTAATTAGTACTTAAAAAATGGTACAATTATCCTGTTGCATGTTTCACATGACGGAGATATGGATCATGTCATGTCTATAATTATCAATTAATCTTAAAAGCATTTTGCAATTAACTCATTAATTAAAAATGAAAGTTATCAAGTAAAAAAAAAAAAGATGAAACATTTTGATGTGTATAAAAATAAGTGATTCGAAACAACAATAAAATTATATTTGTAAGCAAATAGCAAATTTTCTCAGAGTGAAGTATTTCCTTTAATTGTTGAGTCTAAAATTTCGCATTAGAGGGAAATAAAATCTTACACAGGAAGCAATAATCAACAACAAAGCCGTAAACAACTTTATCCATTTGCCCATGCACTTTAGGCGTGCGTGGCTCTTTTCAAGCAAACGGGGAAATTTCATTTGACGTGGCTGCGCGCACAAGCCGCGAGATCGGAGCAAACGTTGACTGACTTGCTCCGAATTTTCGCAAAGCCCAGGGCGTTGATCAAACTTTGCTCTCGACGCGACTCACCATCAGTCCTGTTTGGCAGAGCATGTAATGTACAGTTTGTGCTACGTCAGCTGCATGCAAGTTATTGTGGTACGGGTTCTTGTATTTACAGTAGCCTTCCTCCACCCGGCACAGGAAGTTCTCTAGAGTTTGTGGCTGCACCTAAAAGAGAGAGAAAAAATTAATAATAATTCAAATCGAAAAAGTTGCTGACAGAATTGCTTTCAATTTTCAATCAAAAATGTTTTGCCACAAATATAATCAATCAAATGTTTTTTCTTCTAAATTTCACCTTGAATTTGTGGATAATTCCGTAGCGGTTGAGCAGGTCGTAGCCCAGGTACTTGACAGGTTGGCCGTTGGCTGCCTCGCTCAGGGCGAAAACGTCAAACGTCCAGTCGTCCAGCGTCTGCAAATGCACATTCCGCTTTCAAATTCAAATTCTAAACGATTATTTGTTATTCTGGCGACAAATCTAATTTCGTGAGGCGGCTAAAATTTTTGAATTGAGACTGCGTGCTCTTTTTTTCGCTATTCCTGATTTGACGTTATAAATAAAAAGTAAATTAATGTGCTCGCTACTGGGAACGTTCAAATTGCAATCTGAACTTTCCTATTTTATTTCTGAATTCGAAAAGGGTGACTGGTTTATTTTAATTTTAGCTGCGGACAGTGAGGTTTACTCTTTCTGCTACATTTCTCTAGCCACACTATAAGAATAGTTTCAATCTTAAAACTATATTTGTGCTTTTGACGAGATTGCAATAAACGTGAAAAGAACGACGGCTTACAAGAGAACAACTGAAAAATCTTCATAGAAACGTGAAAATCAATAATTATATGTTGCATGTTAGTCTGTTTTTTTATTTGACAGAAATTTAGTCACCAAAATAGTCAGTATTTGACGAATTTCTTATTGAGATTTTTAAAATATTATTCGAGCCGACTTCATCGAGTTTTCATCAAGAAATCTGAGCTTTAAAGAAAAAAAAAACAATTTATCATGAAGTTTTCAACATTTTTGAATAATTTTCTAGCCATAATTATTTCAAATTTTGTGAATCTGAATCTATGAAATATATGATAGCAAGGAAACGATTACTTGAGACTTTAAATTTTTGTGATCAGCTTGTTTAACTTTCTGATAGTGCAATTGGACTTTTTTTCAAGTAACTGTTTTGTTTCATGCTTAGGAGCAATATATTGTTTAAAAATTAAATGTGAAATATTCAGTATTTTTTGCCACTATTTTAACTACCTTTATTTAATGTTTTTAAAAATTTTAATATATTTTGTTTTTGCATTACAAATTATAGCAAATTATAACATTACGAGGCTTTTTCTTAATAATGAAATTCTTAGCAAAAAATAAAAAAGTAAAAAAAAAATGATTAAATAAAATGTATCACTTTTTCAATAATTTTTGTTGCGAAAAGTTGTCAAAATCATTGTTATTCTTGTTTGAAAGTGTTTGTAAAGCCAACTTCAAGAGCCTAATTATCTGCGACAAAACAAAAACACTTGAAATAATTATTATTTCATCTTTTCTGCATTTATTAATTTTTAAAATTAAATTGTTACACTAGATATGCTAATTTAGACAATTATAATGGAAAGTATGTTTGAAAAATGAAAATTTTCCGTGTTTTCTTGCAAGTTTTGCTCACTAGAAATGCACGTCATTTTGTGGTGCGTTTTAAATCAGCAGCAGCAGCAGCAGAGACAAACAAATATAGAGAAAAAACAATTGTTATACTTCCCGTCTAGGATCAAAGAGAAAGTCGTAGAATGAGAAGAAATAAATATATGAAGAGTGGTGAATTGAAGAGAGAGAGAGTGACTGACCTTGAGTGCCCTGGCGACCTCGGGCGGGAACTGCATGAGCGGCGCCGAGGACATGCGTCGGTAGATGCGGTCGACGAAGATGCCGGCGCGGATGGCGTGCGCCACCGAGCGGAACTTGGGCTTCTCGTCGGCGCGGCGCCGCTGCGACGCCAGCTGCCTCGTGAACGTGGACGCGAGCCACTCGCGCACCTCGTGCGGCACCGCGTCCGGCTGCACCTCGCTCAGCTCGTCGTCCTCGTCCGCCAGCCGCCTGCGGGACACACGCGCCCCATCAGTCAAAAATCAAACCAACATGAAATTCGGACGCGCTGCTTTTGTGCTCGAAAAACACGGCGGCTCCTCGACTCAGCGTGTGTAATCGTGGGGGTTTGTTCGGGGCTTGTTTCGCTAACAGGAGCAGGTGAATTTGGTTTTAAAAAAAACGTGTGTTTCGTGTGGGGGTGCGTTTTTAACAAAGGGAAATAATAATTCTTGCGAGTCTTTGCTATTGTGGAAAGTTGGACATGAATGGGATAATTTTATACTTTTTATTTATTGTTCGTTCTGCTTGCTTTTGAGGTACGTTTCAGAAAAGTAGTTGATTAGTCTATTTATATGATTTGAATTATTGACAAAAAAAAATCACATTCGACTAGGCTTGGAACAATAACAAAAATTAGGGCATCTTCTAATTTATCTATTCTCTAGAGTTGGTCTATTTCCATTCAGATTTGAGTAAAGCTGTTTTGCCGGCATAAAAATTACCCTAAACGTTAAAATTAACTCTTAAAAATGTTGAAAATCCAGCCTATTTAATGATATTCATTATAATTATGGTATTCAAGAAGAGTACAACGATCTAAATCAAACTTTGACAAATAATTTTTTTTTTAAATCATTAAACGTTTGCAATTAAGCTATGAACCTCAAATGTAAAAAAATGGTTTTAAATAACAATTTTAAGCGTTTTCTTAATCATTAATAAAAGAAAAATTCTTGAAGTTTGCGAAATAACAAGAAGCAATTAAAATTATCAAATATTTAAATTTGTAATTTAAATAAATTATTTTATTTTTAAATAATCAAAAGTTTTATATTAGAGGCAGATGATAGGGGTATTGAGAGTTATAATAATTTATAGTTCTGTCATGTAATAAAATTTAAAGCTGTATTAAATTTTATTTGTTATATTTCAAATACCAATTATATTATTAAATAAAAATTGAAACAATTTAGAAAACTTTAATAATTATTTTAACTTTTAATATAGATAATATATCGCGTAAAAACTTCATGAATCCTGTAAAGTTTCTAAAAATTAGTGAAAATTTCGACCTGTGTGAAAATTGCCAAGCCTAATCGTGCACACAAATAAGTAGTGTTGCTTCTGCGTAGGCGTCTCTCTGTATGCGGCGTGCGCTTATCAAATGAATGGGCCGTTTTCGTTTTTACAACTGCGAGCTGTTCTCATTGAGTGTGCCAGAAGTCGGGCCATTCATCACGCCGTGATTAATGGTGGGCTCGGGACAGGGGCGCGTCTGCCGTCATCAAACAATCATCGAAAAATGCTAAATTCGTATTTTTATTGTTACAATTATCCGTTGAATTCCGTTGAGTTCAAAATTTTAATTTGAAGTGAAAAGTAAACAGAGGGAATTTTAATTTTGGGCCAAACGCGCCCCTGACGTGAATGCAAAGAGTGAGAGTTGCTGGGGTCGATACTGCTCGCGCGGTGATAGCACACAAGCATGGTTTTATCATTATTATTATTGTGTGGTATCTGGCGGTGCCACGTGGCTCACAAAAGCAAGCGAAACACACGGCACGCTTCGTTCAAACAATTTATCAAGCAACTGCTTCTTTTCAAAAGGGCCCTCGATGCGAATGTGGGCCGTTGGCCTCTGCTCGACTGTGGAAATTCCAATCAAGCGCTCAATTAAATCAGCACAGTGAAAATGGAACGTCGGAGAATATTTTAATTATTCAAAAAATGCAGTAATTTTCAAAACTAGCAGGAAATGTGGAAATAACAATTTTGATTCAACGACAACTGGGAAAAAGTTATTGTTTTAGAAATTTCTCTGAGGATAATTTGATGTGGTAACAAAGTGTCAAAAGGAATAAATCTGACTGAGAAAATGATTTAAACTTTTAAATTCAATGCAAAGTTTTGATGTAAGCTGGGATAAATCTTATTAAAATTTACAAACTTTTAAAGATTATTATAAAACTTCGTCCCTTTTGTAAATTTCCAATCATATTTCCAATGCTCCGTTTTAACGAGTTTTCTTTCATTAAGTCGCACAGATGCATTTAAAAGGCAGATTAATCAATGCCTAGACAACTTTATTTTCCTGTTCGCAATGGGAAAGTAGTTTTGCAAAGCGCATCCATCATCCAGGCTAGTTATACGGCGGCGCGCGCTGACCCAATTCCCAACAATTGCATTTTCCGAGTGGGTGACGCCGATGCTAATTTTCATCGTGCATCAGTTTCACGTGCCGATCTCAAAGGAGTGATAAAATTTTGTATGAAGTGAAGGTGTAAATGTAGAGGAGGCAGTGTGTCTATGTAATTAATAATTGCTCCACTCTAGAATGGGCAAAAAATGAGACGGATGCCTTGGGAAAGCAGAATTTTTGGTTAGTAATTGGCCTAAATTATGCATCAAGAGGCGCCAAATTACAAAAGGCAAGCGCAGAACTTCAAGCAGCGGTTTAATAATAAATTCAGCAGATCAAAAAGAGAGAGATAAAAAAAAACACTACCTGCGAGTCTGGAATTATTAGAAGGAATTAATCGTGCTTCTTTAGAGGGAAACTGGAAAATCGATGCAGCTTTGGCCGATCCAATTTTGCCAGCTCTCGGAGCAAGGTGATTATTTAATTTCTTTTTAATCAATGCGGTCGCTTTTTTAATTAAATATTATCAATGGAAGAGAGTGTATATTTTACATGAACAAACAGACTTGGTGAGATGAAATTAAAAGCTGGTGGCGGAAAATGATATCAGCGCCGGTGCAGGGCTTGCTCGTGACTCGTCTTCAGACACGTTAAAAAGCCAATCAATTACGCTGCCTGGAATGAGCACCTGCGAATCGGCCCTCGGGGAAATAAATGCGGATTAATTTTACATCCATCGCGCCAGACTCGGCCGATATCCGACTTTGTGTTGCCTCGGCACGGAAGAAGCAAATTGCCTACGGACGGAGCAACAGACGAGGGCACTTTTATATCTGCGCTCATCATGCGATGCGACGGACGCAATCATGGGGAAAACGATATAAATAAAGGCAAATCGATTTAAAAACTAGCGTAAAAAGCTAAATCAAGCATAACTTTTTGAAATTCTTGCAATTAAAATGTAATTTTTTCAATAGATGATAATTATAATGATTTATTTATAAATATTATATAAGATTTTAACATTTTATTATTTTTAAATTAATGCGCGCATGATTCAATTAAAATGATTTGAATTATTAACAAGACGTTAAATTACCTAAAATAAATTAAGTGAATCTACATTTAAGGCGGCAACAGTAATTTTGCGCAGAAAGATCTACATGACTTTTTGTGTGAATTAATTAAAGTATTATAATCTAAATTAGATCCTCTATTAATACAAACATTAACTAATATACTTATATTTGCGGAATTCTCAGATTTTGTGGCTTTTGCACCCAACGTCACAAAAGAAATTGAAGCAATTTGAAAACGGAACACAAATTTTCAAGCGATTTTCCGAGTCACGAGCGAGTACTGCACAGCTCGACATTGATTCACCTCACAGGGACGGAGATCACGGACGTTAATTACGCTGACAAGTGCATTGTTTCAACAACTAGCTGTCACGCCTAATCAGATCGGCACTGTTTGCCTTGCAAGTGCACAAGACGAGGAAGTGGAACCACAGGTGCGAGTGCAGCTGCAGCACAGTCCGGGCAAACATGGCGCAAACAAATGTGGTGATGAAGTTTAAAGCGGATTAGTCCAGGAAGCAAAGGTTTCAACCTCGACAAAATTCATGCCAGTTTGAAATTTTCACCATCTATTGAGACAAATTTGCTGAGATTTTCCCTATCACTACCTTTTGACCTCAAAAAGTTCTTTTCAAAGGTGGCGTATATATTTAATTTTATGTAGTAATTTTTCTATTTCACGTACAATCAATAGCAAGTTTAAATAGCCTTCAAAAGGTCAAGCTTCCTCGAATCAGACAATTTTTGAGGGCAAAAATTTCATTTGTTTGAACATAGGTCAATACTTTGTTCATTAGATTTTAGCTTTGGCTCTTCCGGAAAAAAATTTAGGGGAAAATATAAAATGTTTCATACAAAACTCGTAGAGAATTTAATTTTGAATTCTTTTTGTGTTTAAAATTATCATCTAAATCCAAAGCGTCAAAATTTATAAAAGCGGAAATGTTGAAAAATGAGGATTTTTGTCCAATTTTTACTTTATAAAGATCAAACATTGACCTACAAAATCAAGGATGAATCGTGCCAATTTATAGACATTTCCTCTCAATCGTTAAAATCTTATTGTTAGCAACAATAATGGAAATGTAGATTTTCGATATTATAAATTCAGTCAAATAGGAAATCTCAGAAAATGTGTCTCGATGCACCTGTTACAGATATGGTGAAAATTTCAAGCTGGAATGACTTTTTCCTAGTTACTTGGGGCAAAATACTTTTAATTCTTGGACTAGATACCACATTAATTATTGCAAAATAATTAATTAATTATTTCAATTTGTAGCCACAAAGTTGAGAGATAATTATTGTTCTTTTATTATTTTTAAAAGTAAATTCAGATTGGATTAAAATTTGAAATGCTGTATGAATATAAAATAATTACAGGAAAAGGTGAAAATTTAAAATTTATTTACAAAAATTGCGGAATAATTTTGGTTAATTTTGTTGCCACGTTTGCCCGGCTAATTGAATGTGTGTCACTAGCACGCACACAATATTTATGAATATATAAAAGCAAAGAACAATGAATGGAAAGACTCGTGTGTGAGAGAAAAAGGTGCTTGTTTTTTTGCGGAGAAAGGTGGTGAGGGGGGGGGTGGTGGGGGGTGCAGTTAGCCGAGGGGAAGTTGTTTTTGCGGATGAACCTGGCCCACACGGGAGCTCGGAGGCGCCTCCGTCGCAGACCCCCCTGCGGGGTGCTGACTTGTGCGGGTGCGGCGGCGGGGTGGCGGTGGTCCAGCGGCGCCGGCGGCGACGACTGCTGCCTCAGGAGGGCCCGCCCTGTGCGTTTGCCGCCCTCGTCCTCGCCCGTCCTGCCAGGGCAGCCACCTGTCTCCGCCCTGTGTGCATAGCGCAGCTGCTGCTATTTGCCTGCCGCCAACCAGTGTGTGCAAGCCAAAATAAATTGATAACAAAAAAAGAAAAAAACTAGTCGCATGCGGGGCCGAAAAAATTGTGCGGACGCGAACGAACACTGCCCGCAGAGCTAGTCACGATCATTGGTCAACCTTCTTCGAGAGAAATTCATTCAAATCATCCGAGAAGTTGGAAATTGTCAAATAAAAATGTTAATTTATGAATTTTGTCGTGTCGATAAAAAAAAGAGAGACTTTATTTTAAACAAATTACAGCAAAAACTCTAAATTAAATTAATTACAATTTATAATTACTCCTCTTTCTCTTTTTTAGAAAAGTATTTCAATTTTTTAAGCATCTAGTTATTAGCAAATGAAATTGTTCTTTTCTAGGAAGAAAAGAAATGCTTTTTGATATCACCAGTCACGTCCCCTGAGGCGGGCACGCAGGAAAATATCACTTTTCCACTCAAAGGCTGCCGTTTCGGTCACGGAAATTCAACTTATAAGTCAATTTTTCAAAAGAGCCGCTTTCTCGTGACGCAGTTCTGGGACCTTGCGTGGCCGAGTCGGCAGGAGGGATCGTTTTTATGCGTTTAGTCGAGTTTCCGCAAGGGATTAATCTTGTTGGGAAATTTCCCATTAAGTTAGATTTGAGCCAAGCTGCGCTGTGCACAAATGGCAAAACGTTTCACGCTCTGCCGCTGTGAATTTGAGAAATGACTGCTGGCCCGAGCTTTCCTCACAAGCAAAACTTTATAAATAGAAAACTAAACAAATTTGATAAATATAGTTAAAACTAAAATAACAAAAAAGTTATTAAAAGCAAATATAATTGTATTAAATTTCCAATAGTAGAGAAGAAAAAACATTTTTATTTGATTTTTTTACGCTGCCGAGTTTTTGCTGAAGCACAACAAACTGCAAGACACTTTGATCCCAGCAGATTCGAGCCCAACTTTTCGCAAACACCGTGAACGTTGACCAACCATCACCGCAGGGAGATTATTATAAATCTCCGAGTTTGTCGCTTGCGGGCCCCAGCTCTGGGGAGTGTTGCTTGAGGTTTTCCTTCGTTCGGCGTCGTGGAGAACTTTCGACACCAGCCCAACGTTGTCATTCCGATCTCAGATTTTTCTTAGTCTCTCTGCCAAAATTAAAGGCTCTCTTAACCTTGAATTCATAGATTCATTTTTATGAAGTTGGACAAAATTAACTCTAAAAAATATAAATTATGAAAAATATTTGAATTGATGATTCAATTTTGAATTATTCTCGAAAAAAAGTGAACAAACTTTGTCGATTCATTGTGGTAAAATTGGTTTGTTTCTTTTTTTTAACAATTTTAACGTTCTTTTACGTTTTAGCAGAATTCAAAATGGTAAATTCTTGACTATTTAGCATCAGAAATGGAGTTTGAAATCAAATTTCCAGTTCTTAAACTAAAAACTTAAAGTAACTTGCTCAAATATATATACATTATTTTTTCTAAGAACTAAATCACTATTTTTGCTGTAGCTCACAAACAATTAAAAATTAATTAAAAATCAGCAACTTTTGAGAACCTTTAACATTGTTGAGCTCAAAATTAAGTGCAAAGCGAATCTCTCTGTTCATCAAAAGCGAGATAATATTCCATTGTAAATCCGACATGAGCTGGAAATTGGCGGTGATGGCCCTGAGGGATGGTTTGGGCGCCCTTTGTGCTCTCCACGGCGCCGACATCAAAAGGAGCAGAGAAAGGGAGCAGGTTGAATAATCACCGAGTTCGGCAGGGCCAAAAGTGGCCTTATTTCTAAACCAAACACTGACCATACCACTACATTACCAACAGAGCGGCGGGTCGAGTAATTAATGCATCGCCCTATTTTAACTCTGCGTTTACCCAGAGAGAGACCAAAAAACTCACACACACACGCACAGCGAAAGGAGGAGAACAAAATAAGGATCAACATTTATATAGAAGCGAACACAAACAAACAACGAAATGAGATATAATTGCGCGTCGGCTTCACGGTACTAATTGGCCTCCCTTATAATGCAAACAAATTGCATTCTCAGCGCCAAATTGAATATGTACTTTAATTGCCACAGTCGCGAAAGTGGTTATCCGCGTGACCTTTGGCCCTTTCCGGTGCAAAGCTAATTAAGCCGAGAGAGAGATTCAATTCCGTATGAAAACCAATTAGCTTTTGCATGAGTTTAATCTGCTCGGGCGCTCGCGAGATATGGAAATTCAAAACTCTGCACGAGTTCAAATATAGAGAAGCTTTTCATTTGAATTACAAATTTGCTCGAGAAGTGCAAGAGAGAAAATTGGAAGACCGAAGAAGTTTGACTTTCGTAATAAACGCGTTAGCGTGCAAAACTGAAAAACGCGAGATGAAAATTTATTCAAAAGTGGCAGAATGGAAATTAAAAAACGGTACAAATATAGAGTAAGATAAGGAGATCAGCAGTGAGGGCGATTCATTCATTTAATTAGAAGGTTTTTCGCAACCCTATGAATAATTCAATTATAAGATGGTTGTGATTTTACATTTGAACTTTCGCATTCAAATTATTAAAAAATAATTTACTTTAAAAAGCAAACAAAACAATTCATTTGAAATAAAAGTCCTGTCACTGCATTTATTTTTTAATCTGTCACTGTAATTAATTTGAATCACCCTTGCTGCTGCTGTTTATAATTGTTTTTTTTTCTGTTGCAGGACAAACAAACGCAAGCAAAACACCGCAGCTTTTAATCATCAACAGTGTTTCAAATTTTATGGTAAACTCATTCACGTCGGCAAACAAACGAAATTAAACGCAGCTGCTGAAATGAAATATAAATTCGAGTGCACAAGACTGAATTCGCAGCGAAAAGCAAAATGATAGCGATGATTTGCGGGGCGCTGTGTTTTTTTTCCATGAGTGAAAAAGGGTCTCGCCACTTACCACTGCTTAATTCAACCACCTCGCTTTTAGTTCTAAAACTGCAAAGTCAGCACAACATGTAAACAAACCAACTCGCTCATCCGCAAGACCTACTGGTTTTCTTTGCCACTACCAAATTAATTATTAATTTGCACTAAATTCGCGCGCAGCAGTCAGTCTCACTCTCTCTACGCACAAAATAGGAAGAGAATGCGATACTCACTTTGTCTCGTCGATATAGACGGCTTCCAATACGCGCGCGGCGTATTGCAAGTTGCGTCTGAGCAGGTCGACAGGCACCTCGCCGCGGTGCAGCTGCTTCAGCAGGCACCGCAGTCTGCAAACCACAGAGCAAAAATAAAAAAATGCAATTACTCCGATTGCTTGTGGGAATTGATCGATCGAGGCCTTTTTGATGGAAAAAACGCGTTATTTTTGGCGGCGAAATCGTTCACAAGGGAGCGGAAAAATCTCAAATGTATAACGACAGCCAATTTTGAAGCTTGATTTTTTTAACTTGAATATAACAAAAAGCACGGAAATTTGTTCTCAATAATTACTTCCAACTTATTTATTTTCTGCGCTCTCTGATTAAATTTATCAAAATTTTCTTTCCATATTTCGAATTACTTTTTTATTTTGATTAATTTTCTGCTCAATTCGATGAGAGTTTTGTAATTACATTTTTTTATGCTTACTATTTTTAATAAAAAAGCACCAATCTATTATTGTTGAAATCTGCTTTATTTTAAATAAAAATTAAATAATACTACCATTTTCAAATCAACTGTTTTGACTGTGGTTTGAATTATTTGAACTAAAAGGAATTGTTATTTTTCAATGAAACATAATTATATACATTTTAAGAGTAATTTAAAAAAATATTTTAATTAAAGTAAACATGAAAAATATATTCTAGATCTTCTAAATTTAAGATATTAAATAAAATTTAATAATTTCAAATTTATACTAGATTAAATTTATAGAAATAATTACCTGAGGGCAGCCTTGTCGCAGGCGTCGGGCGTATCCACGGAAGGTAAATTGTCGGCGGCGAGGTCGACCGCCTCCAGGGCGGCCTCCTCGTGAATGCCAGGGCTGTCGGGGGCGGTAAAAGGGGGTGGCGTGGTGGAAACGGGAGGCGGCGAACTTACGGAGGCCTGGTGGCGCGGCGCTTTTCCGCTGCTCCGTCGCACGATCGTCAGCGAGCCTTGCTCTGAAACAGACAAAGTCATTCGTTTTTAATTAAAAAAGGCTCTCAAAAGATGAAGCAAAAAAAAATTGTGAAAATAATCCTGGCTTTTCCATTTATCGATTCTATTCTGACTGAAATTTAACAATTGAAGGTAAAATCAGGAAATGAGTAAATTGGAAAATTAAATTAATCAATAAACTTTTATTAATTTATTGGAGCTTTTATTTCAAATGTTCACAGCATTGCCAGTCATACCTGCATCAATTTTGTAAATTTTTGAAAAATTACAGTGTTAATGTTATAATTTTTTTGCTATTTAATTATTTGAATTTTGAAAATTACCGTCAATAACATTTGAATTCAGGGCAATGTCACTTTACCGAGTTCAGACAAATGGTATTGTTGAAAAAATGCTCACGCTCCATTTTTATTTTCCTTTTTCCACGTTTCAAATTAAGATAAGCAACTGCAGCTGCTGGTAAACAGTACGTGTCTGTCAAAAGGCGAAATGGCTGAAAAAAGGCAGCGGAAAAGTCGTAAATCAAAGCGAACGTCGCATTTTTGCCTCTCATACACATTCGCACTCTCGGCCTTTTCAATGCGGACCTTTTTCTTTTCCTTCTTTTGCCAAAATTGATCTCGATTGATTTTCCTGGAAGGTCCATTAAGTTAATTGCAAGCATTTTTCCACGTCATTTTCGGAATGCGCGCAATATTGATGCGGCGGTGAAACTATTTTCAATTATCGCGCCATCGCTGAAGCAAAAAAATTCCTCACTATTTTTTCAATATAAAATAATTGCCCTCAGAGGATCGAACGATTCCGGCTACAATTTGCTGATCCAAAATAAACTGTTAATAATTTTATCACAGAGTTATTTTGGTCGTTTGGGGAGTCGCGATTTGGCCGAAAATAAAATTAAAATGAGCCAATTCCAACAAGTCACGCTCAGCCTGGGCTTCACTTTAACTGATGAATTATTCAAATTCGTGCGGCGGATCAACATCAATCTTCCGCGGCGCACGGATTTGTTGCGTAATCTGCATTTTGAAAAACGGTTTCTTTTAGCGAAAGCTGCGTGCGACAGGAAATGAATACTAAACAGAGAGATTTAGTAGTTTCAACGTTAATTTGAAATTTTGCCTTGGAAAAATCTAACCAAAAACAAATTTTTATCTTATCTTTTAGTCAAATATTTTGAATCGCAAAATTTGTGAATAATGTATGAAATTATTCAACATAACACAATTAAATGTTTAAATTATTCTTCTGCAATATTTTTAAAAAGTCCTGCCAGTTGAAGCAGTTTAATAATTTAAAAAAATTTGGAAATCTGGTTATAAGATTCATATAACTTTTTAAAATTAAAAGAAATGTGCCTTTTCCCAATTAATTTATCCTTATTTCGCTAAATGGTACCATCAATTTCATAATTGCTAGTTCATTGAGTTTGAAATTTGTTTCTCTTTCTTTGTTAATTTATTAAAATGGAGCAAATTAATCGTTCCGATCAAATTCATTTTCGGTTAAATGGTTTGAAAGCGCTGCAAAGGGACTACAAAAAGAGATAAATTTTGACGCAGAAATCCAATATTTGCCCCACGCGAGAGAGCGAATATTTGAACAATGGAGCGATTATTCTGCTCATGTACTTGCAAAGCTCAATTTGGATTCAAATTACGTGCCACATTCAAATGTGCTAATTCGACGTGCGTCGAATTTCATCTGTCAATCGGCGATTTGCAAATTAAAACGAAATTAAATTGCAGAGGGGAAAAAGGTCCTTAATTGGTTCCATTCAGGAGACGAAAAAAAACTCGCTTCAAAGGACAACTTTCTTGCAATTTGAGCTCCATTCATGGTGTGTTTTGAGAGCTGAAGACTCAATTAAACTGGCGAGAGATTGTTTGTTGATTGGGAACGCGGCGACTCAGCACTTTGATTTCGCAGCTTCATCAGCGTGTTTACCTGTACAGAGCTTATTATTTTATGCGCACACACACGAGCCATTGATCGACGAACACAGGCGCAATCTATTTCACGGCCTGTTTGACCTGCCAATAATTGGATGCTGGGTGCATTGTTGCGAGAGAGAAACTCGGTCAGCCGCAGGGAATTGATAAAACTACATGGAAACGGAGCCGCCTTCATCAATTGGGCTAATTATTTAGTTAGGAATTTAAATTCGATTCCTTGCAAAATTGGCATTTTAATTCGCCGAACTATTAATTCAATTGAATTTGCTTCAGGATGTCATTTATCAAGCTGAAATTTGACTTCCTTCCCTAAATTTTCATATTTTCCTCTGTAAATTTCCAAATTGATTATAAAAATCCCTTTTTTTTGTAACAAAAAATATTAAGATTTGAACACGTTCTTTAGATATTATTGTCAAGAATTCATAACTTTAAAATACAATTCTGTTTTAGAAATAATAATAGTTTTGACTGAAAATAACTTTTTTTAAATCAAATTGAGACATTCTAAATATAATTATAATTGTCAAACTCATATTAAATTTACTCTTATTTTAAAAGAAAATGTTCATAATTTAATATATAGTTCGTTTTTAACTTTATTTATATTTCATGCAATATTTTTTATTTCTTTTTTAAAATAATTGCACTTTAAAAACTATTTAATAGTTTTTAAATTAAAAACTCTTATTTGTAAATTAAAAATTACTGATATGTTTTAAATAGTTTGGTCCTGGTTTGGTCAAACAAAATAATCTATAAAATAATTAATATTCCAATTCAGTTGTTGCTAGGACCAGATATTTTGTTGTTATGAAAGACAGATTTTTCATTTAACCTCATATTAAAATCTCATCAGAGTATGTTGAAAAATGTTTGAATTGAATAAAATCCCAAAACCGTATTAAATTTTCCTCTTTCACGAGAGCCCATTCGAAAGGAGGTTCCGGTCGGTGGAACAATTGAGACGTCGCTCGTTTGCAGGCCGGTCGCATGACTAAATTAGTTTTCTGATTGGCAATGCGATTCCTTTGATTCGCCGCCTCGCCCAACAGGTACCCAAACGAAGAAATAAAATGGGGACCGGAGATGAAATTGGCGAAGCAAAGAAGCACCGCAATTCACGGCAAGTCGATCGATAGTTTTAATGCCGGGCCTGCGACTAAAAATAAATGCTGGCCTGGCTGTTCTCTCTGGCCAGAGATACACGATTTGCACCCACAAGTTCTCAGATTAAATTCGGCTTTGTCTGCGCCCGACAAAGTTTAAGCGACTCCATTATCAACGCTGGCAAGGATTCATTAAATTTTTATCGCTCCTAAATTAGTTTCAGGGCTGAAAATCTTATCGCCTTTTATGCGGCTCTCCCTTTTTTCCTTATTTCAAGCAAAAAGAGCTTTTTAAATAAATTTCAAACAACGACCCGCAATTAAGGAAAAGTTAGACTTTGATATAAAAGTGAAAAAAAAACTTTCCTGGAACAATGCAATTTAATCAAATAATTAAATTGTGTGGCAAGAAAACCAAAATTCATCAAAGTTATTTTTTAAATATAAATATCTTTCATTATAATTTAAAATAACATTATTGGAAATTTAAAAGAAAAAATTCAAAAAAATTGAAAGGATGAAATTATTTGGATGAAAATTCTAGCTACAACGAGAGCACGAATAATCAAAATAAGAAGTGGAAATTGTGCAAAAGACTTACTGGATAATTGTCCATTTCTGTGCGGACCTGTGGCGGGTGCATTGCATTGGTCTTGCGACTGCTGCAAGTGCGAAGGTAAAGAGGAGTCATCCTTGGAGCCGGTCAAAGTGCCAGGTGGACTCGCCACTGAAACATCCAACGGGGAACATTCACTAAACATTCATGACACAAACATTTAAGGGGTGCGATTTAAATGGAGCTAAAAAAAAAATGCTTCCAAGCAAGGTTCTATTAGTTAAATTTATAGGTTTAAGGAATTAAACATGGAATTAATTAATTTCAAGTGCTTCATTTATCTAATGATTACAGATACCTTGTGCAGTTTCGTCACCATTCGAGTTCTTCGTGCTAATTTTTGCGATTTTCTAAATCTGCTAAATAATAAGAAATTAAAAGCATGCACCACATAATAAACATAAATTAAAAATATAACAAAAATTATTAATTTTATAATTAATATCAAATTTAATATAAATTTACATCTAATCTAAGAATAATAAATATTATAAATTAATAAACAATTTAAATAAAATTTAAAGCTAAAATATAATAAAATAGCTGAGAAATTTAAAAATTTATATACAAACAATTTAAATTATTTTATAAACTTCCTCACATTAATTTACTTAATTCTAAATTCATAATCAATCCAAGAGTACCATTATTATTTATATCCTAGAGCATTTGAAGCGATTTATTGATTTGTAAAAATGTTTGTGCGGCGCGAGACAGGTGAACTGCGGCGGGTGTTGTCGGCGCAGGGACGGGCAAATTGCAGATCTGCGAGTGGCACAATGACAGGCCAGACAATCAAAAAGGCGTTCTGTGATTACGCAGAGTGCAATTATCATACAAAAGTCAGTCACTTGGGCCACGTGGCAGCAGGTTCGTTGCCACGCTTTGTTGCGCGCTCATTTTTTATTCCGCCAAATCCATGGGCTGGGTCGGATTAACAGAAAAAAAAATTGCCGCCTGTCTCTACTCTCAAGTCGTGATTTCTTAATCGCGGCAACTTTATTTGATATATTTTGATTAAAAGTTGCCAGAGGTCGATGAGCTTTGGTCCCTCGAGTGAATGCAAAATGCAATTTGCATCAAGTTCCTGGTTTTCGTTCCGAGCGTTGGGAAAAATTGAAAAAGCACCGGCCGTTTTTTCCATTTTCTTTCCTTTTCCTTGTCTGACGTTTTTTATTTTTATTTTTGTTACTGCCTCGCTGGGAATCGCGGATTAAAGCTTCTCAGAGGCAAAGAAGAGAGATGAGAAAAATAAAGAAGTCAGGCGAGCAGTCGTGCGAGCGGCGAGCAAATAAAAATTACATATCAAACCAAGAGAAAATGTTTTCCTTCCGACCTTCGTGGTCGATTTTCTTGCAGTTTATGTGTCTCAAAGCGAGCTACAAAAAATAGAAAAAGTAATTAAAAATAAAACGCCTAATAAGAAAGTCCAAGTACAAAATTGACTTTTCATTTATTGCAGGAAATTTGGTATTTTTTAATTTATTATATAAAAGATTAATTTTTTATAAGGACAGTGAAAAAGATCAAGTCCAACGTTGTCTCCTGGGTTGCCAGACCGAAATTCAAATTTCACACACGCCGCACGGTGTTTTTTTTTTCGCACACGGACAAACTTTTCCGCCAGTTCAATTTTCTTTGTCGTTGGTAGTCGCGTGAAATATTAAAAAGCCGCCGCAGCCTCGGGCCGCCCACTCGACTTGCGAAACTTTCCGCCTTTTGTGCGGCCTTTGACCTCGGCACACGCACGGCCTGATCAAAAAAGTCGTTAAGCAGACAAAAGGATAATACGAGAGAGACTCGGAAAATGGATTTGCCAAAACTCTCTACATCTTTAAAGCCTAATGAAATCTTCAACTTTTATCATTTTTGTTCTCTCTGATGGAAATGTGTTTTTTTCCTTCCAAAGTGTTGGTTTAAAATTTAAATATGGAGCTTAATAAATTATAATTAAATAACATTAAAATTCTTCCGAATTTATTTGTTTTTACGTTAAAAATATAAACTTAAATTGATTCTTTTTATTTAATACATATAATTTGTTAATATAACAGAAAAAATAGTATATTGAAATCATACTAAATTATACTTAATTTTCCATTGTTCAAGTGAAATATGTTTATTTTTGCTCAATTTGCAGAATAGGGGGGACCCCTGGTAATTAAAACCAGGTGAAAACTTTTTTGCCGCTTTTGAGCTGCGCAGGAAAATAAGTTAATTAGGGGAGTTTTGTTGCTGGTAGGTAACGCGGGAAAAATCGTGGAACAAAAGGGGTTGGGCGAGCAAACAAGGTGCAATTAACTTAATTAGAGCCGCCAGCCCAGGGAAATTACGCCGCCGACGCACAATCCACACAAAGAAAGGCAGCGCGATGCACCAAGAAGTCACTTTATAAAGCAAAAGTTTCTCATTACTTAAAGCCTTACTGTTTTAAAAATAGAGTTGAAATTTTTTAGTGAAAATATGAATGAGGACTGGCAAAAATAATCAGCTGTAGTTAATGGTCGATTTATGTACATAAAAAAGAAATAAAATAATGTTGTTGGTGTATTCCTTATGATTGAATTCTGATTTCACAAGACATCAGCAGCTAGTTTTGGAATATATTTTAACAAAAATACATCCAGTATAAAAAAATATTAAATTGAAAATGTTTCAAAAAAATTATTAAGTCCATTTAATTCAGAGAATTATAAATTTAAATTTTTTCCCAAATGAATAGTTCAGGTAGAAATAGTTTTATATTTTTAGTTTTAAGAGCCTTTCAAATTAATTCCCAATTTTAATTTTGAAATGATTAAATATCAAAGAAATTGGTTTAAAATTTCATCTTAATAATATTTTAATGGAGCGCACTAATTTTTCTTCGTTACAGTAGTTTTGATGTCAGTTTTCAGTTTTTGCATGGGTCCGGTCTTTGCTCTCAACGGGCGCTAATCTGGCCATAGTGGCGCGATTGTTTGCGTACAACAATGGTCCCGCACGCGACTCCATTATCAACTTTGGGATTGTTCAGAAGCAGAATTATGCGATTTGCCAGCGCCAGAGGCTGAAGGCAAGCGAGTGGACGGGATTCATCGTTTTCCGCAAGGCTTCGCACAACCAGACGCGTTTGTGTGGAAAATAATGCTTGAAAGCTCTTCGGATTAATCACCTCCCGAGCTGAATTTTATCGCGGCACAATAATTGTCCCTGCTAGACTTAATTTGACAGTACAATTATTCCCAGAATAATCTTCATTGAATTACGTCATCAAATTTGTTAAATTTTTAGAAACATTTTTCTTTATAATAATTTTGAATTTAATAAAACTGATGCAATGCAATGAAACTTTGATTAATCAATTTCCAACTTTTTGATTCAATTAAATGTGCAATTAATGCAATTGATTTTAAAATTTCGTGTTGAAATTATGCAATCACCGCTAACAAATCTGCCAAGCATGAAATTTCTCTTCTCTCTGATTCCAATCCTGCAGGTCTTGATTGACACGCGAATTATTATTCAACAGGATCAACGCGTTTACACCCGACCTTGCCTTTCTCACCCTCTTGAGACCGTCGACGGGTTAAGTTGGCTGACATAAATTTGATCGTCTCTTACAAACTCCAATTCTTCCAGCAGACTGCATTTGAATAACGACGCGCGCCGGCACCTGCGAGATAATTTGCCGTCCCAATTATCTCAATTGTGCAGATTCGGTCTCCATTGTTTCCACGCGTAATCGCATTCAACATGTTCCAACCAACGCTCTTTAACGCCCTGCTAGAGGGATAACATGTTGGATTTTTAGAAACAAATGAAAATTAAAAGGGAGCAGGAATCGAAAATTTTAATAATTTATTGGAAAAAGGATAAAAATTCTTAAGATGTAATTACAATTTTGGATTAATATTCCAAAAACTGTTTAAAATTTTAATATAACTAGAATAAATTTTGCAAATAATAATTAATTATCCAAAATAAACATCTTAATTTTTGTTTCACAATGAATTTTACCAAAATATTTAAAATAAAATATAGTTATTTAATTTTCTTAAGACGCAAAAAAACCATTTTGTTGTAAAATGCTCATTTTTTGGTTTATATGAAAAAAAAGTCTGCTTCAATTAAAAGCTTTTTCCAATTGTTGAGCGCAGAGAAATGCAAAGTCTGCTCTTGACAAAGGTCTTTCAGGTAGTTGCGCCTCAAGCTTTTCCTTTTTGGCGTGAAAGGTGAGAGAATTTTCCACCGCTTTTCTTTCGCATCAATTTTCCTGCATGAAAGAAAAAAGGCGCCGCAGCCCTTTCAAGTCTGTAGAAATAAAATCGTGATTCGCAGCCGTTTGAAAAATGACAGAGAATGCAACAAAGTTGTTCGTGACTGCCGAGGAAATTGCGGCCGCCAATAAAAAAAAGCAACTGGAGAAAGAAAGAAAGAAAGAAAGCGAGTGGGACCCCCACACAAGAACCACTATGTGTGCCTTTTATGAGTGCAGTGTCGATATCTCTCTCTCTCTCTCTCTCTCTCTCTCTCTCTCTCTCTCTCGCTTCCTTCCCGAGGGCTGTTTTAATTTCTGATGTAGGTCAGCGTGTCCCTCGAGGGTCCGTCTCGATGTCACCCAACCCGCCCCGTCACCCTCTTCTTCCATCCTTGCGACACAAATTTAATTAGTTTGCTTTTCTCCATCAACAATATTCCAAAAATGATGAAAAAGTGAAAAAGAAATGTGGAAAATAATTAAACACTTCTTTCAATAATAAAGTTTTATATGAAAATCAGAGATAATTAGCGCCTTTAAAGCGTAAAAACTCTAATTAAAGGCCATTAAATTATCTGAAAAATAAATTCCTTCAAATTTTGAATAATTTTTCAGCTTCATTACATGAAAAATAAAAAGTGTCTTTAGAAATTTCTCAAATTTAATTTATTGCAAAATATTTTTTTTAATTCCTGTGTTATTGTTAAATCATAGATAATTAAACAAATTGAATTGGAACTAAATTATTTTGTTAATTTTTAGTGCTTGCAACGTGATTGCAAAAATAGTCGTAGTTTTTATTCTTTACGAATATGAAACAAACAAAGTACAGAGATCGCCCAGGTCAAAACATCAAAAGGCCACGTTAGATAAATTCACTTTCGCTCCGATTTTTCCTTGTTGTTCAGACGCAATTGTGACCTTTCATGTCAGCCGGTGCTTTTTTTGGCCCGCTGCGAGTGATAGGAAGATTTGTGAATGTTATTCGTTCAAAGTCATCCGTCTCGAAAGCATCTCATGAGCTCAATTAAGGACGGAGGGAAATCGCCCTGCTTCTGGGTGGGCAGCGTCCTCCTAGGGGCGCTGATTTTGGCCCAGTTGTACTTCGACGTGTACATGTTCGGCGGGTTTGTCCACATCATGAACAACCAGGAGCAATTAAACGTCAAAATTTTTGACAACCAAATGGAAATGGAAAGGTCGCTTCGAACAAAGAGGGAATCGCCATCGGACGTGAGAGATTATAAAGTATTTTTACTTGAAATTCTTATTATTTATCTCAAAAGTGTTCCTGCAAGGATGGGTTACCAGGACTTCCAGGTAAAATGATTTAAAGAAACACGCACGCGAATTAATTAAATATTTCTTCCAAAATTCAGGAATGAAGGGAAACACAGGTTTGAATGGCCACGACGGATTTCCAGGTATTCCAGGTAAGGAAAATCAAATTAAAAATGAAATTTTGCATATTAAATTTTATTTCATCTGCAGGTCCACGAGGGCCGAAAGGAGACAGAGGTTAAGAAAAAATGTTCTTTGGAATACATTGGCTAAAATTTCCACAATTTAGGACTTGTTGGTCCAGCAGGCCCCGCGGGATATCCAGGTAAATGAAAAACAAACTTTTAAACTTACATAGTATAAAATTTTGGATTAAAATTAATTTTTTTTTTTAAATTTTTCGTGCAAGAAAGTTAAAATTGATCTGAATTTTGTTTATTTCAGGAGTCACAGGCGAGAAAGGTTCGATTTTCTTATTTTGAAGGATTTAATTTCCAAATTCAAGGAACCACGTAATTGGATGACGGAAATTGCGCGGATCCACACAACAACTGGAATAAAACATGCGATTCTCTTTTAACTTTCCGTTTTTGGGGCAAAATGCTTTAAAAAAAAGCCACTGAATGCAATCTTGAAAGTATCCTAGTGAATTATGTTTTCAATTTCTAGCAGAAAATATTAAATTCAAATAAAATCAAAGTAAAAAATTTGTGAACAATTTAATTTTTAATTTTGTTGTTGTGCGGTTCTTATGCAAATAATACAATTTCACAACACCCGCGATCGCATTTCAGGTGATGCAGGTACGAATTTTGAATTAGAAGAAATTTTCATGCAGTGAGAAATTCTCTTCATTTTTCAAAGGATATCCAGGACTCCCAGGAATCCAAGGCCCACCTGGCCCACCTGGGCCGCAAGGATGATGGGCTTTTTGAGTGATTTCAAGTTGGAACCGCCATGACGTCTACACAAATTTGGAACGCAGTAGGGGAAGAGATTTTAAATTTTATAAGTAAAATTGTTCACAAAAGTTTGATTCAATTTAAAATATAAAATAAATATTGGACGTACATCAATAATTTTCATCAAATAACAAATGTCGCGTGTTTTTTTATTTCCTACTGATAACAAAACATGGCGCGATTAAAAAAATTTAATGCCCTTCACGTGCTCAAATGCGAGATGATCACATTTAAAATTACCCAAGATAAACGTTGATAAAGAAGCCGACGAAAAAAAAACGCAGAGTCAGTCTTATTTTTGTCAGGATGGTTTCTGGAGGCGAACAAAACTCGTCCCGTCTGTGGTACGGACTCTTTTTCTTGGGACTTTTAATTTCGGCACAACTGGCTTTTGACTTCTACGTCGCCTCAACCTTGAACAGGAATTTTGAAGTGCAACAGAAAATTTTGGAACAATTGTCTAAAAATCCTGCACAAAACGATGCTCACATTTTACAATCAATAGCAAATGAAGAAGCCGTGAGTTTTAATTGAGTTTTCTTTAAAAATTGTATTAATTATTATTTTTTCTCATTATTTCAGTGTCCATTAGAAGCACTCAAAAAGGCTGGAGGTGAATTATTGAAATTTATAATTTTACGAAATCTAATTAATTGAAATCAATTATTTTGAACAGGCGACATCCAATCTATGCCTGTGATTGATGGTAATTTTATAAATTTGAGCTTCAGAATGAAAGTTGTTACCTTAAATTATTTATTAGGCCTGAAAAGCTTTCGAAACGTGGCGGAAGTTTTGGTAGAAGATGGGAAGTAATGGCAGTTTGTAATATTCACGGATCTTTTAAAATGTCAGTCAATTTACAATAAATAACGTTTAAAATTTAATCCGTTTCGTGTTTAAAATATTCAATATAAAACACAGTTTTGAATAAATCAAATAAGCCAAAAATCCGCTTATGTGATTAATTTATTTTCCAATCAATACCTCTGTTTGCGAAGCGCTCTGAATAAATAATGATTCGTTAAAAGTGTTTCATTGTTCGTTGCAAGCGAAGCCAGTGGCAATTATTGGCGGCTTAATTCAGTTACATTTCTAAAAAGTGGCCGAACCAGATCTCAGTCAGCCGAGTTGGAATAAATGGCTTTTTTGATAGCGGCGCAGTGAAAATTGCAACCTCAATAATTGCAGAGAATAATGTTTACTTTTGCTAGAGAGATGAAATGATTTATTAATTACAGAAGTTGTGCTAATTAGTGAATTAATCCGAGATTGAAGAGGGCTCGAGATGCATTTCGGAGCTGATTAAGCCAGATAATTATCCTCCGCCTCCGCAGTCAGCGCCGAATATTAATTATTTCTGCTTTTCATCGCGACTCATTAAATCCGCCGCAACCATTCAGCCGAGCACTACTTTTTTAATTAATGCCCGAGTGCTTTTGTACGCATCGATTACGAACTGGCCCAACAATGTTTGTTCGACGCGGTTTGTTTATGAAGCTCATCAATGATGATTTTGGAAATTTGAGTAATATTTTGTTATATTTTGTGGTTTTTATTAAAATTTACATTTATAAATGAATTAATGTAAATAAAATAAATAAAGATTATTATTTGATGGGCTCAAGAAAGTTGAGGAATTGAAAAATTTAAACTTGAATTAATTTTTATAGGAACTTCCTTATTAATTTTAATGAAAATATTGAGCAAATTATAATTCAAATTTTTAATGTTTATAATTTTTTTCCCAATTATTGCAATGAAATATTTACGATCTGTGAAAATTTAAATTTACTCTTCGGACTCTCTGCTTTTTGATCTTGCTTCATTGCTAGGTTGGCGTGAAATAATTATTTTTCCGCAGTGGAAAAGTTTCGTCTTTGCTAATTGCAATTTGCAGCCGGCTCAAATGATAGAGAGCTTTTCCCATTTCTGTCCCTCTAGTTAAAAAGTCGACGGCCAACTTTTCCTCATCAAAAGCGGCAAAGTTTTAATTGACGATGCGGTCCGTTTGAAAACGTCCACCGCAAACGCACTCGATTTTGCGTCGTGCACAGTTGACGCGGATCGCATTTGCAGTCGCCGAACAATTTCAAGCGCGTCGGAACAATGAATGCGAAATGCCGGCAGCAAAGCGCAGCAAATTGGCGCTTGCACAGCCCACTATGCAGTTGACCCAATTTTGCAGCTGGAATTTTTCCTTTCAGCCCCGCAGCGAATGCAAATGGAGGCTGGAAATCTAGCGGGGCCATCGCTGATTAAATGAGAAGCTTCCTTCAAAATCTCTGCTTTGAGCCCTTTCATTGAGCCCAAATCTCGTTTTACCTTTGACTTGCATCAGATTTAATTTTCTGCCGCGGTCCTTTCATGTGCAAAGTTCCCGACGCCATTAATCAAAAGAAAGAGCGTCTGGAAGTTTTCAATTCTCATTTAGAAATTTTTTTTAAGTAAAAGTAAATTACCAACGGAAAATTGTGGAAAGTGAAAAGTTGAGAGCGTCTTTCATTTTGCTTTTTATCTTTTAATGTTTTGGTAAAAAGACTCACGAGGTTCTTCTTGAGGGAAAACTTTTCTCCATCTCAGTCAGCTCTTGTTTGTTAAATCGCTTAGAATGAAAAAGAGGATAATCAAGGGTTTGCCCTTTGGAGGTAAAAAAAGTAAACAGAACACAAATTAAATAAGGAACCCTCGCTCAAACAACAGTCATAAATTACGTTTTTCTCCTCCCTTCAGTCTGTGTATTTTTTCCTTTTGAGGTGAATTTGCTTCAACATTTGACTTTGGAGCAAAAAAATTACTTATTGATACAATTATCTAAACTGGAATCTGCAATATTCATAAACTTTCATAGTTACAATATTTTAATAATTATTTTCCACAACTTGTAAAAATTTTTATCATATTGTAAAGATTTAAAACATGTTGAAAGTCAAGAGTTAAATTTACTCCGTTAGAGTCAAAATAAAACAACTTTTTTTTTCTATATAGATTCCCTTCGTCATTACATTTTAAATTTTAAATGTGTTTTCTGCCTTGGTAGCAGTTAAATTATTGTTCTTTCTGAATTGGTTTCAAATTACTGATTTAATATTCGCACATATTTTTTCCCGCTACTTTCACACTTCTTTCCAAGCCCACACAATTCGCCCCACTATAAGCGGCATATCATTTTCATTTTCCACTGGAGCAAAAAGAAAGAAAGAAAGGAAAACAACAGCACTTGCAGCTGAGCTTTATTTCTTCTCTCTTTCTTATACTTTGCCATGAATTATTAAAGCGGCTATCTCTGCAGGTTTCTTCAGAGCCTCCCTTGCCAGCGCAATTCTCTTTTATTTCCTCTCCGCAGATGAAACACGTGTGCGCATTTTGCAACACGCTTTGTTGGGGAAAAAAATGCTCTCACCACTTTATCGAATTTGAATTCAGGCCAAAGTGCTATTTCGATTTCGATCGAACGCCAAAGCAAGAAAAGAATAATTCTAAGAAATAAAATTTATTGTATTTCTTACAATTAGAAATTCATTATTGAGAAAGTTTTCTGTGCTTTTCCTGTCAAGCGGGAAAAAGACAAACATGTTCGCAAGGAAAACGACTTTTCTTGATCGATGGAACAAGGAAAACACACAACAAAACATCATTCGAGCTCTCCTGGGATTGATTTCGCGGCTGCTGCGAGCGAAATAATAAACTGGGAAGGTTTTAAATTTCAAATTATTCCAACAATCAGACTGGAGAATACCCCAGGCTGTGTAATCTGCTAACAAGCCAAAAAGTCAAAAATAGAAATGAGAAAAAGAATGTCAGAGATGTAAATATCTAATTTTATTTAAAATAATTTTTTATTATATTTCAATAAAATGATTTATTTTCATGTAGAGTTGTATAAAATAAATTTTCATAGTAAACAAAGCATAATTATTTTTCAATTGTTTTATTTTCCTGGCTTTTGCGTACAATTGCAAATAAAAACAGAACGCGTCATTTCCGATTCTGTTCGGTATCATTTTGCTATCGCAATCGATCTGCTCGTTATCAATCAGCCCTCCAGCTGCGAACAATAGACGTGTATCTGCCCCACATTATGCAACCGGCAATGCACTCCCGCGCGAAGGCGGCACAAAAACGGTCCCTAACGAAGGGTGGGAAATACGTTTGCAAAAAATGGGGAGATTAATGAGAGCAGCCTCTGTGCTTTTAGAATATCTTTTTTCAATCGCATGCCAATCAATCTTTGGAAAAACGTGACCTATTTTTATCATAAAAAGAGAAGGAAAAAATAGAGTGCGTTTTGCGTGATGCGGAGGTTGTGATATTAATTTAATTATGCATCAGCGAGTCTGCACGTTTCTGACGTGGGCTGCAGCCCTAAAGCGTCTCAAAATTGCGGACTGATAAATAAAAAAAAACTTCTAAGTTTGAGGGGAAAATAGCTAATTCTGGATAATTGCAATTCAGGGAGTATTTTGCTTAAAATATGGATTGAATTTCAAATATTTATATTTTTTACTGTTAAATTCTGAATTTTTTTCCAAATCAAAAAGCTTTTTCTTCACTGTATGAGTGTGATTTACTGTTAATTTTCAGATTCTATGAGTAACATGTATGCAGAAAGATAAATTTTAATGTAAAAATTCCACAGAAATAAAAGCACATCTCACTCTCGTAAATTTTGAATTGAAATTTTGTCAATTCGGTCTTAAATTTTGAGTACAAAGAGATTAAAAAAAATACTTTTTTAATTTATAATAATTATATTTTTTACAAGAATAATTTTGATGTATTGAAATTATCATATAATATACGTTTACAAATAATAATTTTCTTTTTAAATAATTATTTTAAATACTTTAGATTTTTATTTTTATTTTCCAGATTAAATGTAATTGAAATAAATAAATTATTTTGTAATAAGTAATAAAAATTAGTGCGTCTTCCATGACATGAAAGAAAATTAAAGTTCAATTTCGAATTGAAAAGATTACTTTTGAAAGTTAATTTAAAAAGGAACAATTAATAACTAAAAAAATCTGCAAAGACTGGTTGATAAACAGTCTTGTCATTGGAAAATAATAAAAATGAGAAATTCGAACTGGGGCTGAGTGTCGAGTTTTGTTTAGCAAAGCTTGCGCGAAAGCAATTTTCCAGCTCCACGCTCTGTGGCAAATGAAACGAATCGAGGCGTTTATGAGAGACACAGGAGCCGAGTTAATTAAGTCTCGCGCGCGCGATCTCATCTCTGGCCGCCTCCGTCTTATTAGTTTGACACGTTCGAATTTCACGTTCGTTCGTCTCATCTCGGCGATTAGGCTAATTAGAGCCCTGCGGGGGTGCAGCGAGCACAGATTTGGCCCGCCATGTGCTCACGTACACGCGACTTATCGATTTTATCACGCTCTGCCAAGAGAGATAAAACCGACCGCGCGCGGCCAACACACTTTCGGGTCACACGTCGTTTCCAAGGCCCAGCCAAAACTCTGGCTCGGACTTGGAATACACATTTCACTGACTAGTTTTTAAAATTAAGTATGGTTCTTTGATTTTCGATGCTTTTAGGTTCAGAAATATTCACGGTTTTTAATAAGTTTTATTTGAATTCATAAATTGAATAAAATAATCAATAACTTGCAATACTAAAATTTTATAATTTTGTATTAATTTTACTCTAAGGAAATTATATCGTTTTAAATAAAAACTGAATATTGTGTTTCTTTTTTTACTGTCATCATTTTTCATCATCAAAGTAATTCTTATTTAATATGCTACAATCACATATAGCTGCAACTAAGTTTAATTGGTTCAATTTAGAGCATTCATTAATTTACAATTTCGATCAATAAAGATTATTTTTGTTTGCAAAGCTTTTAGCGAAATTATTTTCCATTAGATA